ATTGTAGATTGAAAAAAGATAAAACAATTTACGTTCATAATTTTTTGTTTTAGTGCTGTAACTAGAAATTATATTTATAATCAATTAATCAAGTGATTATTCTACAGATTTGATTACTTTTTGAAAAATGAATCCAAAATCAGTAATGAATGAATGAATGAATGATATCTTTATTAATCCGACAGTGGGGAAAATTGTGTTGCTCAAGTTAGTTAGTCCATAGTACTGTAACTTTACCCACTCTGGTGAACACGCACAACTTTGCAAGGTAACTAAACCTCGGAAATGAACTAATGATTTTGTTTTTTAGGTGGTGTTGAAATTGTCTATAGGAATTCTTATCAACAGGAAGGAAACTGTTTTATTGTTGTCTTTATGATCAATTAAATGTATAATAAGTTTTAGTCATGACAGTCAAAACATGATGTTAACAAAATAGGATTTTGTTCCAAAGTTTCAGTTGATAATAGGGTGTACAATATTTCATTTTGAAGCTTCCACTGATTGTGACAAAAAGCTGTCAAACGTGAAAGATCACACTGCAGCAAAGTGATAATTTATCCATCTATTCTAATTTCCATCTGCAGAATGATTTCATTATCTGCATTTGTTAAGTGAATCAAAGTCGGTATTGAAAAGGCTCTGGTTCGATATGTGCGTTATCTTATGAAGCATCCGTGCGGTTTCCATCGTCTCTGGGCGTCTCAATCAATCAGTCCATTTTCTGCAGCTCCCTGAGGCGCCACTGTTTTCTCACCCAACCAGCAGAGCCCTTCTGAGCTTCTGTAATGACTTTCATATAATCACTGACATGAAGCAAATGCTAATGTAACAGAGGTGTTAGAGCTACCTTTAATTGAATACAAGGAGACTGGTCTATTAGACAAATTTGTTTGGTATACGGCTGCACATCATGTACACGCAGAATGACTTCAGCTCAGGGGCTGTGACAAGCCGTGATGGATGCACCCAGGAGCACCTTTCACCTGGAAGTCTATCCACCTCTGCATGGTCGCTGTGCTGCATGGTCACTGTGCTGCGTAGTCACTGTGCTGCGTGGTCGCTGTGCTGCATGGTCACTGTGCTGCGTGGTCACTGTGCTGCGTGGTCGCTGTGCTGCGTGGTCGCTGTCCTGCATGGTCACTGTGCTGCGTGGTCACTGTGCTGCGTGGTCACTGTGCTGCGTGGTCGCTGTGCTGCGTGGTCGCTGTCCTGCGTGGTCGCTGTCCTGCATGGTCACTGTGCTGCGTGGTCACTGTGCTGCGTGGTCACTGTGCTGCGTGGTCGCTGTGCTGCGTGGTCGCTGTCCTGCATGGTCGCTGTGCTGCGTGGTCACTGTGCTGCGTGGTCACTGTGCTGCGTGGTCACTGTGCTGCGTGGTCACTGTGCTGCATGGTCACTGTGCTGCATGGTCACTGTGCTGCATGGTCACTGTCCTGCATGGTCACTGTGCTGCATGGTCACTGTCCTGCATGGTCACTGTCCTGCATGGTCACTGGGCTGCATGGTCACTGTCCTGCATGGTCACTGGGCTGCATGGTCACTGTCCTGCATGGTCACTGTCCTGCATGGTCACTGTCCTGCATGGTCACTGTCCTGCATGGTCACTGTCCTGCATGGTCACTGTCCTGCATGGTCACTGTGCTGCATGGTCCCTGTGCTGCATGGTCACTGTGCTCCATGGTCACTGTCCTGCATGGTCACTGGGCTGCATGGTCACTGTCCTGCATGGTCACTGGGCTGCATGGTCAGTGTCCTGCATGGTCACTGGGCTGCATGGTCACTGTCCTGCATGGTCACTGTCCTGCATGGTCACTGTGCTGCATGGTCACTGTGCTGCATGGTCACTGTGCTTGTCCTAACACTGTGCATCGTCCTGTTCTCTCAAGTAAATACAAATTCATACTTTTATTGGGTATCTTATATATTTAAGAGCAAAAAGTTTGACAACCCCTAAACATTTGACAGTGACACTCTCTGTCATTGTCAAATGTTTAGCAGCAAAGGCTATCGTTCGTTTGTAGGCAGGATTGCAGAAATGGCATGTTTTAATGATATATTTGAGTAGTTCATATATTGTATATTTGAGTTTTTCAGAATATTATTTGTCTTGTTTCCTTGCTTCCATTCTAAAAAATACTTAGGGGAAACAGGAAATATTTCATTTTTTTGAACGTTGTCGTGTTTATTATTTCCTTTTGGTACTCATATATTTAGTTTTGAAAACCTTTGAAGGTATGAGAAACCAAAATATAGATTTTATTTTCGATTCACATAACATTTTACAATTAATTAATTTTTTGGTTTAACCTTTTTTATAATATAATGGTTCAGCTTGTACGGTATAGTCCATCCCAGTGTGACAAAGGAATTTTAATCCTTGATGACTCCAGTTCTAATTTTGGCCAGTCCGTGGATGTATTGTGTGTTCAAACAGTATCCTTGACAAAAACTCTTAATGCCCACAGGATGTTAAAAATACCACCCTCCTCCCGTGGTGCAGTTAAACCATTACTCTGCTCTCGCCCATGTTTCCATTGTACACAGATCAATCGCAGAGTAGCATGGCCATCTTTTGTTTCCTTTGCATTTCTATGAAGACAATCGTGCCTTTGTGTAACGTACTAGGAAGATAATGGAGTTAAACACTAACAAAATCTCCCATATGACCTTCTGTGAATGCTTTTCCACAAATACTAAATGCACCACTTAACCTTTGCAGATAATTACTGCGTGGTTTCAGATCCATTTGCTTCTTTGTCTGTGTGTTCTCCAGCAGCACACGGCTCTAATTGGTGCATTTTCTTACGCAGCACTATTTGACCTGATGAAAAAATGTAAACAGGCAGGTTACGTAAGCTGGTGTCGGAGGGTTTGATCTGAGGGACTAAAAACAATGGATAATTTTTAAGAGATGTCACATGTTATGAAGGGAGAATTAGGAACCACCAGTTACATTTTTGCACATGATTTCTTTTAGGTAATGGTAATAGTTATTTTTAAGCATAAAGCATAGCCTAGTGAATAAAGAGAGATTGTTATCAGTAATAGTGGTACTGTATGTGGCTGTACTATAAAATGCATCATATCTGTCTTTTCAATTTAAATATTCAAAATATTGAAATGAATAAATACAATTAATACTATTAGTGTGAGAATTATACTAATAATTCTCACATTTGATTTAAAAAAAACACATTTTGAATGAATTGGTTTTTTGTACTGAACATTGCCATACAACTTATGTCTTGATGCACTAATGATTAACTAATAAAAAACTAATAAAAAAAAAAGATTACATTTTGATTCCTACTTTGTCTCTCCTATAATAAGGTATTCTAAAACTGGAATATTATTATTGTGTTTGCTGTTATAACACACAGGAAATCAGACCTAACTATTTAATTTGCTTATTGTTAGTGATGTCATTGATACTATCCATATGTTTGAAAGTAGTTATTGTGTTTTTAATGGGCACAAAACATTCCGTTGTAATTGCATCTCTATGTTGTGGAACAACAGCTATAGGCAGCCCTGATGCAGCCTGCTCTTTATGACTATTGATTTGTCTTTATGTTGTGCCACAGTACGAGGCGCATGCTACAAATTCACTTAGTCCATAACTGCTTCAATATTGGCTTTTATTTTTTTCCAGTAAATCTGCACTGTGCTCATCTTACAAAATAAATACCAGCGTATAAATGAATGGGGTTTTCTGTGAGCCTTTGAGTTAATTATAAAATGGCGGATTAAGGGCGGCGCAAAAACTGACAATTGGAGAAAACTGAGACATATACTTTCAGTTTCTATAGAGCAAAGATTACAGTGTTGTTTTTTATGCCATAGAGATAACAAATGCATTGTAAACGTCCTTGGTATGTTCCCTGCACAGTTTTTCTCCGGCAGAGCAGAAAATACTTCTTCAAGATGACGCAGAATCATTTTAGTATGTGTGCATAAATGCTTGTATTGGCTTGTATTTATCTGCATTTTAGTCTGCATTATTCCATATTAATGTTGTATTATTGATACATTTTGAAATGTTTGCTTTAGAAGGCTATAATTGAATGGAAATTTGATTAATTGTGCACTGCCTGAGTTGTATGGTTGTGTTGGGAATAGATGTAATATAATCTTTGAGCCCTCTTTGGCATTTAACGTGATTTAATTGACATTGCAGATACGTGCCTGGATTATTTAAATTTTATCTGTTGTTGTTTTCCCTCCTCACTCCACTTTTCTCCATCAAGCTTATCTCTGTTTCTGTTGCTACATTGAGGCAAAAGGCACTCAGCCAAGAAGTAACATTGCAGTCACGGGTTGACATAAACGTGGGTGTACAAAGGACTTGCCGGGGCTTAAATACTTTATTGTGTGTGTAATGTGAACTGAGCAATTATATCTGCCTGCTTTTCAAACAAAGAGCTCCTATCAGGCAGGTTCATGTGCTTTTAATTAACAGTATTGAGAGGGATTGCTATAGGGAACAAAAATGGCATTATGAATTTCTTAAAGTCAGATTCTACCCATCACAGTTTTTGATCAATTGAAAGTGTGTCCTAAGAAATACATTCATGGAAATAGATATTTCCATGTAGTTTGCCTTAAGTTCTTTGCAGTTAAAATGCCATTCCTCCGGATTATAAAAATACATCTGTTTGAATTTAAATGCACTCTCAAGCTGAAAGGGAACTTAAGGACTGTGTTTACTAGCACATTGGAGCAATTTGGCAGTCAGCTCCTCATTCACTACAATGTCGCACTAATCCATTTTAAAATAATTAGCTACAGGCTACTAGGCTTGTGAAATTCCATTCCTTTGATTGTGTATGTTCATAGCCTGCGTACTTACCCAGATTTAGTCCAAGAATTGAACATTAGTCACTCGCTCAAAATTTTGAACTTGTTTTATATTCAAAGCAGAGAGACCGACATCTCTCTGTACTACAAAACAGATGTGTTTAAATCTTTATGATCTTTATGTTTTTGTGTTTTTACAGCACCTAATTTGAAAGGACGTCCTCGAAAAAAGAAGTTGTCTGTGTCCCTGAGAAGAGAATCCCAGAGCCAGACACCAAGCACAGGTCAGAGCTCATCAGGGCCATGCCAGGGACCCACAGTGGCCTCCACTCCGGAGCCCTGCCCTGCAGAAAACAAGGCTCCTGTAAAGGTAATGAAAATGATTGACAGCAGTGTGTTCTAACAATGAACTCATCATCAATGATGTTTGTTGGGATTGGTTTCAATTTGCACTCATTGATATTCTATTATTCATTATTGTAAAAACAGGATTATTATAGATATTATATATTATGATATATTATATTATTATAATATAATATTATTATAGATAACATATTTTTTGAAGATGTATAAAACCATCCAGCAATAGTATGTTATGGTGGCGGTGCGCATTGAACCAGGTGGAGAACTGGCTTCTGGATTATAGGAGAACATAAAATACCCAAACTTGCATGAATCATTTTTATCATTGTCTAAAAGAAAACCACTACAAACATGGTTATAAACTTGTTTACATATTCAGTCACCTTTAAATAAAAACATGCCTCAAGAGTTTTATTTTTATTTTTTATTTGGTCCAAAGAATAATTGAACACTTGGTTTACTGGTTAATTTATTCTATATGACATTTTAATTGTGCATGTCAGACAGCGAGACATTGAGTTAAGTGTCATGACAAATGCTCTCTGCTTCGGTTCACTATTCACTGTACAACTACGGGTAATATGTTATTGATGTACATTATGTATTATTGGAGTGGGGTAAGTCATATCTGCAATATCTCTCTTGTTGCTTTATTGATAATAAATGAATAATAACAACAATCTTTTAATGGACATGGAAATGCAGCTGATCTTATTCAGGAAAACTGGCCATCATTTACAGTATAATCCCAATTTTAATCTAGATGACAAATGACTTTTCACACATTTTTTCACAGGTTAAACCAAGCTGTAAAGTGGCACCCAATGGTAAAATGCCTGCAGTGGCCAAACAGAAAGCCAACAACCTTAGCAAGAAGTGTGTGCCTGAAGAGAAGGAGCGCAGCGAAGAGAAGGAGAAGAGACAGGAGCAGGAGGTGAAGCTGGAGCAGGTGGACGGCCAAGAGGAGGAGGTGCCAGAGGAGGAGCGCGCGGAGGAGCAGGCCTTCTTAGTGGAGCTTTACAAGTACATGAAAGAAAGAGACACGCCTATCGAGAGGATCCCCTTCCTTGGATTCAAACAGAGTGAGTGCAAGTGCCCCTCATTAAAACTGGGTTAAGACACATTTATTTGATTGTTGCACATATTTTACCAACAATATTGAAAGTTGGGAAAGTTGGGACCACATCCTCCAAACACTTCTGTAAATCATTTTCATGATCTGATGGGAATCTCAAGACATGTTTCATTAAATATGTATTACATATATCATGATACTTTATTCAATATATTTTTGTACCAACATTTCCAAACTCTGCACCCCACTAGTTTAAAAGGTTAAACTAAAAAGTCAGACTTGATTTTGAAAGGGTTAGGTACTTGATACCAATGGTATCTGAAACTTTAATTAAAGAGTACTTATTTCTTAACTTTTTCATGTTTTATTTTTAGATTTGTTATTACATAAGCGTTTCAAATGTATGCGCCCAGAATTTGGAACAGTCTTCCTGAGCTTGTGAGACAGGCCTCGTCCCTGGTAATGTTTAAGTCTAGGCTGAAAACTGTCTTATTCAGGTATGCATATGACTAATCTGATTTTTCTTTTTTTAAATGTTCGTAACTTTTATCTTTTACATTATCTTAATACATATCTTAATACCTAATACATTATCTTTTATATGTATATTCACTGTTTTTATGGTTTGTTTTTTTTGTCTGTCTTTTAATTGCTTGTGAAGCACTTTGGGTTACACTGTATGAATTGTGCTTTATAAATAAATTTGATTGATTGATTGATCGATAAAAGTGTGAAATTATAAGTTGGAGCCAAGAAACCCGAAAGATTTGAGGATATTGGTGTGAGGTGTTTCTGATGGAATGATGATGATGGGGGAATATGATAATAGCCCTATCTGTAGTGCTGTTTATCTAAAATAGCACCTATTGGTCAATGGCACTGGTAATAACCACAGTCTGCTATCGAAAAACAAGTTTATTTTTCTGTAAAGACAAGGACATGTCTTGAATATGACAAAAAATAAACTCTAACTGACAATACCCTTAGTTTAATAAAACATCTTGTTCAATGTGAAGCTATAACAAAGGAGGATTGTCTTTGTGAAGCGAAACGTAGCAAACGGCTCCAGAGGCTGCCTGTCGGATCACATCGTGAGTGGCTTTAATACTAGCAGAGATCTTCTCATTCCTGTCAGAGGGCTTTCTGTGAAGACCAAGAACGTCCTCTAAACGTGCAGGTATAAGGAACATATCGTCTGCTAGCTTGCACTGTGTGTACCATTCACAGGGTGAGTTTGTTTTAGCTGTTTGATCTTAAGGCAAACCTCAATAGTGCCCTTCTAGCTTCTGCTGAGCTTTGCAAATGTACAACTTGAGTTTTTTTTAAATTTTCCAACAGTAATCTTATTTCACCAGCAGGTTTTGCTCCTCAGTTGAAATTACAGATAGTAGAAACAGTGTTCTTGTTAGTCGGTCTAGGAATTGTAAGTCTAAACTTAAGGTAGGCTGTGGCAGTGGTGGCTGTGCTAACCTCACCACACTATTTTGACAGTCCTGTCTCTTTGATTGCTGACATGTTGTTGCTTAAATAGGTCATTGTGGTTGAGGGAGACAGAGGAAGCATGGAGAGGGAGAACTACATACTCAACATGCTTTATTTTTAGTTGGCATTTCTCAGTTTGAGCTCAGAATCAAGTCGAGGTCTGCACGCCAACTGTTTTACATACAGTACATGCTTTGAATCTCAGAAACAGACACATCATAAGCAAGGCCCTCATTAAATGGTGAAATCATGCTGTTTAAACTTTGTCCTTGGCAACAAGCGCGTCTCAGCACACATGCAAAAGAGAGCGAGAAAATCCGCAAAATACAACATAATTAATACAAAAAGCCCTCAGATGTGTTTTGATTTAATTCCCTTTAAACCAGCTTCAAATATATTTAAAAAATCAAAGAGCACTTTATTCTGTGATGTTAACTGAAATGATGTTATTTTAGTAGCGTTTCAGAAATTATATTTTTATTAACTTCTCTGGAGCTTAACAAACCAACAGATGGTTGAATGATTTAGCAGGCGCTTTGCTGCAATAAGTGTCCAAATGAGTCTGTCCCCTGAATCGGCCTGTGAGAAGTACTCTCTCATAAAATCTGATATTTTTTGCTGACTACATTGAAATGTATATTTTTCAAAAAATATCTATTTTTTTTATTCCTTTATACACTTTTTCCTTGATTGTTACCTTTCCACTCTTATTTAGTATAACTCCTATTGAGTCTAAATCAGACTTTTAAATTACTTTTTGGAATCAATTATCTCGTTTGGATCACTGAAATACAAATATATTTGAAAATGTTCTTGTATTTACTAAGAAAAATTAATAGTATATATATTTATAATGATATTATTCCTCAGTGAACTGTAGGTGCAGCCTGTTTGTGTGAGCATACTTGTGTTTCTGTTCAGCTGTTGTTATTGTAGTCTTGTCAGGGCTTTTTGAGAGATGTGTTATGGAGTATTGAGGTGTGTACAGTCTAAATGTCCTTGTGTGTGTGTGTGTGTGTGTGTGTTATTCCACTTTTGCTTGTGTGCCCTGGCAGCATGTGATTGTGAACATCAGTTCTAATTTGTTTCTCTCGTAGCCGTGTTGTCTAATTGCGACACCATTGGTGTGTCACTGAGGCCGTATTGTGTTTCTGTTTTGTCATCCTTATCTCAGTGATAATTGCCCTTGCCAAATAGAGGGAATTAAGAAAATAAATTGCTAATGACAAGACATGTAAGAAAAAACATGTTCCCTCATTCCCGTCTCTCTCCTCCCAATACCGCGCTCTATTGAGGTAATTACAGTCGATGCATAACAAGCTAGTTTAATAGACCATCGCTCTGTTTCTCCAGTCACAAAGCACAATAAAGCAGAGTGCTCAGTTCAAATAGAAAAAAACTACCCTGCTCCCTTTGTTATTCCACCCGTGCATTGACAACGGTCGCGCTGAGGAGGGAAGGAAAAAATCAATGCTGTCAAAAGCGGAGATAGGAAAATGTCATTTTGACAAATGCAAGGCTTTGTGTACGCACAGATTGAATTTTGATGGATTTCTTCCCAGGCGAGTCTTCTTTTCTTATTTATAGGCCTTCATATCAAAATGTTAAACAATGATGTTACTGAAAGAAAATATAAATGTCATTGGCTAAATGCAAAACTCAAAATAACCACATTGTTCTTTGTAGACTCCCATTTATGCAGCAGGGTTTTTGTTGAAATATTATCCAAGACTATTTTGATTTGCGCTGTCACTGGGTGTTTGCATGGGGAAATCAATGCAAATTAATTTGCATGAGTTCAAACAGACGTATGAGCATATTGCCAAACGTTTGATGCTTGTAATGGCGTTCATTCGTACCTGCAGGCAGAATCTGAAGGTGAACAAATCTGTGTGTATCATATCATGACAGCATGTTTGCTCAAGTGCTCAATATACATTTACATCTTTTAAACTGTGCTGCCCTTCACAAAGGATATTAAAAACATCCTCTTTTCATTCCACCACAGAAGTATATTCTGTACTAATTTGACTAATCTTATGCATAAAGTCCAATAACTCACAGCTAGAATAACATCTTTCATGAACAGGGTAATGAGTTTCTAAAAAACAACAGCTCTTTTGTTTCTATAATGTTCCTATAAGTCTTGTTTTCCCTGTGTCCACAGTCAACCTTTGGACCATGTTTCATGCTGCTCAGAAACTCGGAGGATATGAGTTGGTAAGTGTTCACATATGTGGCGATATGTTCTCTTCTATTTATTGAAATTCCCTCCCACGCCTCTGCGTCTCCCTCCTACTCCTATGTGTTTTGTCTACTCTTTTTTTCCCTAAAATGTTGTTCATTGCTTTTCCCTCCTCCATCTCCCTTTGTTTAGTGCCTTTTGTCCTTAAGGTCAGTATTTGTTTTCCCAAGAAGTAAACCATCCTTTTGCCAATATGCTTCTGTTGTTATGAAGCCCCCTCAGAGTGGAAAACATATGTTCCTCCGCTCTGCACTGGTCACAAGGAAATTGTTCAAATTGCTCATTTTTTCCCAAGTCCACAATGACGTAAAATGCACATGTATGCCCAGAAGTGTGTTCCTAAATACACACACATGGATCATAATCAACTTATCTTCATGTCTCACTACTTTCACTGTAGTTTGTTTGATGTGGTGATTTCAAACAGATTACCATGCATGTTTTTATGTTTTATTGCTTGCATAATCCAACAGAAAACTAATCCTGCCATAAACAGGATATATCTCTTATCATCAACCCTCTAAAGTTGTATTATATTTGCTTTTAATGATGTCTTTCTAATTTATTACAAAATTATGATAAAATCATAGATATTTTTAATATTCAATAATGAAAGAAATTGGTAAATTCCTACACAATATTACACAGGGCAAGACTGACATTTACTTAACAAGCTATATTTTGTTATTACCCCATGCTCCACAAGTCACTGCTTTTGTAGACATTTTAGATTGTACTCTTAAGACTCAGTTAGAAGGCAGATAACACAAATCTCATCTATGAGATGTATTTGACTGTCTGTTTAAAGGGGACATATTGCAATTCCTTCCTCAATACAAGACACCCTATGACCCCTTTGGCTCATTATTAAAAGAAAAAAAATCTCCAACAAAATATTGTATAATGAATTATTACTTATAGTGATTGAGGTTCATTGTTTAGAGTAAAATAAATGGTTTTGTTGTTTTCCTGAGAGAATGAGCATCCAATCGATGTACAGCATGCCATGGTTGTATACCGCCCTAAATCTCTAATCTCATGTAAATATTATGTCATGTCTTTATGTACTACTTTCACACGTCTCCTCCCTCTGCTGTTGTTGATCTGATTGTGTGATGTCAACTGTAGAACTGTCAGCTCTGCTAGTCCTACAGTAGTTCATCATTCTCTCATTCGCTCAGAATCTTGAAACTGAATGAACAATCCCCAACAACAGACTTATTGCAATGGTGTTTGAAAAAGTAAAAGTAATACCTGTAGGTTCTTATGTTTGTACTCTATTCAACTGTTGGTAGCTTGCCTTTTTCCCAGAGTGAGGAATTAAAAACACACGATTTGTCACATGACTATGAGTATGTGGACCACCTGTGAAATATACATGCCCTGATGAAGACTGTAAATGCCTCAGATCTCTTTGGTCTACTCTGCAAGTTTCTCTGCCCGCACGGGATTGTTGAAGCACACCTCACCATACAACCACTGTTTTGATCTGACACTTTCAAACTATTCATCCTTCACTCAACAAACATTTGAAAATAAATTCCATAAATATTTGTTTGCAGTTCGTAGTTTGATTGGACTGACCGTCATCGTTATTGTTTTTCAGATCACAGTTCGCCGACAGTGGAAACATGTCTATGATGAATTAGGCGGAAACCCCAGCAGCACCAGTGCGGCCACGTGTACGCGCAGACACTACGAAAGGTGAAATAGCACTTACTGTAGTTACTCTATCTGCCAAACCATTGTGCTGAAAAAGAAACATGCAGCTATTTACTGTTTACCATATGTGTAAACTCCCTCACCGCGGCTTCAAATGTGATATCAAACTTTTATGTTTCACACTGCAGCACTCTGTAGGAAGTATATGTTAATCTAGAGCTGGGGAAGTCAACACATTGATAGAAAATGAAAGTAGTGCGATCACATTCCTCGCTTTCTGTAATGGCATGCTGTTATAATTATATACATAAATGCATTCCTTGTGAGTCTAAATCAATTCACCTAGCAACTGCGTTTGGTAATTATTCTAAGATTCATTGATCAGAGACATGCCACTATGGAACCAATTATACAGTTAGCCCCTCCCATGCTGCTTTACATAAGGCAGATTAAAATGATTTCTTGCAAAGACAGCTTAATTACTAGAATTATTAACTGAAAATTTACAGATTTATTCACTGTTACATACTTCACAATGAAAAGTTCAAAAATACAGATGAATGTATTCAATCAGTGGGATTCTGCAGGGACATTATCACTTGCATGCTATTCCTAACCCAAGCATAAGGATGTGTTCCTTAGGGAGCTGCGATACACACAAACACGCGCATGCACAGACACTTTCCCAAGGTTAAACAAATGCCAAATACAATCTCTGCTACATGCGCTAACCAGCCGCTCACAAAGGAGGTCATTGCTGCAGGCTCCTGACCCTCTCTGCATCCTCATTTACCTGTATGTAAAGTAAAACTGTGCAAAATGCAGAGTGAGAAAGGAATTGATGTCATTTATAAGCGGTGAAAGGTGTGGCTCTTTTGGAAACATTGTCACAAACACACAGCGTGAATGCGTGTTATAGTTTTGTGCACGATATGTCTGGAATTATTCATTACCGTGCTTCTATAATGGTGACAGATGCAACATTTTACTTTAAAGAGGCTCTGCCAATTTATTGTATTTTTCATTTATGCACTCACAGTTGTATCTATATTTATATCAAAGCCGCTCTGTTCTTGTTGACTGCATCCAAGGAAGAGCCACTAAAATGGTTCAGCAACATCATTCTTGATCATGCGGAAATCTGGAGTAACAATTTCATAAGGAATCTTCTTTTATTGAAACAATGTTTGGATTTATATGTCCAAAATAGAAAATAATGATATGTGAGGGCCAGAGCAGCAAACAAAATAGTTTAGTTTATTTAGTGTAGTGTGTATTAATGAAATACACTAGATTGTAGCTTTGGGCTAATTTCCATCCATTGTCCAACTATTGTACATGTTATAGAGCAGATTCTCTCTGGGTGCAGGTGCTCTCTTGTCATATAGTTGTATTCTATATTAGATCACTGGTTTATCTTATTCAAAGGAAAGCCAAGCCCTTCTTCTGTCCTGGTTTTGTCCTGGTTCAGTCCTGGTCAGAGAGTGACTGTGTGGAGTAGATATCTGGGTTTCAGTTGTTTTAAAAGTAAAAATGAGACACATATTTGTAACTGTGTTGAAACCTTAGAGAGCTCTCACACTTAGAATCCACAAAATGTGATAGAGTCCCATGTCCCAATGAATGATGTACTCTTGACCAATCAGAGCACGGAATCTCTACAAGGAGGATTTGTGTACACATCAATAGTGCTGCCTTGACCATGGCTCATAACAAGGGCACCCAATGTGTCTATTTAGGGCTGGAGTTGATTCACTCTCTTTTCACTCCCAATAATAACAGATTCTAGAAAGGCTTCATCACAGTTATCCAAACCAAATATGGGCCGTGACTTTACAACAAAATGTAACAAAAAAGTACAGTTTCAAAAACAATTTATTTAGAATTTGTATTGTCTATACAAGGATTTAATATGTTGTTAGATGACAGTGATAGAATATGTTTCACTGAGTTGGGCAATAATTGTCTTCACAAGATAATACCTGATATAACCTGAATAACCTGAAGAAATCCCATTGAAATTAAAAACCTCTTTTTCAAGGGAGTCCTGGTCAGAGGCAGCAAAAGTACTCATAGGATTACACTGACGATTGTCTCAAATGACATAACTTAACAAATGGAAATACTAATCAATATTTTTAACCCCATCACATTTGAATGTTTTTCTACAAATGATTTATATGACTTGCTTATGGGTGAATAGCATCTCCCTGTTATGAATCCTATATCCGCCCACTCTTCATTGTTTACCAGTAAAGTCGGTATGAATGGGGTCGTAGCAAATGCAGCCCAGGTAGGACGATGCACTGAGGTGTAACTGCTGCTGCGTTGGCCTTTCCCTCTGCAGCCACTGAGAGAAAATAATGCTGAATCAATACAAAGCAATAATATCCACAGTGCAGTGAATATCAGGCTGACAGGGAGCGGCACAAACGTGTGTGTGTGTGAATACTAGACCTGTGTGTGCAAAGGATACAGAGATCAGCTGAGCAAGTTTCCATTCAGGGAATCATTTTAGCTGAGCCGGGATGTTTGGGCTGCTCTGAGGGCAATTAGCTTCATTGTATTAACTCAGCAAACAGGAGCATTCTCTCTGCATGATGAATGAGGCTGTTTGTGGGCGCGCTGGAGTGTGTGTTTGTTCCCTAGAGGCGTCTTTGTTCCCCCTTTAATCATTAGTCAATGTGCTACAAAAATATAATTCACAGCAAGAATGTACAGTGTGCAAATTGGAACCCACTTTGCACTGAAAAATTACTTGTGATGTGACCGAACAGACACAAAGAAACGCTGTATCAATAAAGCTATTTGGGTAACATTTTAGAACACACGGACAGCGAGTAATTGTGTAGTCAAGCAAATTAATTGGAAGTGCCATTGCTATTGTATTGCTAGAAAACTGTTGAATTAGCATTACATTTAAATTTGTTAAATTTCAATATACTTTATTTTCTGGCTGAGAAAGACTTGAGATTTAATTCACAGGAAATTAACAATGAACCCTGTATTTTAGGAGCCTTAAAACTCATGCTCATGATAATAATACTTTCTGTCTTGAATTACCCTTTTATTTATATGTCTCAAACCTAGTGCTCCTGGAAATGTCCAAAATACAAATTTGATTCAAATCCTGGTTGTTAGGGCATGAATGACAAAGCTAATCACAAAGGCAAAATAAAGTTGTTAAAATGAACATGTAATTAGATTATTATAGTCTACGGATGGTGGAAACTTTTAGTGTCTCTTTTAGTACGGCTTTAATACTTGCTATAATCACAGTGCAAATATATTCTCAAGTGCGTCTCCAATTATAGGTTGAGATTTCCGATCCAAAATGCAATGTTCTTAACCCCTGTAGTCTTATATGAGTTAAAGGGTCATTGTCGTCTCTTGTGTTGTAAATTATATGCATTATCCTCTTACTGCTCTAATGGTAAAATCATATGAACTGGTTTCCTTGGTGATGTTATTGTGAAGGATGGAGCCTGGGGCATAATCACTATGTTTATTCTGTCCGGTAACAGGCTGTAATCACTGATAGTAATGGACTAACACAGCATGGACTACCTCAATAATTGCCATTTCCAAAGTTGATACTTGTGCTGTATTTATGAGCACATTGAAGAATCAATGTACAAACCAAGGTCTAACACTACGCAGCTATAGGCAAACTTTAATGATATTTATTTAAACCGTTTCCTGAGATTAGCTGTCAGGGCACGGCGCTCTGAATTAAAAATGAGGTCATGAAAAAGATGGCATCAATAACCTTGAAATAGACTGCCTTTTGCTTCTGTGCCATTTTCTGTGTGCTCCCCCTCCCTCACCCTCCTCCCTGCACTTCATGCTGTTTCTTTCATTATACAGGTCAGCGCCTTTTAACAGCTCCTACATATTTAATCCTCCTGGTTTCCTACGTGATCTCTTGTTACAGAAACATCACATTTCACTATCTCTGTTCATTTCTGCCTGTTACAGATCCTTAATACCTCCCCATGCTTTGGCAGTCTAATGTAATTGCACAACAGGGTTGATATTGGAGCAGGAGGGGGTCTCCATAGCAACAGAGAAAGCAATTTAGAACAAATTTGGTATTTAAAAACTCTGAGGTTTGGGGCCAATAGCTCGGAATGCGGATGAAGTGCTGGAATTAAATCATTTTGTTTTCAGATATTGTCCGACTGTGATGTCCTGTCCTCATATGTGAAATATTCAGAGATGGATGATGCTTAAAAGGCTGCTGTGCGCCAGCTCCAATTTTAGTTGAGTAGATGTTTTATTGATTCAGCCTTTATTCGTTCCTTGTAGCCTCAATGTTCCACTATATTCACTAGAGCTGCTCTCCAGTCATGAAAATACATAATTGTTAGGCAGTTTTGAGATTGAGTGTGTTGTGAAATAAGTAGGAGTAGAAAAAGACTAAAGAGTCGACACGGTTTTAATTTAAAGTGCAGGATGCTCTGTATTTGCTCGAGTCAGCATCTCTGCGCTTTGTCCTTGCTGTACTGCAGATACATCAAATGTGGTGCATTGCATTTTAGCATATCTACTCCACAGTGTAGCTCAAACACTGGTTTCATTTATTCTGCTCTCTCGCTCTAAAGATGATGCATCATTGGATTACAATCAGACACTACCTTTATCACTTAGTATTTCCATTTCTTGCTGTGACAGAGGAGTGTAATGTCATGTAAATGCATGAAACATAACATACTTACAGAATCCAATGTGAGATCTTCTTTCATTTCTGTCAGCATTCTCGCCACTATAAACAATGTTCCGACACGTCCGCATTGGGCCACAGTTGACTAGTTAAATGTGAAAAGAGACGGCATGTTCTAAAAAAGCAGGCAGCTTTTTCAACCTCCCAATGATACTTCACAGACACAAACTACCTAATAATCCCACCAATCACATAATCCAATGGATCCTTTATGTGCTGAGTTGAATCACAGTCTTGTTATCCTCAGAGAGAATCAGAAATTACAGCTGTGACATGTGACAGGCATCGACTGTGAGACTATTCATGTCGAGCCTCGGAATAAATGGCATTGGTAACACATGCTGTTTATTATGTCTAAAAGCCTCCAACTAAAGTGAAAGTCTGTTTTAATACAAAGTGGCCCACATTTACTTTAATTTTTATACTGGTTCAGTGGCTCACACCTGCTATTCTGAATGCTTAGAGTGAACTGCCTCAAGAGCAGCTAATGAGAGCAAACCTACAGGGAACTGTAGAGGTCATTTTAAATCTGCTGTTTTCAGACTTGACAAAGGACTTAAGTTTTCATACATTCCTGCTCTGCTCTCCTTTAAACGGCATGAATGAGGGTCACCTCAAGTGGTTTGGCTTTGAGACAATGATGCTTTGAAATCCAAAAGCACCATTAGATCACAATGTCTGTTTATGTTTGCCTGGTCCTTTTTAATCTTTACATTTCTCGTTACACTCTGTTGAATGTCTTAGTAATCATTTTCTCTGGTCCAAATCTATGAGCCCCCAGGGCTTGTCAAAAAGCTCTTTTCTTTTACACACAAAACAGCTTTTGTTATCTTAAGACAACACCAGCTAAAATTAATTTCAGCAGTGATGGGAATGCAATAGCTTTAAGCTGTTTCCACTGATTTGGTGACTTCGGCTTTTCTTGGAGTTGACACTCTGCCTGTTCCTGTAACACTAAACTGTGATGAGAGTCTCACTGGTGGAATCATGGCAACAAGATTTTTTTGTTGCCATGTTGTCCTTTTTAGTATAGTTCTCTTTGGGCATGTTACATATTTCTCTACAATACCATACACCTTTTGAATTCATTTTTGTGTCCATATGTGGGTAAATTACCTACGTAATCATCTGAATGAATTTAGTCATTACATGTTGTTTGTCATTTTGCCAGTTTTGCCTCAGTGTTTGAGAAGAGTTGTGTACAAAGAACTTGAATTATTGGCTACATTTATTGTTGTAATAATATCAGAACCGTCTGCTCAAACAAACGTGTGATAAATTGGCACGAGAGGAAGTTTTTACTGATCTCATAAACAGTTACCGGTCTTAATGAAATTCTTTACTGGAATCTCAGGGTGAAACACGCCTCCAAGTGGATCTAATGCGTCACTACACTTGGCTTCCCACCGTTCATTCTGCAGCTGCCAAGCTCAGCCCCTTCCTCACAGGAAATTACTACTTATATAAGTGCTCTTGTATTATGCTTTCTATTATTACACGATCCTGTCAGGCTTTATATGCCACTAGAAAAAAGATCTGTTATGTCATTACTAAGTCATAAATTAGATTAGATAGGAGGACTTTTCAGTGTTACAGCTCAGAGTACCAAGCAGTGGGAATAGGAAGCAGTAAAAACCGCTCAAGATAAAAAATATGATCTATTATTACATGATATTAAGGCTGTTGAGTCCATCGATCGTTTCCTGCTCTGAACTGTATAAACTGAAATACATGTATGTGGTTTTATTTTCCCCACAACATTTGTGCTTCAATTTTTTCATTTATTACCATACATAAAAGTGCGTAGATGTCTCAAATGATGATAACATAGTTTTGTCTGGAAATTGAATCCATTCGAATTGAGCTGAAATGTGTTTAATAATTGCTAGATTCATTAGTTACAGCCCTACACCATATACTTGACGGAAAGTGCCAACAGTTTGTTAAGTCTAAGTTGTTTATGTTTATGGTCTTTTCCAGTTAGGATGATTCAAGGTTTCAGTAATGTCCCAGCTTTGCTCTCAGATTAACAAAGGGACACCTCTGCCCCAGCTCTGCCCCATATTGACATTCCTTGAAGTTGACCCAGGCCAAGACATCCATCTCTTTCCACAGATCACATGATCGTCAGTGCACGGCTGTTTATTTTGTGCCATTCTGGTTGTTTAAAAACAAATTCTGTTTTGTATAAACACAACACCAGCATGAGCATTTAGACATATTACATTGTGTATAGTTTCCTTAGGTCAGTTTCATCTTTTGCACATAGCTAAACTGGGCTGTTTATTTTATTACAAGTCCAAAGCTTCTTCATCTGTATCAAAAATTGTGTTGAGATCCATTTAGTAGTTGACACCAGGCCTCAGTTTCGCTGAGAGCTCTTCTATTCCTTATTAACATACACACACTCCAGTTCTGTTCTCTCTTCTTTTTCATAACCTGTTTGCTCTTTTTCTTTCCAATAAGTCACATTTAATAGTACATTTCCTTTCTTGGCCCGGGGCCCTGTGCCAGACCAGCTGTATGAAATGTAGTTTCACTGCTCTCCCTGCCAGCACTTTTGTTCAGAGCAAAAATAACAAAAATCCCACTGAGCCGCTTGAACTCTCAGAGGTTTTCCCCTGCTCGTTTGAAGAGCGGGCAAAACCACGCTTGATTCATTGTTTGTTTTAGTGCTCTGTCCCTTAAAAGGAGCGCTGAAGCTGTCTCTTGTCATTACATGAAAAAGTCTTATTTTGTCTTCAGACTGAGGGAGTGTCTCTGCCTGACACAAGCACAAACTCACATGTCAAGAGTTTATTGAAGTCTGTTTTGGTGCCAATTTCCATTTACGTTTCTATGTAATAAAGGTCTAAAAGTTTCCCCCGCTGCTCTGCTCATGCCATTATATTACACTTTGGTATTGTTACATTATCCAGATCCGAGCGTTCCCATTAGTTATGACATCAGATACAGAGACTGACTTGGGAACAGTTTAGAGGGGAAGTAACATGAGTCAGAATGACTTTAGTGTTTCTTTTGACACAGTGTTCCTTGTCTTTTATCATAGATTTAATTAAGCCCTAACTGTTTTTCCACCTTGTCAACATTGGCATTTACAAGAAATACGATACATATATCCATGACTAAATACTTTTGATTATGACGATCTGTTTTTATCTGGCCACTTTGGTCATTTTATGTTCCAGCACGATGATTTGTTTTTTTCAAGGGTAAACCAAATGAGATGGTTACAGCAGGAGATAACCGCTCTTGCACATGATCCCTATTTGTCTTTCCCATACCCAAAATGAGACCGCAGCACGGACTTCCCCTTCACACTTTAATTACAATAGGTTTGATAATGCATGCCAGGTGTTTAAAAGCAGCATTTGATACAGCGTGTGCCTATGGCCATGTTTTGCTTATTTCCCTTCTAAGTTTCAGAAGAAAAAAACTAATCTTTACTGTATTTATGCTTGTAAATATACGACAAGAGTTATGGAATTACATAAATGTCTAAATGTTTGCATGTGTTCTTTGTTGCAGACTCCTCCTTCCATATGAGAGGCACATTAAAGGAGAGCAGGACAAGCCCCTCCCTGTGACTAAACCCAGGAAGCCGGAGGGAGGCCAGGAGAAAGCACCAGGAGCCAAACTCAAGGGACTCGGGCCTAAGAAACCCAAAACCCCCAACAATCTCAAACAGGTTAAGAAGGAGAGAGGAGATGCCACTGAACAGGTAAGCCACACCAGCAGTTTTACATTTCTCAAAAAGCATATCATGTTAAATACAAAAAGCAATAACCAACAATAACATCTGCCATGTTTTGTCTGCAGGAATTAAACACTAAAGAGGAGCTACACAGTCGGTCTGTGGTGATTACGGATGAGCCCATTGTAATAGAAGAGGAAGAGTTGCATCTAACGCTGAAGGAGGAGACTCTGTCAGCGGAGCAGGCCTCTCTGCTGTGCCCCAAAGAGCTGGACTACAGAAGCCATCACTCCGGCCGACCTCTCATCACAGTGCCCTGTCCGCCGTCTGAATGGAGACAAATCAGTGAAGCTCTGCAAGCTAAGCTCACCTGTGAACAGCAGACTGAAGGCCATTTCATTCACAAAAACCCCTACCTGCCTCACCGCTGGGACCACCACAAACCAGCAGCACACATTGCCCTTCCTGAGACCACCTCCAGAGTCAAAGACTCTTTAGAGAGTCATGGAGGAAGGATTGGGATGGTGCTGCCCATGTGCAAGCAGCTGGAGCGTCAGTCTGGAGACAGCAGCTCAGAGGAGGACTATAGTGTGATAAAGAAGGAGTCTGCAGCCTACAAATCCAGCCAAGGGGTCATGTCGCCATTGGCCAAGAAGAAGCTCCTGTCCCAGGTGTGCGAGTCTAATACATTTGCCTTTTCTCTTCAACTTCCTTTACCCCAGATTCCCTCCTATTCATCAATGTCCCTATCTGAAAGGGACACAGAGAGGAGAAACGAGGAGTCGGGACAGAGGCAAAGCTCCGACAGTATGTCAGAGGTGTCCACATTCCGTCCCTCTGTTATCCAGCACGCTCAGAGCACTAAAGCACAGCACACCAGCAGCAGCCAGCTGGACAGGGGCAACTCCAGAGAGCTCTCCGAGGCCTATGGCCGTAGTGGGCGCCACATTCCGGCCCAAGTGAATGCACCGTGGCAGCCTTTTCTGCCCCAGGCTCAAAGCCAGGATGGAAGTAAACAGGACAAGTTAGTGCAACAGAGTAGTACGACATGTCAGTCAAGAAGCTACACACGGGACTGTTACTCATCACCTCACCTAAACAGTCTCTACCGACAAACAGAGACCTGCCTCAGCCAAGACCAGATCTCGGGATTCACCAACGGAGAGGGCAGGAGGGAGCAGTACAGCAGAGAGCGTGAAGGCGGTCAGGGCTTCATCTGCATTGAACCAGAGGGCCTGGCCTATAGAAGCCACTACACAGACAGGAGTCAGGACAGCAGAGAGGCTAACGATGAGCCCAAAGACTTCAGCATATCGAAACACAGGGTCTCGTCAGTGCCCAAGTCCTCTTTCTGTGGTTTGTCATATCCCATCATGCACCAGAGTTTGGAGTCACATCCTAAGGCATGCAAAGTTTCTCCCATGACTGTCTCTCCCTCAAAACAGACTTCAGATTCACAACAGTCGTTCCCCAGTCCAAAGACCTCTGAATCCAGTCCCAGCAGACTGAGTAAGAGAAGTGTGGCTGATGATGAGAGCGAGGACGCTCCCCAGAGGAAGGTGCGTGTGGTGACGCCAATCCACCCCATTGCAGTCTCTCGCCGCAGTGACCCCGAGGAACTCAAAGCGGCCGAGCCCACTCATGCAGTTCACCTCAGCAATCACATGACAGAGGGGCAGCCCACCAACACATACCCCCATCCACACTCCCTGTACCAGAGCCTGTACGCCCCTGGCAGCCTGGTGTCCAGTGTACAGGAGATTCAGCACCCAAGCCTACAATACCTCAAGAGCCAATCGGCAGTGTCGCCCCTGGTCCCGCCTTTAGCCTTTCACTCCATGATGCTTCACCGGCAGCTGATGGCGGCCAGCCCCAGTGCTCACCCCTTCTACAGGCACCCTGGTGGAGCCGCTCTGTACGGGGACCTTCTGCACCACCTCTATCCCCTGTCCACACTCCCACCCCCACAGCTGTCCTCGGCACACCCCAGCACCAGACTGTGAACGCATCATGCTAAAACACTGACAAACCCATGAACCCATTGGTCAGGCTGACTGAAAAGCCCTGTGTATTTTGCTCTTTGTTCTATACTTTGCACTGCTCTGTTTTTGTATCACCACTTACTGTATCTTGTGTTGTATAATTATTTGCACAATGCTCTCGTCTGTGTATGTGCTCACATCTGCCTCTCTGTCTTTGTGAGTCAGGTCAGGTCGCTTTGGACAATTGTTTAAAAAAATGAAAGGTGACAGAGTAAAGCCATTGTTTACTGCATCTGAGGGCTAAACGTTGTTGCTTAGAAACACTAAAGTGATGTATATGAAGTCTTTGAAAACAAAGCTGCGTTCACTATCATCACCATAATGAGTGCATTATTACACTGAAGCAGTGGTGTTGTGCATGTTTACATTTCCCTCACTGAAGCTGTCCACACCGCACTGACCTCCAGTGCTCGTCTCATTGTTGCTTTGAGGTGCTGTGTTGGCAGACGTACTGTACACGCAACGACTCACTTCAGGTGTAGTGTTCATTTCGTATTTTCAATTCATCGAATACAAGTACTTGTCAACTAGTTAGAATGTTTTATTATCAGAGATTACAATAGAAACGCTTTGATTTTAGTTCCACAGTAAAGGCCCTTATGCGCTTGTGATAGATTGTAGCAGTGTTTAGTCTGTAGGACCAACATGATGAAGCAGCCGCTAGCTGTTCATTCTCTTAAATCATCAGCATTTCATCCTTTTTTTTCCTAAACTTGAAAAGCTCTTTCTGTTGTGAACAGACTGCTTCATGTGACATGCTCGGTAGGACTCTATAGGAATGTTGCCATTGAAAAAAAACAATTGCTTTGAAAAAACAGTATTTGTGCCTTTTGCAGTCTCGGATTAGAATTAGCATTACAATTTAGATTTATTTTATTCTGTAGCATGGTTGGCCTATAATTAGTGCTGTTACTTTGAAATCAATGCAGAGCCATTAAGACACTATAGGCTACGATGTTATTTCTTTACATAAAACATTGAAGAGTTATAAGTTAGCGCCTTAACGAAAGAGTTTTTCCTTCTCCACCAGTACATGTGTTTTAGTGCTGTAGAAAAGGTACAATACATGAAATGCTTCAGCCCCAGGAAGAAGCGAACAGCGGCTCCGGCTTTTACAACCACTAGACCTGCAGTTAGTCCAAGTACGTGAGCACATATGGGAGTTTTACTGAATTAAAAAGACATTCATTTTTTACCAAGTACTGTACATGGTTGTGCGTAAGTGAGACTGACGGGATTGTGGGCAAATGTACAGATATTGCTCTTTTGGGATCAAATAATTCTCGTTTTATTTTCATGTATATAGATTTGTAGATAAACTGTGTGGCTGTTATCATTTAAGCAGTTATAATCTGTAAATAGTATATAAACAATTTAAAGTCGGTTACACAATCTAGCTGTCTCTGCTGTTTCAAGGCCACTATAAACATGCTAGATTTTAACACTACAATTTAAAAACTAGAATATTCTTTTGTCGTTATATTTTTGTTTTCATCAATGTGCATCCTTCAAGTGTTTTTGATACATTTTACCTATCATCCAGCAAGCAAGACAAAAATAAAGACATTTTGTATTATATGACTTCCTGTATATTTAATTAAAATATTTTACTATGTACACAATCCTCTTTTGCATTCTTTGTAAGTGAATCCTTCTGTGTTGGTAATTGTGTTTCTGGAGCTAAACACACTGAATGTTGTAATATTAGTGTAATACTATTATCTGGGCACAAGTTTCCATTCACTTTAATCTTCACAACAGGAGACTTCTGGGCTCAAAGCCAGTCTTTGTGTAGTCTTTATGGAGAGAAACTTAAACAGCAAACCTGTTGATCTGGACTTTGAAGGGACAGCTTAAAACTACAAAACAAACACAGATAAGAGAAAAAGCTATAATTCTCACCATGGTTATTCCTCTATTTTTATTACATCTGTAGAAAATACAAAAGGGGAAGAAGTATATTAGACATTGCACCTTGAAGACAAAATAATTACATTAAAACGCACAAAGATAATTTGAGGTCATTAGTGAGGCTTGTAATGCAAAAAAAAAAAAATCTTCATTTCAGAGATGAGTTTTACAATTTTACAGTAAGCAGCCCTTTATCAGAGTCAACATATGTGCATGAATAACCATATAATTGTATGTTTAATACAATCTCTTTATTTAATGTCAAGGACAGTCTGAAGTACATGTGCATCACTGGACGAGTAAATGTGCAGCTCGACGTCAAAGTGGAATGTATCAACACGAAACAAACAAGACAATTTAATGCTTTCGTCACCTTTCAGAAATGTATATTACACGTTACATACGCGTCTGTAATCCGCCACAATCATTGAGTGGGCAATACCATATAACTAATGAATGAGAATAGACTTTTTTTAATACCATTTGTACTGAAGCCAAATATGTACTTAATGAAAATACGGAAACAAGACTAAGTCATATAAATGCCTCAAATTGGCTTTTCAACTCTCTCCTAGTGGCTATAAAGTCTTCACAGCAAATAGAAGTCAATACCCCAAAGTGAAGTAGTGAATCGTCAGTGGTTTGCAGTCTACGGATTGATGCCAATCCAAGTGCTTTCTGAAAGTGTCTTACATCAGGCTCCTGTTCCAGCGGCAGAGCTGAAATAAGCTTTTCCATTTTGGTGGGATTGATGGAGGTGCTGCTCTGGCGGACGCCATTCAAATCATTCATGGTTTAGGTGCGAGTGAGAAGTTTCACAGGTGACGGCCTGGATTTGTGCATTAAAGGATAATGCTTTATTGACATAAGAATAGATACATTTCCACTGCACTAAGTCAAGTGTTAGCCTGGCTATCATATTAGTGTGTATGCAAATAATTAAATCAGTTAAGACCATGAGATCACAGGGGTTTAAGACTAATCCTCTCTCTGAAGGACTTTCTTAATTTACTCCTTGGAGCAGGAACAGGCGCGGTGCCATAGAAAGGCACTGTGGCCTCTGTACGTGGGGGCTTCTCCTGGCTCTGCAGCTGGAGGTCCAGGACCCCCAGAGGAGCGTTCTTACGGCTCAGCGCTGACGCTCCGCTGCAGTTGTTTCGCTGGAGTTGCTGGATGATGGAGGAGAACTTGGCGTCCAGAGAAGGCCGGCCGGTCTTTGAGCGGGGAGTGGGTCGAGAGTTACAGGCAGCGACATTTTCCTGCTGGGGAGGAGCGTGAGCAGGAGGAGGTGGTCTATTACAAAATCTCTTTTTTTCTATTATTTTACCTCTCTAACCCTTCCCTCTCCCAAACATCATTTCTTCTCTATGCTCCTATCTTCTTATTACATTCCATCTTCCCATCCTTTATACATTCACATCCCCTATTTCTTTTGCTTTTCCCTCCCTAACAACCCCCTCTATTTTTTCTATCTAAATAAATATTATTTTCATCTACCCATTTCTTATTCATAAAACCACACTCCCCACCCCCCAAAAACCCCCCATACCTCCCCCTCATTCTCCCCCACCCCCCCCTTTTACTCCCCTAAATTTCCCTACCAAAACATACACTATTCCCCACTCCCTTCCTACCTACAACACCCAACCACCATCATCATACATATCACCACACCCCCCCAAACCCTTATCCCATAAACCCTTACCCTCCCCCATTATCTAATCCCCCCCATCATTCACCCCCCCCCCCCCCCCCCATACCACCCCCACCTACCCAATACCCCTTCCACTTCCCACAATTATCTTCCTTCCTCATGAAACCTATTATCACTTCTCACAACACCAACCACCTAAATACCCCCCCCATCCTCCAATCCCATTATCCCCCCCCCCACCCCAACATCCCCCCCTTTAAAATAAATAACATATACCCATATCTATAAACCCTCTCCAATCCACATTACCCCCTCATCACTTAATCCCTTCTATTCACCCCAGTACCCCCTCACTACAATTCCAATATCATCATCCCCTCACACCATTCTATTAATAATATATTCCCTTACAATCTCCCACATCTTTTCCCCCCTTAAACCAACCCTCCTCTCTAATACCATCACCCCCCCCCCCAACCCACCCCCCCCCAACCCCCCCCACCATATAACAACATCCCATTACCAACCCCATCAATTCCATTCACAACCCCTTACTTTCCCTCCAAAATTCCAATCCCAACACTAAAATATCTCTACCCCCCTCCCAACTACCATCCCACCTCACCCCTCACCCTCATCCCTTATCACTCCAACCCATCCCCACTCCCCCATCTCACCCCCCCCCACCCCACCCCCTCAAACCAACACTCTCCCCTCCTAATCCCCCCTATATTCCCCTCCTTCACCCTATATCATCCCCAAAAAATCTCTTCCCACCCTCCAACCAATCATCTATACCATCCACTTCATCTCCCCTTCCCTTCCTCATTAAACCACTATCTTTCCTCCATTCTCCCCCACCCTCATCTCATCCCTGCAACCCACCCTTACCCCCTCTCAAAAAACCATATCTCCTACAACCACTCCACCATCCAACCCCCTAACATACCCCCCCACCGATCCATCTCCATTCCCCCCAACCACCCCTATCTTCCCTCCCTCCATCTATTATACATTCCCAACTAAATCCAATACTCACCCACCCCTCCCCCCCCCCCCCCCCCCATCCCTCCCCAAACCCCCCACATACAAACTCAACCCCCCCCCCCCACACAACCATCCCCCACCCAACACCATACAAGCCAATAAATCAAAAACCCCCCATATCCCCCCAAACACATACTTCCTCCCTATTCCCCCTCCCCCTTATCCTCCAACACCAATCCTTCCATACATACCCCACCCCTCTTTCCCTTTAAAACAAACCCCAACCTCCCCAATCCCCAACACCCCACCCCCCCACCTCTAACATATCCATAAACCCCAACCCCAAACCCCCCCCCCCCCCCCCTACCCACCTCCCACCAATTACCCCTCCCCTCACAAACACCCACCACCTCAACAACCCCACCCCCCCCACCCACCACCCAACCCCCCCCTACCCCCCCCATATACCACACCCCCCCCAACCACCCCCCCAACCCCAACCAAAAAAAACCCCAACACACCACCCCCACCCCCCCCAAACCCCCCCCCCCCCCAACACCCCCCCCCCCCCCCCCCCCCCCCCCCCACCCCAACAAAACACCCCCCCCCCCCCCCCCACACCCCCCCCCCCCACCCCCCACACCACACCCACCCACCACACACCTAACAACAAAACAAACCAAAACCAATCCCCCACCCACAACCCCAACCCCCAACCCCAACCCACCCCCCCCCCACCAACCACCCCCCCCACCCCCCCCCCCACTCCCCCACCAACCAACCACCCCCCACCCCCCACACCCCCCCACCCACCCAACCCCCCCCCCCCACCCCCCACCCCCACCCCACCACAACCTCCCCACCAAACACCACAAACCCACAAACCCCCCAAACCCCCCCAAACACCCACCCCCCACCCTTCTAACCCCATCCTATAAAACCCAAACATCCCTCCCACCCCTCAATAACACCCCCACCCCCAACCCCCCCCCCACATCCACCCCCCCCCCCCCCCCCCCCCCACCTCACACCCCCCCACAACCACAACTACCACAACAAAACCCCTCCCTCTCCCCCAAATTATCCAATATCACTCCAACAAAAAATATCTACACCCCCCAATCTCCATCCCCCCAAAAACACCACCCCCCACACCCCCCCCCCCCCCAACCACCCAACTCCCTCTCCCCCCCCCCCCCACCCCCCCCCCCCCCCCAAAAACCACCAACCCACCAATCCCACCCACCCTTCCCCCCCCCCCCCCCCCAACCACCCCAACCCCCCCCCCCCCCCCCTAACAACAAAACCCCCCCACCCCTCAACAATCCTCCCCCCAACCCCACTCCCACCCAACCCACACAACCCCCATCCCCAACCAACCCACCCCCCCTACACCACAACAAAACACCAAACCCCCCACAACTCACCCCCACCCCACCCACCCCCACCCCCCACCCCCCCTCCACAACACACCACACTCACATATCATCAACATACCCTCAACCCCCCCCCCACCCCCCAACCCCCCCCCCCCCCCACCCAAAACACCACCCCCACTCCCCCCACCACACTCAACCCCCAACAACACAACCCCAACCACCACCCCCCCAACACCCCCCCCCCCCCCCCCCCTCCCACAACAAAACTCTCCCTATCTCCCCAAAAACCACCCCAACCCACCCCCACCCCCAACCCCCACACCCCCCCCCCCCCCCCACCCCCCCCACACCCACCCAACAAACCACACCCCCCCCCCCCCACCCCCCCCAAACCCACCCCCCCCCCCCACACCCCCCCACCCCCACACCCCCCCCCCCCACACAAACCCCCCCACCCCACCACACCCCCCACCAAACTCACCCACCACCCCCCCACAACACCCCCCCCCCACCCCCCACCCACCCCCCCCCAACCCCACACCACCCCCCCCCACCACCCCCCCCACCCCCCCCCCCCCCCCCCCACACACCCACAACACCAACACCCCCCACAACCCCCCCAACAAAACCCCCCACCTCCCACCCCAATCACACACACCCAAACCCCAACAACCCAAAACCCCCCAACACCCCACATACCCCCCAACAATTCAACAACAAAATCCCCACAAACTATCACCCCCAACCCCCCCACCCCACAATCCTTCCATACCCCCACCCCCACACCAACCCCCCCCAACCATTACCATCCCCAACCAAACCCCAACCCCCAACCCCCAACATCCCCCTCACCCACCCCCTATCCCCCCATATATAAACCCCAACACCCCTCCTACATACAACTAAATACAATCCCCTCCCAATAAAAAATTCACACCCCCACCCATCTAATATCACAACTTACTACCCCCCCAAACAACAATCCCTTCAAACCACATACCCCCCCCCACCTCCCCCCCCCACACCATAACCAAAAAACACTCCCCTCACCCCAACCCCCCTACAACACACCATATACACATAATCTATCATCACATACCTCCATACCCCCACCCCCCACCCCCCCCCCCCACCTCACAACCCACCCAACCCTACCACCCACCCAACCCCCCCCACCATCCCTCCCCCCCCCCCAACTACCTAAACACCCCCACATAACCACCACCACCCCCCCCACACCACTCACACCCACCCCCTCACCCCACCCTACCAACCCCCAAACCCTCAACCCAAAACCCAACCCCCCACACCTCCCACCCACCAACCCCACCCCCCCCCCATCCCCCAAACACCAAACTAATACCAACCCCAACAAAAACCACCCCCCCCCCCCCCACAACCCCAACCCCCAACCCCAAAACAATCCCCAAACTTATCCAACCAACCCCCCCAATAACACCCCCCCCCACCCCCACCACCCACCTAAAAATATACCAACAACCTACACCCCCCCAACAAAACTACCCACCATACCACACCCACACACCATCCAATCCACCCAACCCAACCCCCCCACAATCCCAAACAAACCACCATACCAACACATCATCTATTACCACCATTCACCACCAACATTACCCCCACATCCATCCCTCCATTATCCCCTCCCCCAACAATTCCATACCCTACCCCTCATCTACTTCAACCCCACATACCCCCTTAACCACCCCCCCAAACACCCAACATACCCCCCCCCCTATCCCCAACTCAACACACCAACACTACAAAACCAAACAAAAAATACTACCCTAAACCCTCTTTCCATCCTCTCACCCACTACCCACAACCATATCTATTCTATCCATACCACAATACAATAACCAACCCCCCATCTTCCTAACCCCTCCCCCCTACCTTCCTCACCCAATCATATCCCTCCCACCTTATCCATAACCCCCAAACCTCACACCCCAAATATACCAATTAAAAACAAACCAAAATAAAAAACCCCTTCCCCATACAACTATCCTTCCCCCATCTACAACCCCCCCCCTTCCTCTTCACCCTCCACATACCCCACCCCCCCCCCACCTCTCTCTATTACAACCCTCCCCCCTCTACCTTCCTCTTATTCCCCCCTATTCTCCCCCTCCCATCCCTCACAAAAATCCCCCCCCTCTTACCTAAAACACCCCCCATCCCCACAACCCCTTCCCCCCCCCCCCCCCAATAAAACCACCCTTTCAAAAAAAACCCCCCCTAACCCCATTCCCAACCAATAATATCCCCCCCATCATCTCACTCTCACCACCACCCCCCTTCCCCCCACTCACCAACCACCCCCTCTTCCTCACTAAACCCATCCCATCTATCTACCCCCTATAAATAAATCACTCCCTATATCCCCCCCCCATAAAACATAAATCCCTTACCACCCAACCCCTTTACCCAAATCTCTACACCCCATCCCACCACCATCATCCAATCTCCTCCATCCTCCTAAAACATCTATACTTCTTCCTCCCTTCCAATCCCCCCCCCCATTACCACCCACAAATTCATTCACCCCTACCTATAAACTACCCCTCCCCTATACAAACACAATACCACCCCCACCCCCCCACACCCCTCCCCCCCCCCCCATCCCCCCCCCCACCACCCCCCCCCTCCTCATCCTCCTCTTCTATCCCCTCCCCCCACCCCATACCCTTTCCCCCCACCCTCCCCCATCATCTACCCCCTCCACCCACCCCACCACCATCACCCTCCACCACCCCCTCCTTCCCCATACTATCCCCATACCCACACCCCCCCACCCTCACCCCTCCCTTCCTTTTATATTATAATAAATATATATTACCCATTCCCCTCCCCCTAACACCCCCCACCCCCCCTCCCCACCTCTCCCCCCATCCCCTCCTTCTCCCTACCCCTCTCATCTCCCTACTCCCCTCAACATTTTTACATTCCCACCCACATCCCCCTTCCTTCTCCTCCCCCCCCCCTACCTCTTCCCCCAATCAAACCACATTCCCTCTCATTAACCATCCACCCCTTCTACCCAACCTCCATACCAACCTCTCTCTTCAACTACCCAACCCCCATATCACACCCATACAACCCATCAAACCAACAATCACCCCCCCACCACACTCACTCCCTTCCACCCCATCCAACTATCCCCCTATTCCCATCCAAAACAACATTCCCACCCTCCAACACAAACCATCCCCCCACCCTTCCCTACCCCATATCCCAACACCCACTCCCCACCCCCATCCATCAAATCCATCTACCCTCCCCCCTATCTTCACCACCACCCCCCCCCCCCCATCTCCCTAACAAACTCACATCCTCATTCCCCTTCTCCCATCATACCTCCACATACCTCCCTCCCAATTCTATTCCACCCCAACCTAACTCCATCCCCCCCCTTCCTCAACCCACCAACCCAAATTTTACAATCCAAACACAAATCTTATCCTCCCAAACACTCCCACTTCTATCTAATCACCCCCCCCCCAAATCATCCAAACACATTCCAAATACAATAAACCTACAAAACGAAACATACCCACAAATCAACCCCCCCCTACCCATTACAACCCTCCCCTACACCACACCAACAACAAACCCTATACAATCCCCCCCACCATCAATATTTTCAACCCCTCCTCAACATACCCTATACCACACCAAACATCCTAATCTCCCTCCAACCAAACCAAAAATAAACTATAACCCCCACCCCCCACCACCATCTTCACCCCCCACAACACTACCCCCCCCCCCCCCCTATCACCCAAACACTACATAACCACCCCACCCCAACCCTCACCAACACCCCACCCCCCCCCACCCAATACCAACAACCCCCCAAAATCCACAACACCCTAATCAACCCCCCATAACCCACACCCCCCACCCCCCCCCACCCCACCACACAAAACCCACAAAACCCACCCCCCCACCCCCCCCCCCTCCCCCCCACCCCCTAAAAAACCCATACACCCCCCCAACCACCCCTAATCCCCCCCCCAACCCCCCCCCCCCACCCCCACCAACCCCCACACCCCACCACCCACCCCCCCCCCACAACCACCCCCCCCAACAACCCACCCCACCCCCCCCCCCCCACACTCCCACAAAAAACCACCCCACCACCCCCCCCCCCCACCCAACCCCCAAAACACACCCCCACCCCCCCCCCCCACCCCCCCCCCCCCACCCAACCACACCCCCCACACCCCCCACCACACCACCCCACACCCCAAACCCCCACACACCCCTCACCACCCCCCCCCCACCCCCCCCCCCCCCCCACACACCCACCCCACCCCCCCCCCCCCCCCCCCCCCCACCAACCCCCCCCCCCCCACCCACCCCAAACCACCCCACCCACAACCCCCAAACCCCCCCCACACCCAATCCTACCCACACACCCCCCCCCCCTCCACCCACCCAACCCATCCACTTCAACACTCCCATAACACCCCCACCCATCCTTCATCCCCAATCATCCCCCCCCCCAACCCTCCCCCTCCACAACACTAAAACCCAATACTCTAACCCCACCCTACCCCAAACACATATTCCCAATCCCCCCTCCTCTCCCTCACTCAATATACCCCTTCCCCAACCCCAATAAACACACACAAACCCTCAACACCATCCACCCATCACCCCTCCCCCCCCTAACACACACCCCCACACAACCCCATCCCCACCCCCCCCCACCCCCCCCCCATTCCAATCACCCCCCCCTCTCCACATAACCCCAATCCCCCCACCCCAACCTACCCCCAACCCTCCCCCCCATACCCTACCAAAACAACCCCCAAAAAAAAAAAAAAAAAAAACATTACCCCCCCTACCATACAAAAACCAACCTACCCCCACCCCACATATCACCCTACCAATTCCACCCATCCTTACACTATTAATACCCCTCCTTCTACCTCCATAACTCACCACCATTTATCCTCCAAACATTCATACCAAAACAACCCTCCCCCCCCCCCCATACAATTCTCCTTCCCCCAAACTAACATCCTCACCAACACCCACAACCCCATAAAACATACCCTCCCCACCCCCCTACTCCCACACTAATACAACCATTCCACATCCCCCCAATCAAACCCCCTACCCCCCTCCCCCACCACACTTCCCCCCCATCACCTCAACCCCACCCACACCCAATCCACTCACCAACACCAACCTCTCCATCCCCAATCCCCCACCATAAAAAACCCCCATCCCCATAAAAAAACCCCCATTCCCCCTAACACACTCTACACCCCTCTCCATAACCCCAATCTCCTACATAACCCCCCCCCTCCCTTCAAAACCATAAATTCCCCCCCCTTTCATCCCATCATCATCAAACCTCTCCATCCCCTCACTCTTCATAACCACCATAATTACCACCCTACACCCCCCCCCATCAACCCACACCCCCTTCCACCTTTCCCCAAACCATATTCACCACCCCAACCCTCTAAACACAATACCACACCATCACCACCCCCCAACCCCCCCCACTAATACCCCCCTACCCAATACAACTCATCAATCCCACCCTCCCATCACCCACCCCCCTCCTATATACTAATCTATACCTACCCCTAATCCCCCCATCCCCCCCACACCTCCCCCCCCCCATTCCTAACCCCCCATTTTCATATCCTTTATATTCCTCTAACTATCTTTCCATACCCCCATCCCCCCCCCTTCCAACCCTATACAACCATCCCCCAAAAAATTTTCATAACTATCCTCCTCAAATAATACCCTCAACCAACCCACCCCAAACTATAAACCCACCTCCCCACTAAACTCCCACCTCATCCCCTCCCCCAATTCAAACCACACCCCAAACCAAAAAAACCCCCAATACCCCCCTTCCCTTCCCATACACCCCCATCCCTCTCTTCATTCATATCTCACCTCCACCTCCTCTTCCAATATCCCCCCACCAAACCCCCCCCCTCCACCCTACCTATATCACCCAACCATCTCCCTATCCCCTACACTCCCCCTCTCCCCCCACCCCTTTCCAAAACCCTACCTCCATTCCCCCATTAAACCATTTAAATACCCCTATAAACTCAAATCATCCCCCTTAACCCCCCCCCCCTAATTTATTTATATCCTTCCCTATTTTTTATTTCTATATTACCCCTTTTCACTCTTATTATCCTCCTACCCTACCCTCTCTTCACCCCCCCTTTATCATACTCTTTTATCTCATTTTCATTCCTCCCAACCTCATCCTTATCCTCCACCATTCTATCCCTTCACCCTTCTTTCCCTTTTCTCCCCCATCTCAATTACAATCTTACAATACTTCCAATTTATCATCCCAACCATACCCCATTCCCCCTTCATCCATTTTCCTACGCCTTCACATTACCCTTTTATATTCATTTTTACATATAATTATTTATCCCCAATACCAAATCAATCATCTTATCCCATCCATCTATTTCACTTCCTCAAATCTCACCACTTTTACCCATCCTTCTCTCTCCATCCCCCCATTTTTATTCATTCCTACCCCCCCTCCCCAACACATTTCTCTACCACTCAACAAACCACTCCACACAACTACAAACAACTACATCATTTCCATTCAACCTCTTACATATTACTTTTTCCCTTCCATATATCCACCATCATACATAAAATCTTTATTCCCCTCAATTTCTCCCCAATAATCCAATCATATACACCACCACCACATTATCCAATCATTCAAATCCCCCCCCTCCCTATTTCAATTTCCCATACTCTCCCCATATAAACACTCACATCCATAATTCAAATTTCACCCACTAACTCCACACATCATACCATCCACCATACATAATACTATTCCACAAACTTCCCCTTCCACTTAACCCATCCTCATCCTCCCATCCTCCAACACTCACACATCATACCATCCACCCACCATCCCACCCTAATTATCCACCCTCTCACATTACAATTCATATTCATTACACATAAATACTTACTCTCCATAAACTATCTTATCATATAACCCCTACTATATAATCAACTCCATCCATACTAACACCCACAATAATCCCCCACCAATACCCATAAACCAACCCACCATTCAAATCTCCATTTTCCATCAACCTTCATCCCCTTATGCCAACCCAATTTCCTTCCTTATTCTCCCCCACCTTCCCACTTCCACTTATCCTCCACACATTCTAATGCCCATACCTCATTATATCATTAGTTCATCATCAAAATATCACATCTCTTTCATTCACCCCTTTCCTTCCATATTCCCCCTCATCCCACCATAACCCCTTTCAAATCACCATACCTCCACTCTAAACACCACACATATACCCAAACCTCACTTTCCCAATCATCCACTTCTTTCAATTTTTACCATTCCTAATCCTCTCCCCTTCCCCATACAACTTCCACTCCCCCCATTTCCCATTCTCACAACAATTCCCCCCATTCTCCCAATCCCAATTCATTCAAATACTTCATCATACACCAACAAAACACCCCCCCCAAACTACCAACCCACATCTCATCATACACCCTCCATCCTCACCCTCATCAATCCCCATTTCCTCCCCACCCCCCACCAACCACCCAATACACACACCCTCTACAAATAACAATTATTATTACACATTCCTTTCCCATATATCATCATTAAATATTTATTACCCCATCTTATCTTCCTATCTTTTTAATATATCCATCACATTTCCAACCTACATCCATAACCCCTTATCTCCAACTCAATCCTATCAACCCATCAAATACACCCAACCTTCCTTCTTCCCCTTCCCATATCATATATTACTTCCTATATCTTTCAACCAATAATACCCCTCACAAATTTTCCCCATCTCTCTTCCCCATCACTATCCCCCTCTACACCACCCAACCTCTAACTCATCAACACAACCAAACACAACCCCATTTCACAACCTACCACCCCCCATTACCTTTACTTTATCACACAAACTATAAAAAACCAACCCATCCTTCCCCCCCCCATTCCTATAACAATAATTAACAATCCAAAAATACAAACCCCCATTCACTCAAAAATCTCAAATACACATCATTATAATATTTCAACCATAACCCTATTCCCACACCACACACAAAAAACCCATAAATCTCAATAAATTTTTAAATTTAACAAAAATTCCCTATCCAATCTAAATTCAACCATTATTCAAACACCATTCCACCCACTTCAACATTTAAACTACCCATTTCTTTTCAATACCATACACAACATATCCACACCACCTTACTTCTCTACATCCACCCCTACCCCCATCACCCCCCAAACTCCCAAACATACCAACCCAACCACAATACTACACAAAACCCCTCAACAAACCCTACCATCAAATATTATACATCTTAACACAAAGTCACTTCACACCTCCCCCACCCATTCCCGATCACACTCTTAACATCCCCATCATCAAAACCCCACCTTTCCACATCAAAAACACCCCACAATACCAACCATATATCTTTTCATTCGAGCATCTTACACATAATTTTACATTTACACTCCCAAAATTGCACCTTATCCACTCTCCTTAACATACCTTCATACACCCACACCTAAGTAAAACCCAATCCACACCCCCCACTCACTATCATTCACCATAAATCCCCCATTTTCCCCTCACACACCCTAACTCACAACACCATCAAAATACCAATTCACACAGTAAATACAAAACAATAACCATCCCAAATAGCCCTTATTACCCCCCATTATCTTTCAACCAACACACACATCAAAACTCCACTTCCACATTACCATACCCCACACCACTACAAACATTCCCCCACCATAACCACCCACACACCACATATCCCCCAGACATGTCACATAATCATCATACATAAAACACCATTTAACTCTTCTGCACATTAAAAAGAAACAAAACCACTAGACCAATCAAAATTTTTTTCCTTATCATCTCATCGTGGTTTACAAAAATACCCAAAAATACCACTAACCACTAACAAATTCCAAATTCCCCCAAACATACAACAAAACACTATCCATTATATTAATTTCAATATACTTCCTATCCCCCACCCACCTACATCTACCCCCAACATCCAAAAAACCATACATCCCCTTCCTAACCTCTCCCCACCAAAACCTTTCCCTCTCCCCCCCCCCCCCCCCCCTCCACCCTCCATTAAAATCCCTCACAACCACTATCCTTTTCCCCCAATCTCTAACTTTTCACCTATTCAAAAAATAAAAGAAATCACATCCCCCCCATATCATTCCTTTCTCTCCCTATACACACCAAAACCAACCTACATAATCCCCTTTCCCCTTTCCCCCTCCCTCCCATACCACAACCTATCCCAACAATTCACTCCCCACCTCTCCCCCCTTAACTCCCCCTCCTCTTTCTCCCCTCCATTTCTATAAATACATAACCACCTTTTCCAATCCTCTCACACATCTACCCCATCTTCCATAACCCCAACCAACCATTCAACAAACCCCCCCAAAAATCTCCCTCATCTCCTCAAATTCCATACCACCAACCACCCTCCCTAAAATCACTATCACCCTCATCCATACCCACCTTCCCCACTAACCCCAGACCACATTCACCAATCACCATCATTATAATATAATGGCACCCCCCCCTCCAATAAAACCCCAACCCTCCATTCCCCACACCCCCCTCTATCCATCCTCAAATATCACATATCCCTCTAATTCATACTTTTCCATTTACCCCAACCAATCCATACCACATTTGTCTTCTCATTTTCCTTATACCCAATAACAACATCTCTCCCACCTCATTTCCCCAAACCATCCCCCTATCCCACAACCACACATTCCCTCCCCACCCCCCAACCCCCCATAATACAAAACCAAACATAATTCACAAACCTACAATAATAATTATAATCTTCATAACCACCATCCACCTCTCCCAACAACCCCCCCAACCTCACCCAACTCCATTCAACACAACCCTACCCCCCCCCACATAACACCCACAAATATCCACCACCTCCACAAAACATAATTAACAACCATCCCCCATACTCCCCACATAATATTTTTTTATAACCCACCCCCCCCCACCATTAACATAAACACCCTAACATCTCCTTTCCCCCTCACTCATTCACCCCCCTCAACCACACCATACCACCACTCACAACAAAAAACACTATATATCTTAAAAACATCAACCAAAACCCCCCATCAATTACCAATCTCATTCCCCACATCCCACTACCACCTAAACACCACACAAAAAATACAATAACATTTACAAACCATAACAAAAAACACATATTCAACACATCCATCCCATTCACTATCAAAACCAATCCCTCCCAAACCCTATCCCCAACACACCTACTACCAAACATAATCTCCTTTTCGTATCAATTCCTCATCCTATAATCCCTTATTTCTCCTATACTATTCCTCCAAATACACCCAATTCTTCTATAAACCCCATTAAACCCCTCACCCTCCAAACACACCTCCCCCTTACCCATAAACATCTCACTACCCCCAACACCAACTATCCCAAACACCCCACTAATAAATCTCCCCTCCCTAACATCACAACAAACCCACCAAACAATTACTCCACAACATACATAACAAATACCCCACCACAACACCCCCCACATCTTCACACCATTCACAAATCCCAACACCATAACATCCTCCCAACCTACTAATCTAACCTACTGAACAAAACCCCACAACATTCCCCCAATAATACATCCCCACATTTGCATTAAAATACTCTCACCATACCCATCCCCTCTAAAATACAAAAAATTACAACCATTCACAAACCACAATAATCCCATATACCCACATATATCCCACCACCCCTATAAACTATAAACCTTCCCATTTCCTATATACCCCCACATCCATCCCTCCTACCCCCCCCCAAACATATTGCCCCCTCAACAATACATTCCAACCCACCCATCTTGAAAAAAAAAAATCATTATAATACAACATCAACCCCTACTCAGTAAAATAGTTACATCACACACTAATACCTCCACCACTAATATTAATAATATCTCTAAACCACCACCAAACCCATCAAAATAAAAACCTCACCCCCCACATCACCAATCAATTCAGCATTAATTTCCATCACACTCAAACCTCAATAAACCACATAAAATTATCCAACTTCAAAAACCTATTATTATTACACACATCCATTTCCATAACACTAAACACATAAATCTATACACCCATTATCCACCATTCCCCCCCCTCAAAAAATAATCCATAATACCAAAAACTACACTAACCACAAATTTCCCAATAACCCACAAACCACCACCCCACCCCAACCCCAAAATCCAACAAAAAATACCCACATATTTTCCCAACCCCACCTACCACCCACATCCATCCAAACTACAACCCATAATAAATCACCAAAATCCCATAAAATCCCACCTATAAATTTCTTAAAATACCCCCCTACCAATCCAACAATTCACCAACTATAATACACCAACCTCCCCCCCCTATAAATCACCCCCCCCCTCTATCACCCCAATTCCCTCTCTTCTAAAAACTCATCACACCCACCCCCTAAACCCTCTACAACCATCCCAACAAACCATCCACAACCCTTTATTCCCCTCCCACCCCCCTATTCACACCATCTCCCCCCACCCAATTAACCCCCCCTAAACCAACATCCTATCCCCATCCCCCCCTCACCTCCCCAACACCCCTTCCCAACCACAAACACCTATCCACCAATACAACATCTAAACACCAACAAACCTCACCATACTTTAAACACATCCCCCACTCCCCCCTCACATAACATACCAACACCTACAACCCAACTCAATCCACTTCTTCCAAAACCTATAACCTCACCTCTACCCCCTATATTTTCCACTTCTCCCCCCCTACCCCCTTCACCCTCACCCCAAACACATCCACAAAACAACCAATCACTACCTTCATAAATCTACCCACTCACTAAACCATCACATACCCATACACCCCATCCCACCCATACATATTAAACAAAACCCCCCCCAAATATTTACATATCAACCAAAAAAACCCAACAACCCCACCCACCCATATCCTAACTCATACACCCCATAATCACCCAACTAAATTACATATACCAATCACCAACTCCAATCTCATCCCATTATAACACACAATCACTCAACCCCAATAACCTCCCACCCCCCACACCAATCCTTTCATATCCCCCATATAATAACTACACTAATAAACATAAACATTACAAAACCATAACTTAATCAACCTTAACATAAAGACCCCTTCTAATCACACATCAACACCAATTTACCCCACATCCCCATAATCCCCAAAATCCCACCAATCCTAATCCCGTCCCCCTTCCACCCACCATACCACACACACAATACTACCTATCACTTCATAAACAAATATCCCCTAATTAATATAAACACCCCCCCCCAACATAAAATACACACAACCAAACACCCTCACCATCTCAAAAATCCAACAACCAATATAAACTAAACCATATTACCTAAAACACCAAAATCCACAACTCACCACATTTCAATAAACAATATCAAACCATACCCCCATCAACAACACCATACACCAAAAATCTAATCTCAACCCAATATACTAATCCACCCCTTCCTCCTAAACGCATCTTCACAACACAACCAAAAACCCCACCCCCCACTCCCTAACATAACACACAAATAACCAACCATAAATCACAAAACAAACCCTACTACACAAAAACACTACCAAAACCTAAACAATGCCTTTTCCATATCCCTACCATCATACATAACATACTAACCACCTCACACTTTCCATCCCAATAATCTATCCCCACAAAACCACACCACCCCCCTCATATCCGCCATACCACTCATATTATTTCCCATACTAAATAATCTCTTTCCCCCCCACCTTAATAAATCAAATTAATTTAAATATCACATACCCAATCACTCTTATCTCATACATCATAACAATTACCACTACAATAAAACTACAAAAAAATACTACCTCATCCCCAATTATATATACACATCCTTCCCAATCACCAACCACACAATACATCTAAACATCCTACATAAAATTATCCCAAACCCAAAACCTAAACACATACCAACCTTACAACCTAAACCCCCCCTCATCACATCACAATCCAAACACAACCCCAAATTACAATAACCAAACACCATCACCTCTCTAACCCCCATCTAAAGCCCACCTCACCTATACATCCAATTCCCCCCTAACTCTTTTCCTACACCCATTCTACCTCAATCCAAAACTATAAACAAATACCCTATATCCAATACATAACACCCAATCAAAAAAAAACTCCCACCCTTAAAATCCCCAATACCCCCAAATTCAAACATCCAAAAACTTATCACCAAAACACCCATCACCCACCAAAATCAACATTCCTCACATAAAAACAATGCCCCAAATTACCAAAACATAACTCCCTCATCAAATTAAAAAAACCCTTTTACACCCCCCATCTCTTGAACCCCTCTTCTCACCCTCAAATCCCCCATCACACAAATACAAACCCCACCCCAATTATCTCTCTTCAACCAACCCAAAACAACCCCATTAATCACCTCCATCATAATAAACCCCTCCTCCCAAACACCTTCAAAACATTCAAAAAATACAACAACCCCTAACCCCCCCCCCCCCCCCCCCACCTAACCCCCCCCCCCCAACCACCAACCCCCCACCCCCCCCCCCCCCCCCCCCCCCCCCCCCCCCCCCCCCCACCCCCCCCCCCCCCCCCCCCCCCCCCCCCCCCCCCCCCCCCCCCCCCCCCCCCCCCCCCCCCCCCCCCCCCCCCCCCCCCCCCCCCCCCCCCCCCCCCCCCCCCCCCCCCCCCCCCCCCCCCCCCCCCCCCCCCCCCCCCCCCCCCCCCCCCCCCCCCCCCCCCCCCCCCCCCCCCCCCCCCCCCCCCCCCCCCCCCCCCCCCCCCCCCCCCCCCCCCCCCCCCCCCCCCCCCCCCCCCCCCCCCCCCCCCCCCCCCCCCCCCCCCCCCCCCCCCCCCCCCCCCCCCCCCCCCCCCCCCCCCCCCCCCCCCCCCCCCCCCCCCCCCCCCCCCCCCCCCCCCCCCCCCCCCCCCCCCCCCCCCCCCCCCCCCCCCCCCCCCCCCCCCCCCCCCCCCCCCCCCCCCCCCCCCCCCCCCCCCCCCCCCCCCCCCCCCCCCCCCCCCCCCCCCCCCCCCCCCCCCCCCCCCCCCCCCCCCCCCCCCCCCCCCCCCCCCCCCCCCCCCCCCCCCCCCCCCCCCCCCCCCCCCCCCCCCCCCCCCCCCCCCCCCCCCCCCCCCCCCCCCCCCCCCCCCCCCCCCCCCCCCCCCCCCCCCCCCCCCCCCCCCCCCCCCCCCCCCCCCCCCCCCCCCCCCCCCCCCCCCCCCCCCCCCCCCCCCCCCCCCCCCCCCCCCCCCCCCCCCCCCCCCCCCCCCCCCCCCCCCCCCCCCCCCCCCCCCCCCCCCCCCCCCCCCCCCCCCCCCCCCCCCCCCCCCCCCCCCCCCCCCCCCCCCCCCCCCCCCCCCCCCCCCCCCCCCCCCCCCCCCCCCCCCCCCCCCCCCCCCCCCCCCCCCCCCCCCCCCCCCCCCCCCCCCCCCCCCCCCCCCCCCCCCCCCCCCCCCCCCCCCCCCCCCCCCCCCCCCCCCCCCCCCCCCCCCCCCCCCCCCCCCCCCCCCCCCCCCCCCCCCCCCCCCCCCCCCCCCCCCCCCCCCCCCCCCCCCCCCCCCCCCCCCCCCCCCCCCCCCCCCCCCCCCCCCCCCCCCCCCCCCCCCCCCCCCCCCCCCCCCCCCCCCCCCCCCCCCCCCCCCCCCCCCCCCCCCCCCCCCCCCCCCCCCCCCCCCCCCCCCCCCCCCCCCCCCCCCCCCCCCCCCCCCCCCCCCCCCCCCCCCCCCCCCCCCCCCCCCCCCCCCCCCCCCCCCCCCCCCCCCCCCCCCCCCCCCCCCCCCCCCCCCCCCCCCCCCCCCCCCCCCCCCCCCCCCCCCCCCCCCCCCCCCCCCCCCCCCCCCCCCCCCCCCCCCCCCCCCCCCCCCCCCCCCCCCCCCCCCCCCCCCCCCCCCCCCCCCCCCCCCCCCCCCCCCCCCCCCCCCCCCCCCCCCCCCCCCCCCCCCCCCCCCCCCCCCCCCCCCCCCCCCCCCCCCCCCCCCCCCCCCCCCCCCCCCCCCCCCCCCCCCCCCCCCCCCCCCCCCCCCCCCCCCCCCCCCCCCCCCCCCCCCCCCCCCCCCCCCCCCCCCCCCCCCCCCCCCCCCCCCCCCCCCCCCCCCCCCCCCCCCCCCCCCCCCCCCCCCCCCCCCCCCCCCCCCCCCCCCCCCCCCCCCCCCCCCCCCCCCCCCCCCCCCCCCCCCCCCCCCCCCCCCCCCCCCCCCCCCCCCCCCCCCCCCCCCCCCCCCCCCCCCCCCCCCCCCCCCCCCCCCCCCCCCCCCCCCCCCCCCCCCCCCCCCCCCCCCCCCCCCCCCCCCCCCCCCCCCCCCCCCCCCCCCCCCCCCCCCCCCCCCCCCCCCCCCCCCCCATCCACCCCCCCCCCCCCCCCCCCCCCCCCCCCCCCCCCCCCCCCCCCCCCCCCCCCCCCCCCCCCCCCCCCCCCCCCCCCCCCCCCCCCCCCCCCCCCCCCCCCCCCCCCCCCCCCCCCCCCCCCCCCCCCCCCCCCCCCCCCCCCCCCCCCCCCCCCCCCCCCCCCCCCCCCCCCCCCCCCCCCCCCCCCCCCCCCCCCCCCCCCCCCCCCCCCCCCCCCCCCCCCCCCCCCCCCCCCCCCCCCCCCCCCCCCCCCCCCCCCCCCCCCCCCCCCCCCCCCCCCCCCCCCCCCCCCCCCCCCCCCCCCCCCCCCCCCCCCCCCCCCCCCCCCCCCCCCCCCCCCTCCCCCCCCCCCCCCCCCCCCCCCCCCCCCCCCCCCCCCCCCCCCCCCCCCCCCCCCCCCCCCCCCCCCCCCCCCCCCCCCCCCCCCCCCCCCCCCCCCCCCCCCCCCCCCCCCCCCCCCCCCCCCCCCCCCCCCCCCCCCCCCCCCCCCCCCCCCCCCCCCCCCCCCCCCCCCCCCCCCCCCCCCCCCCCCCCCCCCCCCCCCCCCCCCCCCCCCCCCCCCCCCCCCCCCCCCCCCCCCCCCCCCCCCCCCCCCCCCCCCCCCCCCCCCCCCCCCCCCCCCCCCCCCCCCCCCCCCCCCCCCCCCCCCCCCCCCCCCCCCCCCCCCCCCCCCCCCCCCCCCCCCCCCCCCCCCCCCCCCCCCCCCCCCCCCCCCCCCCCCCCCCCCCCCCCCCCCCCCCCCCCCCCCCCCCCCCCCCCCCCACCCCCCCCCCCCCCCACCCCCCCCCCCCCCCCCCCCCCCCCCCCCCCCCCCCCCCCCCCCCCCCCCCCCCCCCCCCCCCCCCCCCCCCCCCCCCCCCCCCCCCCCCCCCCCCCCCCCCCCCCCCCCCCCCCCCCCCCCCCCCCCCCCCCCCCCCCCCCCCCCCCCCCCCCCCCCCCCCCCCCCCCCCCCCCCCCCCCCCCCCCCCCCCCCCCCCCCCCCCCCCCCCCCCCCCCCCCCCCCCCCCCCCCCCCCCCCCCCCCCCCCCCCCCCCCCCCCCCCCCCCCCCCCCCCCCCCCCCCCCCCCCCCCCCCCCCCCCCCCCCCCCCCCCCCCCCCCCCCCCCCCCCCCCCCCCCCCCCCCCCCCCCCCCCCCCCCCCCCCCCCCCCCCCCCCCCCCCCCCCCCCCCCACCCCCCCCCCCCCCCCCCCCCCCCCCCCCCCCCCCCCCCCCCCCCCCCCCCCCCCCCCCCCCCCCCCCCCCCCCCCCCCCCCCCCCCCCCCCCCCCCCCCCCCCCCCCCCCCCCCCCCCCCCCCCCCCCCCCCCCCCCCCCCCCCCCCCCCCCCCCCCCCCCCCCCCCCCCCCCCCCCCCCCCCCCCCCCCCCCCCCCCCCCCCCCCCCCCCCCCCCCCCCCCCCCCCCCCCCCCCCCCCCCCCCCCCCCCCCCCCCCCCCCCCCCCCCCCCCCCCCCCCCCCCCCCCCCCCCCCCCCCCCCCCCCCCCCCCCCCCCCCCCCCCCCCCCCCCCCCCCCCCCCCCCCCCCCCCCCCCCCCCCCCCCCCCCCCCCCCCCCCCCCCCCCCCCCCCCCCCCCCCCCCCCCCCCCCCCCCCCCCCCCCCCCCCCCCCCCCCCCCCCCCCCCCCCCCCCCCCCCCCCCCCCCCCCCCCCCCCCCCCCCCCCCCCCCCCCCCCCCCCCCCCCCCCCCCCCCCCCCCCCCCCCCCCCCCCCCCCCCCCCCCCCCCCCCCCCCCCCCCCCCCCCCCCCCCCCCCCCCCCCCCCCCCCCCCCCCCCCCCCCCCCCCCCCCCCCCCCCCCCCCCCCCCCCCCCCCCCCCCCCCCCCCCCCCCCCCCCCCCCCCCCCCCCCCCCCCCCCCCCCCCCCCCCCCCCCCCCCCCCCCCCCCCCCCCCCCCCCCCCCCCCCCCCCCCCCCCCCCCCCCCCCCCCCCCCCCCCCCCCCCCCCCCCCCCCCCCCCCCCCCCCCCCCCCCCCCCCCCCCCCCCCCCCCCCCCCCCCCCCCCCCCCCCCCCCCCCCCCCCCCCCCCCCCCCCCCCCCCCCCCCCCCCCCCCCCCCCCCCCCCCCCCCCCCCCCCCCCCCCCCCCCCCCCCCCCCCCCCCCCCCCCCCCCCCCCCCCCCCCCCCCCCCCCCCCCCCCCCCCCCCCCCCCCCCCCCCCCCCCCCCCCCCCCCCCCCCCCCCCCCCCCCCCCCCCCCCCCCCCCCCCCCCCCCCCCCCCCCCCCCCCCCCCCCCCCCCCCCCCCCCCCCCCCCCCCCCCCCCCCCCCCCCCCCCCCCCCCCCCCCCCCCCCCCCCCCCCCCCCCCCCCCCCCCCCCCCCCCCCCCCCCCCCCCCCCCCCCCCCCCCCCCCCCCCCCCCCCCCCCCCCCCCCCCCCCCCCCCCCCCCCCCCCCCCCCCCCCCCCCCCCCCCCCCCCCCCCCCCCCCCCCCCCCCCCCCCCCCCCCCCCCCCCCCCCCCCCCCCCCCCCCCCCCCCCCCCCCCCCCCCCCCCCCCCCCCCCACCCCCCCCCCCCCCCCCCCCCCCCCCCCCCCCCCCCCCCCCCCCCCCCCCCCCCCCCCCCCCCCCCCCCCCCCCCCCCCCCCCCCCCCCCCCCCCCCCCCCCCCCCCCCCCCCCCCCCCCCCCCCCCCCACCCCCCCCCCCCCCCCCCCCCCCCCCCCCCCCCCCCACACACAAAAAACCCCCCCCCCCCCCCCCCCCCCCCCCCCCCACCACAAACAAAACAAAACTGTCTAAATGTTTGCATGGTGTTCTTTGTTGCAGACTCATCCTTACATATGAGAGGCACATTAAAGGAGAGCAGGACAAAGCCCCTCCATGTTACTAAACCCAGGAAGCCGGAGGGAGGCCAGGAGAAAGCCCCAGGAAGCCAAACTAAGGGCCTCGGGCCTAAGAAACCCAAAACCCCCAACAATCCAACAGGTTAAGAAGGAGAGAGGGAGATGCCACTGAACAGGTATGCCCCCCACACCAGCAGTTTTACATTTCTCAAAAGCATATCATGTTAATACAAAAAGCAATAACCAACAATAACATCTGCCCATGTATTTGTCTGCAGGAATTAAACACAACTAAAAGAGGAGCTACACAGTCGGTCTGTGGTGATTACGGATGAGGCCCATTGTATAGAAGAGGAAGAGTTGCATCTAACGCTGAAGGAGGGATGGACTCTGTCGCGGAGCAGGCTCTCTTGTCTGTGCCCAAAAGAGCTGGAATACAGAAAGCCATCACTCCGGACGAAACTCTCATCACAGTGCCTGTGCCGCCGTCTGAATGGAGACAAAATCATTGAAGCTCTGCAAAGCTAAGCTCAACCTGTGAACCGCAGACTGGAAGGCCATTTCATTCACAAAAACCCCTTACCTGCCTACCGCTGGACACCACAAAACCAGCAGCACACATTGCCCTTCCTGAGACCACCTCCAGAGTCAAGACTCTTTAGAGATTCAGGAGGAAGGATTGGGGATAGGTGCTGCCCATGTGCAAGCAGCTGGAGCGTCCAGTCTGAGACAGCAGCTCCTCAGAGGAGGACTATAGTGTGATAAAGAAGGAGTCTGCAGCCTACAAATCCAGCACAAGGGGTCATGTCGCCATTGGCCAAGAAGAAGCTCCTGTCCCAGGTGTGCGAGGTCTAATACATTTGCCTTTTCTCTTCAACTTCCTTTACCCAGATTCCCTCCATATCATCAATGTCCCTATCTGAAAGGGACACAGAGAGGAGAAACGAGGAGTCGGGACAGAGGCAAAGCTTCCGACAGTATGTCACGAGGTGGTCCACATTCCGTCCCTCTGTTATCCAGCACGCTCAGAGCACTAAAAGCACAGCACACCAGCAGCCAGCCGCTGGGACAGGGGCAACTCCAGAGAGCTCTCCGAGGCTATGGCCGTAGTGGGCGCCACATTCCGGCCCAAGTGAATGCACCGTGGCAGCCTTTTCTGCCCCAGGACTCAAAGCCAGGATGGAAGTAAACAGACAGTTAGTGCAACAGAGTAGTACGACATGTCAGTCAAGAAGCTACACACGGGACTGTTACTCATCACCTCACCTAAACAGTCTCTAGCCGACAACAGAGACCTGCCTCAGCCAAGACCAGATCTCGGGATTCACCAACGGAGAGGGCAGCGAGGGAGCAGTTTACAGCAGAGAGCGTGAAGGCGGGTCAGGGGCTTCATCTGCATTGAACCAGAGGGCCTGGCCTATAGAAGCCACTACACGACAGGAGTCAGGACAGCAGAGAGGCTAACGATGAGCCAAAGACTTCAGCTATATCGAAACACAGGGTCTCGTCAGTGCCCAAGTCCTTTCTGTTGTTTTGTCATATCCATCATGAACCAGAGTTTGGAGTCACATCCTAAGGCATGCAAAGTTTCTCCCATGACTGTCTCTCCCCTCAAAACAGACTTCAGATGCCACAACAGTTCGTTCCCCGTCAATCCAAAGACCTCTGAATCCTTTGTACCAGCAGATCTGATTAAGAGAAGTGTGGCTGATGATGAGAGGCGAGGACGCTCCCCAGAGGAAGGTGCGTGTGGTGGACGCCCAATCCACCCATTGCAGTCTCTCGCCGCAGTGGGACCCCCGAGGAACTCAAAGCGGCCGAGCCCACTCATGCAGTTCACCTCAGCAATCACATGACAGAGGGGCAGCCACCAACACAAACCCCATCCACACTCCCTGTACCACTAGCCTGTTACGCCCCTGGCTGACTGGTGTCCAGTTGTACAGGAGATTCAGCACCCAAGCCTACAATACCTCAAGAGCCAATCGGCCGCTCGGCGCCCCTGGTCCCGCCGGTTTAGCCTTTCACTCCATGATGCTTCACCGCAGCTGATGGCCGGCCAGGCCCAGTGCCTCACCCCTTCTACAGGCACCCTGGTGGAGCCGCTCTGTACGGGGGACCCTTCCCTGCACCACCTCTATCCCCTGTCCACACTCCCACCCCCACAGCGTCCTACCTGGCACACCCCAGCACAGACTAGTGAACGCATCATGCTAAACACACTGACAAACCCATGAACCCATTGGTCAGGCTGACTGAAAAGCCCTGTGTATTTTGCTCTTTGTTCTATACTTTGCACTGCTCTGTTTTTGTATCACCACTTACTGTATCTTGTGTTGTAATAATTATTTGCACAATGCTCGTCTGTGTATGTGCTCACATCTGCCTCTCTGTCTTTGTGAGTCCCCAGGTCAGGTCGCTTTGGACAATTGTTTAAAAAAATGAAAGGTGACAGAGTAAAGCATTGTTTACTGCATCTGAGGGCTAAAACGTTGTTGCTTAAGAACACTAAAGTGATGTATATGAAGTCTTTGAAAACAAAAGCTGCGTTCACTACTCATCACCATAATGAGTGCATTATTTACACTGAAGGCAGTGGTGTTGTGCATGTTTACATTTCCCTCACTGAAGCTGTCCACACCGCACTGACCTCCAGTGCTCGTCTCATTGTTGCTTTGAGGTGCTGTGTTGGCAGACGTACTGTACACGCAACGACTATCACTTCAGGTGTAGTGTTCATTTCGTATTTTCAATTCATCGAATTACAAGTACTTGTCAACTAGTTAGAATGTTTTATTATCAGAGATTACAATAGAAACGCTTTGATTTTAGTTCCACAGTAAAGGCTCCTTATGCGCTTGTGATAGATTGTAGCACGTGTTTAGTCTGTAGGACCAACATGATGAAGCAGCCGCTAGCTGTTCATTCTCTTAAATCATCAGAATTTCATCCTTTTTTTTCCTAAACTTGAAAAGCTCTTTCTGTTGTGAACAGAACTGCTTCATGTGACATGCTCGGTAGGACTCTATAGGAATGTTGCCATTGAAAAAAACAATTGCTTTGAAAAAACAGTATTTGTGCCTTTTGCAGTCTCGGATTAGAATTAGCATTACAATTTAGATTTATTTTATTCTGTAGCATGGTTGGCCTATAATTAGTGCTGGTTACTTTGAAATCAATGCAGAGCCATTAAGACACTATAGGCTTACGATGTTATTTCTTTACATAAAACATTGAAGAGTTATAAGTTAGCGCCTTAACGAAAGTGTTTTTCCTTCTCCACCAGTACATGTGTTTTAGTGCTGTAGAAAAGGTACCAATACATGAAATGCTTCAGCCCACAGGAAGAAGCGAAAACAGCGGCTCCGGCTTTTACAACCACTAGGACCTGCAGTTAGTCCAAAGTACGGTGAGCACATATGGGAGTTTTACTGAATTAAAAAGACATTCATTTTTTACCAAGTACTGTACATGGTTGTGCGTAAGTGAGACTGCGGGATTTTGTGGGCAAATGTACAGAATATTGCTCTTTTGGGATTCAATAAATTCTCGTTTTATTTTCATGTTATATAGATTTGTAGATAGATAAACTGTGTGGCTGTTATCATTTAAAGCAGTTATAATCTGTAAATTAGTCCTATAAAACAATTTTAAAGTCGGTTACACAATCTAGCTGTCTCTGCTGTTTCAACGGCCACTATAAACATCTAGATCTTTAACACTACAATTTAAAAACTAGAATTTTCTTATTGTCGTTATATTTTTTTTTCAATCAATGTGCATCCTTCAAGTGTTTTTGATACATTTTACCTATCATCCAGCAAGCAAGACAAAAATAAAGACATTTTGTATAATATGACTTCACTGTATATTTAATTAAAATATTTTACTATGTACACAATCCTCTTTTGCATTCTTTGTAACGTGAATCCTTCTGTGTGGTAATTGTGTTTCTGGAGCTAAACACACTGAATGTTGTAATATTTAGTGTAATACTATTATCTGGCCACAGTTTCAGAGTCCGCAGTTTCAGAGTCCGCAGTTTCAGAGTCCGCAGTTTTGAAGCAGGTTCCAGACTTCCTGCTGCTTTCGGAGGAAAACGGCGATGTTCCAAACGCCTCAGCAGTGGCGACGGTGAAAGTGTCGAGGCGGGAGGACGTCAATATTCTCTTTTGTGTGTGTTTTCAGGGTTTGAAAGGCTCTCATTGGGATTGTCGCCCACTCTGCTCTCACAGAGACGCACAACAACGTCCACAGTGATCCAAAGTGGCTTCACGGCGTTTATCGGATTTATCGTCAGCTGTTGTTTAGAACGAGAGGGTTTTAAAGATGGTGAACTCTGGAGAGGTAATGACATCCTCTGCTCTCTCTCTCTGCTCTTTCTCTCCTCTCTCTCCTCCCTCTGCTCTCTCGTTCCTCCCATACCTGCATATGAAAGTCTGACACTGTCAGACCTCTGAAGCTAAGCAGGGAAGGGCCTCCTGGGCCCATTACTGTGATGGGAGACCTCTGGGAACACCAGGTGCCACAGTGGGGTGGCTGCAGTGGTAGTTTATCACCACAGTGTAGAGAAAGAGACCGGTGCAGATGCATTATGAACTACAGACTGAAGCAAACTGTTTATTTAACTGTATGTGAATAAAAAAGGTACAAAATTCCCAAAAGCAGTGAGTAAAAAGTTTTCTATGCTTTGTTCGAAACAGCATGCACAGAGCCGTGGCAGGAGTGTTTTGTCTGTGTCTGTGTGGGTGAGTGTGTCTGTGTCTGTGTCTGTGTGTTTGGTGTGTGGTCTGTGTCTGTGTTCTGTTTCTGTGTCTGGTGTCTGTGTGTGTGTCTGTGTCTGTTGTGTCTGTGTCTGTGTCTGCTTGTCTGTGTGCGTGTCTGTGTCTGTGGCTGTCTGTGTGTCTGTGTGTCTGTGGCTGTGTCTGTGTCTGTGGCTGTCTGTGTGTCTGTGTCTGTGGCTGTCTGTGTCTGTGGCTGTCTGTGTGTCTGTGTCTGTGTGTCTGTGTCTGTGTCTGTGTCTGTGGCTGTCTGTGTGTCTGTGTCTGTGTCTGTGTCTGTGTGTGTGTCTGTGTCTGTGGCTGTCTGTGTGTCTGTGGCTGTGTCTGTGGCTGTGTCTGTGTGTGTGTGTGTGTGGCTGTGTCTGTGTGTGTGTGTGTGTGTCTATGGCTGTGTCTGTGCCCGTGTCGGCAGGTTGAAAATAGAAATGTATTAACTTGAACTTTTTTAGAACAAAACAATTTCTCCTCTGGCTGCGACATCATAAGCTCCAGGTCGCACTCAGACCTTCGTCTAGTTCTCTCTCTCCTCTCTCTGGGGTCTCCTCTTTGTTCTCTGGTCTCTGGTCTCTGCCTCTGGGTTCTCTCTCGGGTCTCTACTTTGGTCTCCTCTCTCCGGTCTCTCTGGTTCTCTCTCTAGGTTTCCTCTCTGGTTCTCATTTTCCGGTCTCTCTGGTTCCTCTTCCTGGTCCTCTCCTGGTTTCCTCTCGGCTGGTTCTCTCTCCCTCTCTGGTTTCTCTCTCTCTCTGGGGAGGAGCTGGCAGGTCGGCCTGCAGGGCTGTATGGCTCCTGACCAGTGGGAGGGGGCGGGGCACGCCGCTTCTTCACGCTGCTGGGGGGAGTGAGTTTGTTCTGGGGTGGGCTTGAGTAAGGGGTGGATGTTTTACTCATAGAAAATACACTTTTCTGTACGAACACTGACTGGGAGCCATCAAAAAGGGAAGACCAGTTTGGCAAGTCCTTTCTGTCCTCGTGACCAATCAGAAAACGGCCGTCAGTCTTCTCAATTTCATCATGAATGATGTCAGTGATACTCTCAAATTTACCCGGTGAATTGATACCTGTCAACAGAAACATGGTGAGGTTGCACACTGCTGATCAAACAAACACATGTACTCACTCAGGTCATTGTAAACGGAATCGGCCTCTTTGGTGAGGAAGAGCGATGGTTTCCGTGGTGATAGGAGCTCTATCTTCATCAGTTTGTCACAACAATGAAGCCATTGACCTGGTTGAAACAAAATCCCTTTATGAAAACAGGGTTTTGTTTGTTCCTGTGTAAATGTGCAGTGTTTCCAGAGAAACTGACTCTGGTCAAACAGATGCTGGTGCAGGGCGTGGCTCCACTGGTCCAGCTCGTCTCTGGACTCTGTGCTGAAGACCACGCTCTCTGAGTGGTTGTTGATGGACAGAGTCTTGAGCCTCTGCCCTGAACAACAGGTTTCCATTACACGAATACGAGTGTCCTGATAAAAACAAAATTAAATACAAACCAATTACACAATAATGTGATATTCTGAAATGACATTCACCTGATTGACTGGCACTTCAAGAGTCGGGCCGACTTTGGCTTGAACTTCCTCAGGTGTGAAGTAACAAGACAATAGTCCAGCACTCAGCTCACAGTAAAGATGACGAGATCGCTTCATGCCCTCGACACTGAGCTACAAAAAATAAATAAAAAGACTATAATTATAGAGCGAAGTGCACTGTGTGGAACAGAAGGATAAAGTGTGATGAACCTTTTGACAGAGGAATCCAGACTTCATGCTGCGTGTCATGCACTCAGGCTGAGCCACCAGGCGGCAGCAGAGGTTTCCATAGAGAGGGAGCCAGGAGGACCACTCAGCTGAGAAGACATGATTAACTAAAGGTCAAGAGTTTGTTTTAATGTGTGAAAGTATTCATTCAGCACTAATGACTTACAGTTCTGTACAACAATAAGTGAATGAGACTGGAAACTTCCCTCAGCCTGAGGAAGACGCAGAGTGGTGTATGCCAATAGGTTGAATTTAGATCCCCTAAAAGACAAAAACAGTGACGCAATTTAAAAATATGTATTTAGATATAAAACACAAATACTTGTTCATGACAACTACATTATAAAGGTTTCATTGTTTTGATTTTCCAACATGAAACATGTATATGTTGGACTGACACGGGAATCTAGAACTGCCGCCTTATAAGTGCGGCTGTAGTTCACTCACGAGGGCACAGGGTTGTGCTGCAGGAAAGCCTCTGGATCCGGAGCATCCAGCAGAGGATGGAGTTTCTTTCCTGCTGATTTTCCAAAAGAACTGCGGAATTTCTTGGCCAGCTTCTTTGGAGTATTGACTGAAGTGATTTCTTCTTCCACAGCACAGCTCCACAGCTCCACCTTCAGCTCAAACTGGGGAAGTGTATCTTTGCTTGAAAAAAAAGGAACATTATAGGTTTTGTCTGGAGTGTTTACATAATATCCTCTGGTCCACTTACAACATTGTGACTCCCTCAAAACACACGTCAGTGATTGATCTATCCACCACCACCATTTCTGTGTCAAACACCTCAGACCCACTCTGCATGAGGCAGAAGAGTGCCACCCGACGAGAGCCTGGAGGAGCGGTGCAACAGTGACATGACGAGGAAAAATGAAAATGCCGACATGAATGTAAAACTTAAAGTAGTACAGAACACATACTTCCTCTGTTATTGAAGTGATCCGAATCTCGCCACAACAGAGGAATCCTAAGACCTGGAAACAACAAAATAACACATTAACAATAACATAATAGGAAATGATAAAGCACATGTTTAGTCTTGACTGTGGGCACCTATGCTCCTCAGAGTCTCAGCAGGAGGTGTATGTTTGTATGTTATAAAGCTGGTGCGTTATTGATTAACGGCTCAAAAACTTGAATTCAAACATTAAGACTATAAATAAACACCTCTTAATATATAGTCTATGCTCTTACCAGACAGTGCAACTGTGGCGTGACAAGGAATCCGCTCGTCTGTTTGAGTCTCAGAGAGTCTGAAACACAAGTGAGATAAAGTTATCTATCCCAAAAGGAATTACTTGTGCTCGAAGCATCCATACAATCACTTAAATAAACAATGTGTGTATACTCTTTTTCCTATTTCATTGAAATACATGGACAACAAAAACATTACATCCAGTCACTACCACCAGGTCTTTGTGTTAAAACTGAACAGATGTTTGCAGAATACCTGGCCACTACGTCCATGGTGTCCTGCTGATGCATCTGGCTCAGGTAGGTCTTCACCCGAGCATTGGAGGTGTGCAGGTTCTTTGAGGCGCTCAGCACCTGCTCCCTCTTGGTGCAGGCCTGTAGCAGCTTATAGGCTCCTTCTCGCATCCTCATCTCAAAGTCAAGTTTTTGCTGGATGTTCCCATCCTTCAGACAAAACATGAAATACAGTCAATTTTACTACAACATTAACATGACATAAACAACACATATGTTAAAATGAAATAACTACTGACTCATGTTAGTCAGTCGTACTAACATAGGCCGTATTGTAGGCAATCCATGTGCAGTAGGATCTATGGTGAAATGTTACATGACATTAGGGCTGTAATGTACCATTCATTGACTCGCAGCTATTCTGGCAATGGATTATTATCGAGCAAGGACCACCCCACAACAAATAATTCAATCTATATGTTCATTGATGGCTGTAGGACAATGGTTCATGGTGCCAGCCAGGAGAGACTTAGGGAAGGGGCTGAGTGAACAGGACACAGAAAGATAGGGACATGGGCAAGAGGGTGTGAGTAAGACATAGGAAAAGAATAGACGCCTTCTGGGTAATAAGCAGTGGACGAGGCGAGCTTGCGATTTCGCGACACACAATGAAAATATACATCAAAACTCAAAAATAATAAGTTAGACGTCTTTTCGTCTCCTCTTTATTGCACTTGGATTATGGCCATGCCTTTAGCTGCGGATATCGGCCAGATATCAGCCAACACATGTTAGTTAGTGAGCGACATGCAGACCAGACACCTGCTTACATCCTCTGCATGGAACTGGTGGACAACTTTAGGCCATTACAATGGGCTCTTACATACGGTCTACGGCTCCTACCTGTCCTTGCATGAACAAAGTGCTCTGTCGGACTCGGTGCCTCTTGATCTCCATGTCCACTGAGGAACCTGCGCATATTTGACTCATGTTCAGAGCAAAACTTTGAACATCCCGCGGCTCAGGCTCCTCGCTCCAGCCTTCAAATCTTAACGGACAGGAGCGTTTCGGACTTCAACGGCTCCTCCCAGACGGGCGGGTGAGACGAAGTTGGCCGTAGTTACAAGTAATATTCTTTCTATATACTCTCTACTTTCATAGCGATACTTTTCTGGAAGTGCATCATAGTTTATGCGAGTCAGTATATACCAAAACTGTGAGGATGTGATATAACATTAAGTGCCCTGGGCTGAAATCGGTCGCACACTTACTTTAGCGGTATGCCCAAAGGAGAAGTTCAAGCGCTCCCTTTTATCCAAACACTGACACCACACCCACATGGGATCAATGCGCTAATGAAGTCATGTCGATTAAAATGTAGTCTATGGTTTGAAACACAATTATTTATTAATTTACTCGTTCCGTATTTCTAGCACGTTTATGGTCCATGTGCACAGTAAGCAGGGAACACTATTGATAGTATTCGATCAGCATGGATGATAAGGGGATTCAGATTCAGACCGGTTCTAGAATGAGATTTTATCTTGGATATTTTGCAGAAACGCATTTGAGCGTGTTTTGTTTCCTTGATATACTAGTTTGGTGGTCACACGACCCTTGACGCGAGTGCGTACAGGAAATCCACCCTCCGCGCTCGCTGGAGTTGGAAGCATGCTGGAAATGTAGACGCAGGCGCTGCGGGAGAAGACGCCCCTCGTCAAGTTCATTAAAGTTACGCATACCGGAAACAGATTCTTTCGCTCATGGGCGGTAAAGACCGTATATAGTGGTATACATTTCCATTAAATTATGTAAAACACTGGTCTAATACACAGTTATACATCAATGTAGGACGCATAGGAGACTGTGAGAAAAACTGTATGCAACACTTTTATTTTGAAAGGTTGCGGAACTCGGTCATGGCGCACGGACGCTGGGCTGCTCTGCTGTGAGGAGGCGTTCATTCTGAGCAACGGGACGAAAGGCCGTACGGATCTGCACCATAGACACACAGAGACAGTCTATGTTCTGCTCCAGGGCCGGCCTCACGGACCACAACATCCATGCCGACAGGGTGAGAAACACTGCCTTTGCTAGCCCGCTCCATGTGCGCCCTTAACGCGGAAAGATAAGAGTGTTTTTGCTTCTCCAATAGCGAGCATCAATTATTGTATGTCTCTCAAGGCCATTTGTCGGTACTTTGAACATTTCGCGCGTACAACAGCAGTGCATTTGGCTCATGTATCTGTGTATCTGTCAGGCTCTCCATATCAGCACACATTTGCCTTTGTGAACAGCCTAAACAACACCGCTGTTTTCCGCGTGTGACCTGCTTTTCATATCATCCATACGTCGCCACAGCGCGCAGGCTACGACAGAGGATGGGAAAAGCGGGGTTCATCTCAGCCAAACCTACACTTTTAACACATGCAATCTGTTTTTTTTCTCATGGACCAAACCAGATTCAAACTTAAAAATACACTGGTGCTTTTTTGTTTTTCACCGTTCGTTAGTTGCTATAGCATGCTTCCCAGACCCCTCCTCTCCATCTGTGGAGGCTTTGTTTTCATGGGGCAGATGTAGCTGGCCTATGTAGCCGCTCTCTTTGTGTGCTCCCTTTGATTTTAGCTGTCATCATCAAACCATGACCACTAATAATACTTACCTGTTCACATAATAGTAAGTTAAACCATTCTCTTATGAACATAGATATGGAACTATCTACCTAACTAGAGTCATCATAATAAACCCCCTTAATATTCATACACTTACTAGTCTAATGTCATGGCCAATTAACGTGTAGTGATCACCTGACTGGGCCGTGCACATCTGTTAAAGGCATTGGGAACAGTGGCTGCTATTCATTCAGCTGTTGACCTCTTTAGATATTGAATCTGGTCCCATGTGTGAAACAGTAGTGAAGGTACAGTTTATGCCTGGCTTATAACACAAATGGCAGGTCACATGATGAACTATTCTCTGACAGCTACTTGAGCCAAAACAGTGATGTGATCTGCTGCAGATCACAGTTTTGGGATTTTGTTTTGATTGTGGTCATAGTATTCAGAGATTGTAGTTTCTCTCTCTCTCTCTCTTTGCAGCTTGTAGTAAGCAGCTGGCGGTTGCATTTTTAAAAACTGTGTCAGTGTCACACAATTGTTGTATTTACAAAACAAAAAGTGATGGTCTGGAGAACATCTTCATAGAGAGGACTTGTTACACATTGGGAGAAATACTTTTAAACACATTTTCATTTCATTCTTCAGTCATTCGTTTCAGACAATTTTCATGAGTCATTTGAAAGATTTCTGACTTTATCTCAATTGAATAATACATTCTTGATTGGATGATTTCCAATGGAGGACCCCTGCCATAGCATAAAACATACCAAGTCATTAAATAATCACATGGCTCTAATTCACATGGTTTTAATGACAAGGTATTAATTGGATAAAGTAGATGGACTGACTGTGGTTGTTTTGTGACCATAGATTTTTGCTGGACTCTTTCAGTACTCTTTTAAATTGACTGAAGAATTACATTATTTAACATTTATTTTTACTTGCAGTCCTTGTTGTTGTGAGCCCAGTCCTTGCCCATTGTGTAAAGTAGGAAGTTTAGGAAGTGAGTTCATTACACTTGAGCAATCTGACTATGTTAATGTGGCTGAAAACAAGCAGCTTGAAAACGTGTAATAGATCAGGCTCTGTTCCTTGTTTCACAGATGTTGTTGGAAGGGTATCTCTGGTTAAAAAAAGATATGTGATTCTCACTTCTGTAATCCACAGAGTAGATTCGTTTAACGGGTTAGGGGAGTCAAATGATACGATTGCATTAGGTGAAGAGAGAGGAACAAGTAACCAACGCGTTTGAATCTCCTGTTTTGGAAAGTCATCATGGGTGTGCCCTTTTCCACATATATCTACAAAAATAAAACGTAGATGGACAAACCCATGCTCGTCTCTTTTGGGCTGGATTATGCCTTTCTATAGATGTGATGTTTGTTTTACTTGTGCAGAGAGCAGAGCTGAATTTTTCGATGTTTTGCTGTTGAAGCTGCAGCCAGAGGAAAGGGTTCCATATGAACGTGGCAGAGTGGGTTCATTGTGGTTGATGCTTATAATGGGCCACGTGTGTCACATGATTGTCACTATAGGGGAAAATACACAAAACAGTCTGTTGCACCACTTAAAACTGTATCCAAATGACTTATCTTTTGAAGAATATGAAGAAAAAAACATTTGATTAAGATTAAGAGGTCTTTTATTTGTCCCACAGAGGAGAAATGGCAGTGTTGCATCACAGGTTACAGAATAGTAGGAATGACAAGCACACAAATACTAAATTAGATATGTGGATATTAAGTACAGTGCTCTATAACTCTATACTTGAAAAAAAATCTTTACTCCATCTCTGTGTGGAGTGTATTTTTCAATGGAAAATGTAGCCCTAAAAAACAAAACATAAAGCCTAATTTGTTGTTTATTGTAAGAAAGGAGGAATCATGATATTACTAATGGTACTATTTTGTGAATCAATAAACAGTAAGAAAAATATGTTTGTGCTAATCTAACAAACTCAACCAAACTTCAAAACCGCAATCATACAGTAAAACGTACCGTATGTATTTCCATGGATAATAATGAGTGGTCACAGAAACTACACTACTACATTATTTATCTTGTGTGGAAATATTATCTGTAATGTCGCCTCATATTTCATTTCATTTGTTTTTATAGCTCCTTTAGCAACAGAGCATCAGGCAGAGCTGGTATTCCCCCCATGCTCCACGTGAACAAAGCCACGTTTTCTTACACCGAGCTGAAGGGGAGGCAGTTTTCTTTTTTTCCTTTTACCAGACATTCCCTCTGGTAATGAATGGTTGATCCCCCATATGTAGGTCTGTGGGTCACTTGAACAGTGCGGTACAGAGATGGGGTGGGAGGATGGGTGTCTTGCGGCGATCGGATTGTGTTTGGTATCAACAGCTTTATGGACTATGCTGGCTAAACGGAGCTGCTGCTTTGTTTGTCCTTGCTTGTTAAATGCTCACGCTGATGCCATATGCTCTTTTTGCTGCATAGACCGTTTTATACTCGGGATGACTACAGTACACTTTATGCTGAGTTAGACAAACTGCAATGATTTATTATCCCTCATACTGCAGTTGTGGAACCAGGAGCGTGTTGTGCCATAGTGAATGCTCTCAGCGGCCCGCTCAATTTCAACCTAGGGTAGAAATCAATCATTGCTTCACCTCCAAAATGTGAGCAGTTACAGTATGGTTTCATGAAATACTGAATCACAATACTATGACAATATTTAGTTATGTGTACACGTGAAACTAGGAAAATTATATGGTTCGAAAGTTTATTTATTTTAGTAATTCAACTTGTGAAACCAATATATAATATGGACTTATGACTTAGCAACTAAAGAGTTGGCATAAGTGTCACTTAGAAAATGTGAAATATGCCAAGTTGTTTATGATGATTATTATATTCATTCATTTTTATATGGGGTTTTTTACAAGCTGTGGGTCAATTATCAGCATTGTAACAAATAGAGACCCGATATATCTCAGTTTGTGTGTAATGAGTGGTCTGTATTTTAACAATTTTTAAAATGCACTTAGTATTAATGTAAGGCGACCATACAAGGTTTCACATTGAAGTTGATAATAAACAATATTGTGTTATTCTATGTTTCCCCTGTATCTTTGAAGAAGTATGGGAGAGCAGTGTAACTGATACAGTGACACATGTGGTTAGGGCTGTATCCATGGATCGAGTGATGAAAAATCAGGACATAGCTTCCCGTAGAATTAGAAACCGGCCTTGTAAATGCTGCATGAAACAGGGAACTAAAACCCATGAACAGACTCAATAAAATATATGGTATTACTATATAGAGAAAAGATAATGGTTATTGCCAATAAAAATAAGTTTGTCAAAAAGTACAAATAAACATTTTTTTTTTTTAATACACTATAGGACTTTTTCTTGAATGTTAGCAAATCCATCCATCCATTTTCTTATGCTTTATTCGTTACCGGGTGGTGGAGGCAGCAGTCTAAACCAGATGTCCCTTTCCACACACTTCTTCCAACTGATCCGGGACAATAACAAATGAACAGAATTAAATCAAATGACAGAAAACTTACAACGTACTTATTTTTACCTACTAATGAAATAGGTTAACCTCCAATTCCAAAAGAAAAATAATATAAAAACATGAAAACTCATCCATCTGTATTTTATTGTCAGCACATAGGCTTATTAGTTGAATCCCTTGTTAAAAATTAAGTGAATTGGAATGGGATGTGTGAGTTATAAGCTCTCTGTGTTTATATTTGTAATTGCTTCTTAATCTTGTGTCCTGTCAGTGCAGGAGCTTTGAACATCACAGCACTGATGTTCAAACAATGTATTTCTTTTGTGGAATACAGAACTCCAGGTAAACGGATAGCCTTTAAAGAAACTCCACAATCTGCCCTCATGTGGGGCAGGATTTACAAAGCACGTCTCTGTGGTAACAGTGGAGCTGTAACCTTTGGGGAACAGCAGCAGTCCAAATATTAAGCCCCGAAGTGCCTCGCCTGCTCTTTGATTTCACCTCAGGCTCTCAAAGCCCCTTTAGGATTACAAGAACTTGTCCTTGTTTCTTTATTACTTATTGACTTCATTCTGTCGACCTTATTGAGCTCGTCCTGTTGCGATAATACTTCAGGTATACGGTATATTGTTTAATAATTCATCTTAAAGATTGACTAAAACATTTGGCTCAACATTTATCATCTGTAGATTCCTTGCAAAAATGAGAAGACAATACAATAAGTCACTCTTACATCTGTGTTTGTTGTTGTTTGTTGTCAGTTCATTCATTCATTTGAGCAGAAATAGTGATATTCATCATATTTCATATGATAAGCAATAGTTAACAGAATTCACTGTGTTGATATATTTACAAAATATATTTACAGCTTTAATGGAAATGCAGACGGAAGGAATAAAAAACTCAGCCCACACACATGATTTACTTGATGTTGATGATCTGGGAGGTTTTTTCAGACAATTTATAAAATCATCAAACTGCTGGAAATGTATTGTCAGTCAAATTAAACGATCTGGGATGAAACAGGTCCAGTTTGAAAGACTAAAATAAATCATTACAGGTTTATTGAAGTATCTGTTAAAATAATGTTTAAAAGAATGCATATTTTGCCCTGTATTTTCAGACATTCACATTGAATAAGCAGATGCCTGTTCTAAAGCACAACAAGAGCACCAGCCACAACACTTTATAAATCAAATAAAAATCTCACTTTGATGGAATGTCAATTGCCACTGTGAACAATCAATACTCTTCTTGTATTTCTTCAATGCATGAAACTGTATTATACATGTAGGTATTAGTTTGTTGTCAGTAGAGCCATTTTGCACTTTATTCAAAAAAGTGACCCCCGCCCTGAAGTTAGTTTGACTCCCATCATGAGCTTATGTGGATGACTATTGAGTTTATCTGTTTCTCTCAAGTTGGAAAAGCACCAGTGTCTGCAGCAGCTGGACAGTGTGATGTTGTTGGTGGCCGCTGAAGTGTGGGATGGGAATGGAGCGTTACACAGCTGTTGCGTCATGCCGGAGCGCATTCCACATGTGGAAACGCGGTCAGTGAATTAACACCAGGCTGCTGATGTCACGTCCTGTGCTGTGTGTAGTTGGCCCATCTCGAGAGCAACCATGGGATTTGAATTCAAATTTAGGAGATGTTTTTTTATTTAATAGGGGGAAAAAATAAGGAGAATCTTGTGAATGTCATAATGTGTTGCCTGCAGACTGCGTACGCAACTGCCATTTTTACAGAACAGTCCTTGTTTCAAATGCTGCAAACCTCTTACTTTATAATTGTGGTATGTCATATAATACTGTCATATAATATAATTTCAGCCATACCTCGAGTCAAGTCCATATAGTTTTCTGTGAGAGTTGGCAGAGTGTGTAGGTCAGAGACAAGTGTAGGTCAGAGACTGGGGAACTGCTGCCAAAACGTTGGGGTTGGCGTTCATCATTATTAGTTTCAGAAGGGAAAGTGCTGAAAGAGTGAAATGGAAAGTGTCCAGGGCTGCGCTCCTGTAGTTCTTGGCTGTGTTCAAACGCATCTCTCACACGTTTTAATAACGTAACTGTAGAGGCGTGAGCATTACCTTTTGTTGTTCTCATCGAGTTCTACATTGTAGTAACTTGAGCCTTTGAGTACATCATTATTTTCTTAATAGTTTGAATGCATGAAATCATAGCAAATTTCACGTGTTACTTTTTGATTGCAAAGGCTTGGGAGGACTAATAAGGCTCCTTTGACTTGGATTACGTCCCAAATATGTGACATGAGTTTTGAAGGATGAGAGACAAAAGGAGCCTTGTTTGATATCGGAAGGTCGCTTTCAAGCAACTTTTGTTCTTTGCATTTTTCTACTTAGAGAGGCATATTTTAACATTTATCTCGGGCCCTGTCCTTCTGCACTGCATACCTTTCTTCTGTGGTTTTTCAGGGTTTTATTGGCACCACACAGACAGCTATAATGGACTGTATTCTAACGCACACATGTTCCTCCTGTGCTCTTTCATGACTGTGGTTATTGAGTCAGCTCTCTTTCTGATCCTTTCAAACAACACATAATAGCTGTGTTATAGCTGTGCGTTTGTTCCCCGATAGTCTGAACTTATTCTTGCAGTTTTATATAAAAGAAAAAATAAAATAAGAAAAGTTTAAATGTTTTCTAAAGAATTAAGAGACATTTGCTTTGAGGTCAAATGAGTATGAGCTTAGTGGAATAGTCTTTAATTCCTCTCTGCTGATGAGCTTTTCTCAATTTTCTGGGTTGACATTTAGCTCAGGCTTTCTTTATTCTGTTTTAGAGCAGAGGAAAACGGCAAAATCCTGGTTTTATTAGTTTTTATTGTTTATTAATGATAAACAAGAATAAAATCAAATAAATATTGCTTTCATTTGCGCTGTGCAGCAATATTATAAAAAGGGGTATCTTTGTGTGTATTTATGCTGCCTTGAAGTGGTAATGAATAACATTTTTATTCCCCAAATAATTGGAGGAACAGAGAGCTGCATTAAGAATAAAATTTGCCCAGGCCCAGTTTCGTGAACACATAAAAATCAAGTCAATTTTTAAAACAAAACAATAGTCCCATTTATTCTGTCATATAATCCTAAAGTCTCCATGCTTTATTCTGCCGCTGGATCAACTATAAACCCCACATTTGATGAATGCCAAAACCCAAGATTTCTTCTTCTTACATTATTAAAAACACCTACAGTATATTATGTTAACTCCCCTGCCCCGCATTTACAAATTATATAATTTACATGTAAACAAAGAAGAAAATGCAATTTTTAACAAACAATTAACATTGTTTTTCTGTACAATGATAATTTTTCCTTGAGCAATTGTAACGTCTTCTTTACAATATTATGCAAAAAGTTTTGAAATTGCTAAATGTTGCCGCTTTCGCGCTTTGATTAAAATCCTCCGACACACTATTTCATAACTTGACGCCACTTAAAGAAACATTAACACTTTTCATGGTTATGTTCACATTTCTTAATTTTCAAGTTAATTTCATGCTAAACAAAGTTCAAGAGAAACTCCTTAGAAAGTTATTGTGTTGGAGCTTGACCTGGTTTTGAGGCTCTTCTGAAGGAGAGAGGAGGAGGAGAGAAAGTGAACAGCCAACATTCCTACATCACTTCCTCCTCTCACATCTGGTAATGATCAGGGAAGGGAGGATGTGTCTTATGGGCCGACTTTTAAGGCTTATTTACACGCTAATGGTATCTGCTCCACATATTTCTTCAGAGATGTTCAATTCTAGGTTTAACCATTTTAAGAAGTAACTCAATATCAAAAATATTAAGTGAATTTATAATGCTCCATTTTTTTTGTTTTTCTCCATTTCTCTGCAGCATGGCCTAGGAGTCTGGGGTTTCTAGAGATCGATCACCCTTGAACCTGGACCAGAGGTGTGTAAGACCTGGGAAAGCACAACATATTATTAGTTAGCATTATTAGTCACTGGAATACTTCAGAGATCTATAAATGTTTGTTTGTTTACTGTGTTGTGCAGCAGTGGCAGCAGAGAGCCAAGATGAGTGTGACATCCTGGTTCCTGGTGAGCAGTGGGGGCACACGTCACCGTCTGCCCCGGGAGATGATCTTTGTCGGACGGGACGACTGCGAACTCATGCTACAGGTAACTTTACTGCATTTGCCACTTTACTTTTTGTGGCTATATGTTTATTTACTTTATTTACTTATCCGCCTTTTCACAGTACTAAAGATATACATTATACAAATTTCAATACTAATTTAAATACTACACCTTCTATTTTTCTGGACAATGAGCTGCCATTTTTATAATTAACAACACAACATTACCCAACCTAACCCAAACCTACTATTTCTGAGATCAAAATAATTCTAAAACTGCTTAGAGAATCTCCCCGTTTGTCCTTTTTGATACAAGTTTTAATATCTATTTCATATTTATGATAACCTTACTACTTGCAGGGTTTACTTTAAATGTTGTCATATGCACCAGCACATTTTTAAGGCCACAAAAAAGTAACAGACAACTGTGGAGGGAAAGTAAAGTTTGTTATTTATTCAAAAAACATAACTTTTAAAATTATTATTTGATTCATCTGGGCCCGTACTCTTCACATGTTTTTAATGAACTCCAGAAACGTTGTATTTATGGTATGGATAGGAGTATGCACTTCATTTTTGCCACAGTAAACAAAAAGCGGTCACATGCAGACGTGTGTGTACAACCCCAAGTCCTCACTGGTCACTATTATTAGTAAGTGGGGCAGATGAGCGAAGGGCGGACTCAGAGTTCTGTTGTAACATACTTTGTTTTGGACTACTGATAAGTTTCAGCACCCAGCTTTGTGTAGGCTTCTGCATTTACAGCTGTAGTACCTAAAAACCACTAAAAACAAACGTGCAATGAAATGTATGTTCTCTAGTTCCAAGCTTTCTAAAAAGTCATGGTCTCAAGTCGTCTGGTCAGTTAATGGCATTAAAATGTACATCTTATAGTTACATTTAGTACAGCATTCTTTTCTTGTTGGATATATTGAGACAAAGCATATTTTGTTTTTATTTGTCTGATCAGAGATGGTTCCCACTTATAAATAAAGTAAATGAGTTTTCAGAGGCCAAAACAGATTCAGGTTCTCAGTTTCATAAAGAGTCCCGCCATTTGTTTCTGATGATTGTTTCACTAGTGCCTCTTTAAATTGTTTTCCTACAGACAGAAAAACCAACTGTTCATCTCTGTTCATCTTTCTGAGATCCTTGCATTCTGTATTTATCTTTAACATTCTTTAAACATTCTTACGACGTCAGTATCCTTGGTATTTACCATGTTCTGCACCGAAGGTCATATACTTTTACCTTCAGAGCATTCTCCTTTGTGCCTCTCTCGTTATCAGAGCTTCTGTAATCAATGCCTGTGATTAAACTGTATTAATGTTTTTCTTTTATAACCTGTTTCTTTTGTTTGCAGTCCCGCAGCGTGGACAAACAACACGCAGTCATCAACTATGAGCCGGGGACAGATGAGCACAAGGTTAAAGATCTGGGCAGTCTGAATGGGGTAAGGAGGATATGAATAATCCAAACTCTACAATGTATTCAAATCTGAGCAAACAAATGGTTTTGGACAGAGACAGAAAGGTTTGCAGTTGTCGTTCTAAGCAACAAGAGTAGAGAGTAAATGAGTGTCATTTTAAGATGTTGAACTTATTAGATTAAAGTTTGTTTGAGAGTGATTGTTGTGCAGAGCATGTTCCGCTTTATGATTTTCATTTCCAGTGAATCATGCAGGAAATGTGCCATCTCCTGTCACTTAAACATAAAATACAGAAACAAGATAAGATTAGTTAATCAATGAAAGCCAATAGATTTCTTTCACCTCCAAAACACAATTTAATTATGCAAATGATTTCCTAAGGCACATCATTAAATAACTCTTTAAGTCACCTTCAAACTTACTTTTAAACAAATTAACCCTTTAGGAGGATATTTTACAGAAATTTGATGTGAAACAGACAAAAGGAGAAGGCCTGAAACTTTATAAGAGACATACAGGTGAAACTCGGAAAATTAGAACCTGGTTCAAAAGTTCGTTCATTTGATATAGACCACATGTGTCAAAGTCAAGGCCCGCGGGCCAAATCCGGCCCGCGAATGAATTATCTATGGCCCCCGGGACATTGCCTGCCATTGAGGCAATGTATTGACCCCTTAAGCTCGCTAGCCCCCGCCGGCGGGAGCAAGCGAGGAAAAAAATACTTCTGCTGGCAATAGCAGATGTATTTTGAACTTCATAAGCCACAAGCTATATATCATTTTAAAGCTTATTTTCTCAGCTATATTTATATGTAAGTGTAAACGATATCAGACTTAAAAAGATATAACGCATAATATTGGCACAAAATAAATCACGTCTGTATTCGTTTTTTACCTTTCGTCTTCTGCTGCTCCAACAAATTAGACTTTCCCCATCCTTGCTTAGTCTCTTTCTCTCCGTAACTGTTCATTGAAGAAGAACATCCACTTGTCTTTCCCAAAGTATAATCCATTCCGCAGATTTAATCAAAAAACACCCCAAAAAGAGGTCCAGACTGCTCTTTTACATTTCACCAAGTTTGAGCTATTTTTTTTTTACTATTTTCATGTTCTCAGATGTCTATTACATCTAATATGTACAGTATGAGGATTGGCTTTGGAGCATATTTTATCGAGCCAGCAGGTGTCACCGGCACTGCCTCTGGATGTTGAGAAACATTGAACCAGTCCGGCCCTCGGCGCGTAGCAAACATTTTTTTTTGGCCCTCTGATGTATTTGACTTTGACATGCCTGATATAGACTCATTACATACAAACTGACATCTGCCAAGCCTTTGTTTGTTATCATTTTTGATAATTATGTCTCACAGTCCATTTCAAAATATTTGAACGTTTGATAATTTTGGCTCACATCTGAAAAAACCCACACAAAAAATGTACAAAGTTCTTACAAATAAAATCTTGATAAATCTCATGTTTGTTCAGAGTCTGCCAGAGACTAGTCCAAGTAAATGGACTTTTGTACAATATTCAAATTTTCCGTTTTTCACCTGTGGGAAGCCAGGCCGCTGTATAGAATGCACAGTAGATTCAAGAGGTGACAGTATCAACACTGTTCTTCTTCCATGATGTAAACTATACCTTGAAAACATATATTTGACCATGATTCAGACCAAGTGGTTTTATAGTTTTATACAGTTTTATTACAGTTCACACATCATTTTTCACTCACGGCCCACGCACTGGACACATCTGCCCCGTGTCCTTCACGTCCTCCCCAGCTTCAGACAGGAAGCCCGAGTCACTGCCACTTCCTGCTCTCGTCATTAGCTATTCCTCTCAAAGGATATTTTTCTTCTGCTGACTCAGCGTTGGGTGTGTGTCACTGCAGTGAGACACTGATTTTAGAGAATTTTATTGCTACTTTGGTAAAAACAGGAATGCGAGTGTGAGTGGTATTGAATTTCATGTGCAACTGTGTGAAACCGGACCACTTCAGAGTGAGGTAGAAATAGAAAATAGGATGAGAATGAGTCCGACTGTCACAGTTGAGAGGAGAATATGATATTATACTCTGCATACTAACACTGTCCTGAAATTATGTGACGCAAATATGAATTGAAGTTGCAGTTTCTATTTAACATAACTGCATTCTACAGACCAAAAACCTTTGCATTTCTATTCCTGTAAATAGTTTCCATTTATGCCATTAAACCAAGTGGCTGTTAAGGGTTCAGCCTTTCTGTACTTAGAAGCCTTATTGGAAGATCAAGATTAAGATTTGTTCGTCCCACAGAGGGGAAATTTCAGTGTTGCATCACTGGTTGTGTGTGAATTTTGCTATACAAATAAACTTGCCTTGCCTTGCCTTGCCTTGGTTACAGAACAGTAGGAATGAGGAGCACACAACACAAGATAAATGAAAAATAAATCTGAACTAAAATAAAATAGAATCTCTATCTTTAGCATAATGAAGAAGAAAGAAAAATGCACACATTTGTAAAACCATGTACAACTCTCACATATCAATATAAACAATGATGAAAACTTATGCCCCACCGTGTTCTTTTGCTTCATAGACATTTGTAAATGATGTCCGCATTCAGGAGCAGATGTACATTACTCTGAAGTTGGAGGACAAGCTGAGGTTTGGCTATGATATCCTTTTACTTCCCAAAAATATATATCTTACACAATATTATATTTCCTTCTCATTGGCTCTATTAAAACATGTTTCGTGTATCTTCACCACTCTACACTGTATGACCTTAACCTGTTGGTTTCACATACCAACTTGTTCACTGTGGTTCAGGGGGAACTCACCGTGCCAGAGGAAGCACTCAAGGTACTACTTAACTCTCTTCTTCTTCTTTTTTAGATCTATTTTTGCATTAGATATTTCTTTGCCTTGTTGAACACATACATGGCTTTGTTCTTCTAGCATGAAAAGTTCACGAGCGGACTCCAGCTCAGCAAAAAGCCAAATAGTGAAACCACTGCTGCAGCCACCACTGTCAAATCTCCTGCTAAGACTCCCACGAAGGCACTTAAGTCTCCCAGTAGCAGCACCCAGAGGCCACTTGATGGGGCCACTTCCTCTAAAGAGTCATCAGTAAAACCAGCAGACACTCAGAAACCAGAGGACAAGATAGGAGGTAAACTATTGATTTTATTGTACCCGCACTTCTGTATATTTACGGTTTATTTCAACGCTTGTTTTATAGTTGATGTGGAAGTAGTAGGTTGAAACTTATAACAAAGAGCTGCGTTTGTGACCAAAACATGTCGGGCCAGGTCTGTAATGGCCATGAGCGCTTTTTCTTTCTGCAGTTATAACATCAACCAGCCCAAGGACTATGGGTGGAAACTAACATTTTTGCCAAAAGCTGGAACATGATGTACTTCATGTTTATAAGACTACTGTTTATTGTGAAGTGTCCCGGATCAAATACATAAATACATTCAAATGTTTGCACAGATTAAACAGCTACAAGATTAAAGGGTCACAATTTATCTTAATACAAAGTCGATAGAAACATGATTACATACCAACTTACATGTGATTTTTTAAAATTTATATTTTATTCTATTCTTAAATATTTTGTTCTTAAATGCTGCTGTTTGGGAACTCTGCTGTAAGCCTCAACAATACATCACGCGACATTATCTCCTCGTAGTATTTATAGAACACACTTCTAACCAAGCCACACATTTACTACACACACCATTTACTCCCATGTGTCTCAGATGTGTTATAATGCCACCCTTACTTCATCATAAAAACACAATCCCACAGTCTTCCAAGTTTCAACCAGATATTTACACCCGTTTTAGCAAAATACCTCTATAATTACTCGTAGATACATTAAACCTATATTTGACAGGGGTTATTTTGGAGGGAGGCACACAGGATGTAGTTAAACAATGAACCACTATATAAAAGTAACCAGGCTGTATTTACTCTTTCCTTTTATCCCCTATTTCAGTCTGAGTAAGTCACAAGCTGCTTATTAGGCGCTTAAATGTAATTCAATGAGTCAAAGAACTTACGTGAGTACATCACTGTCACATTAATGTTCCAACTTGATATTTGTATTGAAGTATGAAGTAACTTTCTATACATTAAATACCACCAGCTGCTTCCGTATTATGTAATCGGGTAGGAATGTACCTAACGATAGATAGTCATATAGATCAGCATGTTCAAGTCTATGTAAGGTTCAAAACACGATTAATCGATTACTTTAAAATTTGCAACTTTAAAAATGCATTGGTGCATTGGATACTGTTGAAAGTTAACTGTTTTAGTATTAGTTAGTTAGTGGGTATAATTTATATAATCCACAATACAGATGTTCTGAAACATTTGTGGCCAAAACATGTATTATATACTATTATATAATAGTCATGTATATAATGTATTAATGTGTGCGTGTGTGTGTCTTCTAAAGGGGATCTGGCCACCTTGCATCGTGGGACACCGCTGTATGGACAACCTTCATGGTGGGGGGACGGAGATGCAGACGACGAAAACTCATTCAAACAGGAAACAAAATCCTGCAGCAAACAACACGACGACACACTTTCAGGTCTGTGTTCCTCTGTTTGTTTTCCTGCATTCATTTCAACACAGTTGTGGGTCCGGGAGACGGTGATGTGTGATTACTACTGGCATGAAACAATCGTCTGTACATGTCGTGCACAAAGGCCTGTTTGAGAGCATCTGTGTGCGTCAGAGAGGCTGTTGTTGGACTTGGGGGTTCTGCAAACTGGTGATGGGTCGTCCGAGTAACTGGATTAGAGGCCTCACCAATAGAGGGATGGTTTTATAAAATCACTCTCCACAGATTGAGCGGAGCTGGTCGTTATTCTGACGAGGGGGAGGTTAAGATCCAAATCTCTTGTCACATCTGGATACAAACCAGATCATGTCTTAGCCGGCTGGATGTCCTCAACTACTCAGGGATAAGGAGCTGTTTTTTTTTTACTGCTTTCCCGCTTGAGGGACATACACATTTTTTGGGGTGAATCTGGACAGATCTGTAAGCAACAGAAACAATGGGTTTAGTTCCTTCTGCTGAGGAAGTGGGTGAGTTTGAGATCCTTTAATATTTATAGTAATAGTAATTTTCTGAAGTTTTACTTTACTGACAGATTCAATTCAATTTGATGTATTTTTGTATAGCTCTAAATCACAATAGCAGTCATCTCAAAGAACTTTACAAAATTGTTGACAGATCAGAGAATCAAACAGTTAATACACAGGAGAGGCAGTGATAACAAACACATAGGAGCCGTTGGTCCATAGAGGCGTATGACCAATGTCCATAAATGTCCACTTAACATGATATGTTAAGTAAGTAAAAAGCAAATGTAAAGTAATACAAATAATATTCAAATCAACATAATGTATCGCATTAGGGTCTACAGTGCTTTTCATTTCATAGCTTGTACCTTCTACACACATGTCCAGTGAGCAGTGCGGAGAACACATGCATATGTGTAGTTTTACGTTCTCTAGATTGTGTGTCCTTTTCTCCTTAGAGTGTGAATAGGCCGTGTTGCCAGCATCCCTGCCCCCTCCCTGTGTATTGTCACTCAGGCTGATTGGGTTACGCCATTGCACCAGCTCCCCCATAGCTCTCAGCGCACATAAACACACAAACTAACGCACAAGCTGCACTCACACGCTGCACAAGCACTGATTAGCTTAAAGCTGTTGTTTTCTGGTGAGTAATCCCCAACCCCAAACTTTACCTCCTGATGAGACCTGTTTTATTATTATGGTATGAAACGTCATGTTTCAAAATGTTTCCATACCACACACCAACACCAAATCAATCTTGAATACCTACAGTTTCAAATTGAGTTGGAGATTAAGTCATTTTGCTTGAGTGGTTTGAACATGTGTTGACATTGCTTATTGTCAATTAAAGCAATAGTTCCTCTCAGTCATTATGTTTTTCCTAATAGCTTCATGAAATGGCCTCATTAGCTGCCAAAAATTGGATTGTCTCTTAATGTCTCCCAGTAATAGAATATTAACTTTGGTAACTAAGGCAGATTCTTCTTTCTATTGTTTGAGGATGATTTTATCATTTAGGCATATGAGTGTATTTTAACATAAAAACAAAACATAATGGACATAATCTTTCTGGAGTTTGTTCTCCCTTTGTCTGCATAGGTTTCCTCTGTGTGCTCTGGTTTCCCCTACCACAAAAAACATGTACAATAGTCCCCTGACCTGACTCCTGTCCCCTCTCTCTGGGGCCAGTCCTCCCCAGAGAAAGAGAATCTTAAATCTCAGTGGGACTTTCCTGGTGAAATAAATAATAATAATAATTCATGATAGTTGTTATGGAAACCAGGTTGAACTTTTTGTTGTATTTGTTGGTCCATAAAGTTTTGTGTGTTCATGTATTCGTTTTATATGTATTTATATTCTGCTACAGACTGCAAAGAAGCGCCACAAAAGGAGAGGACTAAAGAGGACAGTCTACATGCATCCAGTCTCTTTGATATTCCAACCAAGGAGAATCACATGGCCAATAACGGCATCCATGAAATTCCCACTAAGGACACAGAGGAGCAAACTGCAGGTATCAATCAATCAATCAAAGTTTATTTGTAGAGCGCCTTTCATACACATGGCAACACAAAGCGCTTCACAGTCCACATCACAAATCATCACATAAAACAAACACCAGAATCACAATTAAAACATTAAAATCACACAAAAGATTAAAACACAATTAAAACATTAAAATCACACAAAAGAATAAAACCATTAAAACTTTCAAAATTACACAAGAAATTTAAATAAATAAATGACAGCAGTGCATTAAAAATGGAGATAAAATCCTTCAGTTGTATGCACAGGCAAACAGAACAGTCTTTAACCTGGATTTGAACATTGACAGAGTAGACGCCTCCCTCACATTTTCAGGGAGATTGTTCCAGATCTTAGCTGCATGGATCTGAAACGCAGCCTCCCCATGTTTGGTTCTCACTCTGGGCACCAGCAGGAGGCCAGTCCCTGTGCTCCTCAGAGTCCGGGCTGGTTCATATGACACCAACATGTCACTAATGTATTCTGGTGCAAGGCCATGGAGAGACTTGTACACAAGCAGAGCCGTTTTAAAATCTATTCTTTGAGCCACAGGAAGCCAGTGCAGAGACCTGAGGACCGGACTAATATGGTCATACTTCCTGGTTCCTGTCAGGACTCTAGCTGCTGCATTTTGGATGTACTGCAGCTGCTTACAGGTCTGTTTGGACAGACCTGTAAGCAGGCCATTGCAGTAGTCTAGCCTGCTGGAGACAAATGCATGGACAAGAATCTCCAAGTCTGCCCTGGACACTATATTTCTAACTTTGGCAAAGGGTCATTATACCATATTATGTGTAACAACTTTAAGACAGATTTAGCTACTTCTAATAATCTGTTAACGTTGTGAAGCAGAAATAGTGCAACTATTGTGTAACTGCTCATGCCTTTCTTGTTTTCTCATTAAGCTCAAGGCCACGCCTCCTTCACCATAGAGTTTGACACCACTTCACCGGGGAAAGTCACCATCAAGGACCATGTCTCCAAGTATACACCCGAACATCCCCGACCACGGTCCAAAAAGAGTGGCCCAGGAAGTGGAGGGGCGAGTACAAGGGATCTAAGCACACTACAGGCTGCAATGATTGCATCTGAAAGCAAGGTGGCAGATTGGCTGGCACAGAACGACCCCACACTCATGCGAAGTGAATCTACAGAGGAGGACAGCAAGAGCATCAAGAGTGACGTTCAGGTGCATCTAAAACGGTTGAAAGGTGAGGATCTCTTACTATTATTACTCCACCAAGTGCAGTATATGCAGGACAGTTATAGATGTTATAGAACACACAGTAACTTTCATACAACTTGCCAGGCAAAAACATAGATAAATTAAACCTTTAACCTACATGTATTTGTAGTGTACAATATACAGGTGTAAGTACAGTAGCAAAGACTACTGTACTTACAGTACTTTCTAGCATACATATGCTAGAAAGTTGTATACTTCATTGTGTGGCTGAGTGTTAGTTTACAATCAGGAAGTTCATGTGAACAGTATGCATATGTTTTGTTAGCTACAGTATTTGATTTACTACATGTCCCTCGCTAAAAGGTTGTAAACAAAAAAGCATGTGTAAACTGATTGTGTTACTGGACAGTCAGGGCAGAAAGCGAGGGAGAGGGGAGAGAGGGGGTGGCTGGCTGGACTGCAGTGAAAGCAGATAGGAGGCTGGCTGCTCAGTGCTGCAGTTTGAACATGTAGTAGTTGTAGTAGCGCGATGCAGATGTGAGGACTAAGGCGAACGAAGAAGTGCATGAGGTGAGTGTCCTTTGTGAGTAAATTGTAGATGGTTTTGGGGTGTGTTAATAATGATGCTAATAATTGTTATTACATTTGAACTATTGTGATGAAGAAGCATATTTTTGTCATCATTAAATTGTTTTGCATATTGTGTTTGTTGGTGGTTGGTGGTTGGTTCCCTCTATTTGAGTGATGACAGCACTGACAGAAGAAAGGACTGGTCTCTCACAGAAAGCTTACTGTTCTCTGGAAATAGTGTCTTTGTTCCACAGTAGATACATCATAACGGCCTGTGATTTCTATGTTTGAACTTTGAAAATGTGTTGCAAAATCTTCCCTCAATTGTGGTAAAAGTTACAAATCTTAAGAAATGTGGCTTTGAAATATGAGTTGCTTTCATAAATTGTGTCTCTCTTTTCATACAATCTTCTGCATCTTGCCCCCTCCCCCTCGATGAGTGAAGTGGGCTGAGCTAGTAAGCATGTGGGTTGCATGTCTGGATTAGCGTGGAGCGCTGTCTGCCACTGCACAGTACTAAGAGGATATGCCTATTGAAGCCAGATGCAATAAACTGCAGAAATAACCATAATTTGCCAAGCCAAAGGGAATGTGACGAGACCTGGATAATGTTGTTCCCTAAAAGAGGTATATTTAATTATAAGTGTGATATAGACTTGGTTTTATTTGATTGTTGATGTTGTTTTTAATGTCATACTTTTGGTTGGTTTAAGGTTGAAATATGATGGATTTATTTTCAGTCTAAGGGCACAGCACGAACATTGAGATTACTATTGAAATTCTATGTTTTTGGTAAAGGTGTATTCCTCAACTTCTAAATCTAAATATGGTTTTACCTCAGTATTTATACAGCCTTTCCTTTTGGTTGGAAACAAGCATGTAACTTGTAACGAGTCTTCTCACTATAAAAAAACAAACATCGACCACAGTTGAGGAATGCATGTTTAAATGTGTCAGTTTTGATATTGAAGTATGACCCATTTCATGTTTGCCAAAGGGACTCTGCGTAAACATGCAGGTCAGTGACACATTACATCCTTTCTCTCCTTTCAGGCAGCAAACACGAGGACGGTACTCAAAGTGACTCTGAAAATGGACTCGGCCTTCGCTTTGCCAGCCGTCGCCACGCGCTGGAGGAGCGGCTGAAAGCAGCTCACAGCCAACCGGGAGCAGGGGCATCTGGAAGTTTAAATGTCAGCGGGTCTCGAACATCTGGCTCTCGCACTTCTTTTATGATCGAGTTATACGATGAGGAAAACCCACGCAAGAGACGGTCCTATTCCTTTTCCCAGACTGCACCTCTTCTAGCAGGTGGCCCAGGTGCAGAGGGGCTCTACCCACACCCCCCCACGCATCCAAAAGTGTTCAGCATATCCACCTCGGCAACAACAGCATCAGACTCAGGTACTTGTTTTGTTTTCATGCGTTGTGTCATAAGGAGACTTCATGGTGCAGACTTGTGTTGAAATGCTGTGTAGACCTGGGACAACAGTTGGAAAGGTTGGCGTGTTGTTTGAGCTTGTGTTGGCTTTTCACCATGGGGAAGATAGGAACATGTCAAAGTAAAAAGATCAAACAAACTTTCAAAAGTCAACTGTACCCAGAACCAGAGGGAATCGCATATAATGGACTACGACCCGCTTATCATCCACAAAGAGCAATATCAAAATTTTCAAACAAAATTGGAACGAGGACGACTTCATGAAGGAAAGAGCAGCACGTCCAAAAGCTTAAACTTTGTTGGTAATGCTTTGGTCTTTTTACGCGGCTTGTTACGCAGTTATTATCCAAAGTGTTGTCCCTTGTGTGACTTTTGTGTAGTTTTATAACCTCCACCTGAAGCATGTCAGCTATGGTGATTGAAACAGCCTTGTTTCATTGCTTTCTGAATTACCTCTAATTTTGGCTGCCTCTGCAAAAAGACTAGGAAGCAAGGGGGGTTGAATAAGTCTTTTGGGTACGCCAGCCTCTGTTGGAGGAAGTGACGACTCAGGGTATTTGGGGCGAAAACTTGGACCTCCATTGTAGAATTGGTGTGCTAAATCTTTATCCTGATATCCATAGGCAAAGTTCCTGCTCCAATTTCAGCTACGGTGACAGTGGGAGCTCCCAATGCTGCTCGTGTCCTTCTCAAACAGAGGTCAGAAGATCCAAGTATCAAGAGTACAGCCAGCACAGGACTCGCCACAGGAAGCCCCACAAGTCCGAGCGAAGACACCTCCACCAGAGAAGCACTGACCACCGGGGCAGCCGACGATGACCACAGCGATAAGGGGACGTACACTATCGAGCTAGAAAACACTAACCCAGAAGAGGAAGAGGCCAGGCGCATGATCGATAAGGTATCTGCGCATACAAGGTCTACATACATAATTTATTCAAAAAATGCGTTCATTTAATATCCTTTACATAGTCATTTTTATTGTTTGTAGGAACTATGAGACGGTTCACTGTTGACTGAAATAGCATAATGCGTCTACTATAATCCAACAAGACTTTTTCCATCAAGTATTCCCCTTTATAACCCAATGCTGCAGGGAGTTTCACTTGCTCTTTACAATCTCTTCCGTGCACAACATAAAAGGCAATCACATGATGGGCAATATGGAGCAGAAATGTGCCTAGTGGAGCGATGGTTTATGTTTTATCATAGTTGCATAAGCACTGAATCATAATAGTTTTGATGCTATCTGATGGGACTCACGGCTATACATAGTCATTCATACAAATAGATTGAACATTGGCAATAACAGCTCGCTTTCCTTCATAATTGGAGCAGTCTAGTGCACTATTTTGTAATCATGGTCTACTCCAGCCCATGCACCGTACTTTTCTATTCTGGAAGTTGTTGTTATGTTAATTTCTGTAATTAGCCGACAACATAATTGCTCCACTTTTGGTCCATGCACTTCGAGAGCTGTGTGTTACCATGGCATTCATTCACAAGGCACAATGTATGATTTTGTTATTTTTAATCATCCATTCTGTGTCACATTATAAACATATATTTAACCGTTTGCAGGTGTTTGGTGTGCAGTCAGACCAGGGCTCCTCAACGCTGACCAAACCCCAGGAAGGCAAAGAATCAACCGAAACAATAAAACAGGTAAACAGAAAGTAGTCAGTAAATCCAAAATGGTCTGGCTTTATGATTGTAAGCAGAGGTGGAACGTTACAACTTACAAATTCTCACTTTCGACTCATTTTTTTTCTTCTTTGAGTAGGGGGCTGGCTACTTGTTCTTGACAGTGCAATTGACTAGTAGTTTGAGCAGTGATTGTGAGCATAGTCTATATTGTTTTTTGTAAGCAGCTTTTACTGGATAACAAGCTTTAGGTGCTTTTTTAAAAGGTGACACACATTATGTCAGCCATCACTGTCATGGATTAATTGAACTAATTCTCAGCCCCGGTCTTGTGAGTGGAGTGCTTTTTATCTGAGGTTGACCTAGATCTGGTGTAGAGACAGCCTTGAGGCAAATTGCTATAGATTCTATATTACATAAAACATGGTTAATTCCAAAGATTTTAATGTTGTGTTTCTTATAATATTATTTTCTGATGTTTTAAGAATTTCATGGGAATTACTGAATAAGTTAGCTTTAATGATGTATACAGTATAAATGTATTACAGACAGTGACCACATGGCTACTGAATTAAAAAGGTGTTCTGACGAATTCATACTATATTTGTATTCCTTTATCTGCATATTTTAGTCAACCATAAGTACTTTGTATATTTCTTTATGTCCCTCTTAATCACATGCTGTTACATCTTTTTGTTTTACTCTATTAGTCTCTAGCTGGCGACTCAAGCTGGGTCTCTCAGTGGGCTAGTCTGGCTGCCAATCACACCAGAACTGATCCAGAAGGTTCAGGAGCAGAGACCACAACCTTTTCGCATAAAGAAAGAGGTATAACATGTCATTACTGTTGATGTATCAACTTTAGAAAACTGAAAAATGTGTCATATGTTTGTAACTCTATTTCCAGGAGCAGATAACACTGAGTCAGGTTCACCATTCAGCAAACATGACTCCTCTTCCTGTCTGAGCGACCGTAAACGCAGGACGCTTCCCCAGCTTCCTGGGGATGACCTGTTGGGGAGATCCAAAGCTGTGGGACAGAGGTCTGAGATTGGAGAGAAACAGGATATAGAGCCCCCAGAAAAACCAAACAAAGGTGATAGAGACTATACCATGGAGAATGGAGAGGCGGCCGAAAAAAGTAAACACAGCTCAATGTCTTCTCCATCCAAAGCCCAGCACACTTCCAGCAGCTCAGAGAGGAGAAAGAGGTCTGCAGAAAGGAAAGCAGGCGGGGGTGAGGCAGCGAAGGCACTTGTACGCCAGGGAAGCTTCACTATTGAGAAGTCCAGTGCCAGTGTGCCTGCTGAGCTCATCCCGCGCATAAACAGAGGTGCTAGTGGGCGAGATCGCAGTGACTCTGTGGGAAGCATGGACACGGCTACTCTCCTGAAGGACACTGAGGCTGTCATGGCCTTTTTAGAGGCAAAGCTAAGAGATGAAAACAAACTAGACCAGAAGAACAGTAAGAGTGCCAAACCAGCTCAAGGATCAGGTCCAGGCCTCTCCACACGCACAGACTCTATCTCTCCTGAGTCAGACATAGACACAGCGAGTACAGCCAGTCAGGTCACAGGGGAGGCTGATCGAAGGACAGGTTCTGGGGGTTTCCAAAAGCGCCGCTCTTTCAGCAGTATGCACAGAGAGAAGAGCAACATGAGCACCTCCTCTAAGACCAGCGTCACTAATGCCAGTGCCAGAGACCGTCTAGAGAAAAAGGCGAAAACCAGACCCATGGATACATCAACACGAAGGTCTGTTCAGCCATCACCCGCCTCAAAAACTCGCCAACCTTCTTTGGACCTGACCGATGATGATCAGACATCTTCATTCCCCATCTCTGACATTCTCTCCTCAGACCAAGAGACTTACTCTGGCCCTAGTTTTGGACATTCAGCACAAAGACGTGGCCATGCAGAAGACAATGTCAGTAAATTTGATAGCAAATCCAGTAAAAATTCTATTGGTAGTTCCTCAAGAGCAAATCGCTGTGTGCCACCAGCCTCTACCTCCACTGTGAACAAGCAGGGCTCACTGCCTCAACCTCGGCCCACCAGAGCCTCCCTGCTCCGCCGTGCCCGGTTGGGGGACACCTCAGACACAGACCTGGCTGACGCAGACCGAGTATCAGTGGCATCAGAAGTATCCACCACTAGCTCCACCTCCAAGCCCCCCTCGGGTCGGAAGGGACTGTCCCGGCTGGACTTGCTGGCACAGCCTCGAAGGACTCGCGTCGGCTCTATCTCTGCCCGCAGCGATTCAGAATGTACAATTGCCCGAAATTGTGCCTCTTCCCCCCGAATGACTAATGAGACGGCTCTGCGCCTGGGATTACGTTCATCAACACCCACAGAAAATAAGTTAACACCCAGAATGAGAGCCAACAGTGTGTCCAAACTGAATGAGACCAAGACTAAACCTATTACAGCTGGCTACTGTTCGCCCACAGGTGAGCTAACTCACTAATGTGCCTTTTATAAAAGAAATGTGTAGCAAGAGAGTGCTAACAGTTGGTAGTATAATTTAGCAAATTTTTAATATCGTTATTTGTGGTTTTTCCTTACTTAGAAAGCTTTCAGCCCAGTCATGAGGGCTGGACTGCAGAAGAGGAAGTGCTGGGTACAGTACAATAGATTTGTGGGATTTGTGTGTCAGAGCTTTTAACAGTCGCACAACACATCATGTCACACCTGCAGAAACAGTTTAAATTCTAATTGGCATTGGCTACACACCTTCACCAGTCAGGTATAATAATACAATTTGTGGTGGGATGATTATTATATTCATTGTTTTATCACAATTCCATGCTTTACCAATACGAAATAATATATTTGTATTGGAAATATTGATGCTGTTGGGAAATAACGAAAAACAAACGCAAAATTATCAAACTGTTTTTTGCAAAATATTCAGTCTGTAATTGTTTCATGATTACTACTGGAAAGCTAAAGAACATAGTAAACTCAAATATTTATTTTATTTAAGTGAAGTACATTATCTTTAGTTCAAGTTATGAGGCAGATCTATTACCATTCAGCCAACTACTTGCTGACCTAAGGCTCCATCTTGTGGCCAAATCAGGAACTTTTTCCCAGAGGTTCCCAATCTTTTCACTCAAATACGCCTTCAATGTGCTTCCAACGCCTCATTGTTGAATCCATTTTAAAGGAGTAAATTGGATTCAGCAACAATGATAAGTGTCAACAAATGCTCAAATCCGTGTTCTGCGTTAAATGTTTGTGAATTTTTACCTTGAATTCTTCTTATAGTCATCGCTTCTTTAAACACAGCATTTACATGGTTTGCTTTTGCCTGCCAAAAACATTTTTAGTATTTGAATTAAATAAACAAATAACAGTTGTTTGTCATAACAAACTCTTTTTACTAACTGTTGCTTTGGGCTGTTTTATTAGATAGAGGATATTCTAATACTATTCAATTACTGCAAAACAGACATAATACACCAGAGTAATCTCTAATTTTACCTTTCAGTGGCCAGTAGCAGTCGATGGAGGCGGTTACCACCAGAGTATGGCTCCACATCAGAAGAAGAGTTTGGGTCCACCAGGACTTCCTCAAAACACGGAGGACGACCACACCTCCGCCCGCATCACCTGGTGTCACATCGCAGCTCAAAACTCGGCACAAGCCCAGTATCCAGCATGGTAACTGGGTCAAGTGGAGTAATGAAACATCGCATGAAAGAGCAAGAAGAATACATCAAGGACTGGACCGCACACAGCGAAGAGATCGCAAGGTATGAGTCCTAAATATCTTCATAATTCAATGTATGCATGTTGTTGCATGTTTGTTCTGACCTGAATTCTGAACTCTGTGTAATGCAGGTTGTTCCCATGTGTGCGCAGGATCAGCCAAGACCTGGCCAAAGATCTGGCCCTTTTAGCGCGTGAGATCCATGATGTCGCGGGTGAGATTGACTCGGTCAGTTCATCTGGCACCGCCCCTAGCACCACAGTGAGCACCGCCGCCACCACCCCAGGATCAGCCATCGACACCAGGGAGGAGGTAGGCTCAGCACGGCCCACGCAGCTGGACATACAGCAGAGCATGAAACAGGTGCCCTTCTTCTCTTCTACTGCTGCTCGTGCTCGTTGAATGCTCTCCATTGCTTTATTGCATTAACAGTCACATAAGACTTGGCTTTATTTTTATTTTTTGCTTACTTTTAGTTTTGCCAATCATGACTGAAAGCTTCGTTGCTCAATACATACAAATGCCATATGTCATTTATTACATACTTAATGTAATTGTTTTCTGTGTTTAGTTGGTGGACCGTGTGTTTGATGAGAGTATTAACTTCAGGAAGATTCCTCCTGTCATTTCATCAAATAAACCTCCAGAGAGTAATGGGAAGCCGATAGAGCTCCGCCCCCGCGCTCCCGACAGTCTAGAGCCGCGAGCTTTACGAAGACGCACCTGGAACCGAGAGGATGTGAGGGCGCTAAAACGTTTAACTGTACTTTACATACAGTTCATTCAAATGACTTTCATTCCTTGTTTCTGTTTTGTTCAGGCAATATTGGACAGTTTGCTCATTACATCAGTTTCTCAACTTTCCACCAAAATCAGACAATCTGTTGACAAAACAGCGGGAAAGATCAGGTGACTGCATGATTCTTGCCTAACTTAAAATGTATACTAAATTGTCGTAAAAAATAATCTGTTTATGTTTCTTCAGGATATTGTTCAGAGATAAAGACAGAAATTGGGAAGAAATTGAGAGTAAATTGAAGTCGGAAAGTGAAGTACCAGTTTTGAAATCTTCAAACAAGGTAAAAAATTTGTTCTGAAATCAGATATGAAGAAGGTTTACAAAGTTAAATAATACACATATTTTGTTTTCTACAGGAGTTCTCTGCCATTCTACATGAACTTAAGAGAGTAGAGAAGCAGCTACAAGGTATTGTATATATTACTATTATTTTAGTTTGTGTCTAAGTGTCTGAAGGTATTAATGAAACATAGTTCAAGCAAAGGTCCACAGGCCAGTGGGAAAGTAGTGCTGCAACAACTTTGTTCTAAAACATGAACATCCAGCAGTAAGACACTAATGTTATGAAGAAGAAAAAGAAGGTTTTTTAATTGTTGTGTAGAATCATTTTCAGTCTAATAGAAAGTCAAAGGCAATTGTTTCAACCCCTGATTTTTGGCATCTGGAATGTATATTTGAAAGATTAGTCATATCCACAGCATATATATTTATATATATATATGCAGTATATAACTTGTTGATGTTATACTTATTATTGAAATAGTTATACTATATCTAATACTGAGTAAAAAATATAAGATGTCTCCAAGCAGCCTATACAATATTATGTTTATCATTTGTCTGCACTATGTGTTCCTTTAGTCATCAACGTGATGGTAGATCCAGACGGGACTCTCGATGCTTTGACAAGTCTAGGATTGACCAGTCCAACGACCCCCACCAAGCCACTGAGTGTCACAACACCCACTCTTTCCACCATCAACCTGGGGTCTCAGCCGCCCGCCAAAGAAACCCTCCCAGAGATCCTCCCTGGAGCAGGGACAATGAACAGCTCCAGCAGAGTCACAAGCTCCTCTGCCAGCAGCCAGGACACGGTGCGGGACTCTGGTCTGAGTCTTGGCTTCACAGGGGTCGGGACAATGCCATTCACTCGCATGCGGCCAAACGGAGAAGAGGCCATAGCACAGAAGTAACACCACATGACTACACAGACTACAAAAGGATTATAAAAACTTCATTGACTCATCCGCAGGCAACTCCATTTTACTTGTGTAGCCTATAATGTAGCCAAACATTAACGCCAGAACTGATTTGCCATCTATATCTGCTTGCCTTTAATAATAATGATAATGGCTGCTGCAACCATTGGATTTATGCACTCCCCACTATTGACTGTATCACTATTGATACTTTTTAACTGACCACTACCTTCAGTTTTGTTTTGTTTTCACTGTACATTTTGGTCACATCTATTTTTGTCTGTCGCCTTTTGAAAGTGTCTGGACCCTGTCTTTGAATGACATGCCTTAAACTAGTTTTTGGCTTGTGGCTTTTCCACTTCTCTTTACTACAAAGTGTATAACAAAGAATGTCAGAAAAACAATGATATCAAAAACTTTACAATAGTTCAAGGTCCATGTTACTTCATTCAAGCCTTAAGGTTTTTTCTCATACAATAAGCAAAGCATTTTTCATAATTCTGCAATTGCATTTGCTTTCTTTGCGCCAACAGAACCATACGCAACAACAAAACACTTTTTTAATATCCTTCTCTTGTTTCTAATGATTAAAAGGCATAGGAGATAATGTCTTTTACTGTCAGAAACAATAATACCAAAGCATTACACTCAGCTTGTCCTCTGCAGTTCTGCACAAGTAATTATAAATATTCCATATAAATGATTTTCACCACTTTCATTATCTACATTGAAGAAAAACAAAGGCTGCTTCTCCGGGCACTGTTTTCACACCAGTCTCAGCCTAGTAACCGTTCTAGATAACTGTAGATAGGTAAATACACTAATAGTAAAAGTGGCAAACTGATGTTGATCTTTCCCCCTTAAATGTACTCGTCTTTTTCCTCTCAATGCCTCTAGTGCCAAGATTTTGACAACAGGGCATTGTTAAGACATGCATATTTTAAAACTTTTGCACATTCTTTTTATTTGTAACATTTCTGGATAGCCGATGTTATGTTTTCTCTGCTTAATAGATCTATTTTAATTACTGAAAAAACAGGGAACTGTGAATACAAGGTACATTTGTCTCACCTTTACAGTGTTTTGTCATTTTGTAACAAGATTTAAAAAATATTATTTATTTTTGTTTAATATTTTATGTACATCTTATGTGTTTTATATTGTTAACTTTCAGCATTGTTTCTTACTGTTAATAAAACAGGATTCTTCACTCGTTTCTTCAGATTTATTGAACAAGCATTTTTTCTTGCTGTTTGTGAATAAGTGCACATTATTTCATTGGATCTTTTGTCTCACATGACAGACATAAGGAATACAGGTGCTTTAGCCTGGGGGCCAGTCCATCTGTCGACCACCCAGGACATGAATATGGATGTGGTAGACTGACTGGCCTCCATCCGATCCATCGTTGACAACAATCCTGAAGCCTTTAGAAAGACCTGCCTGCTTTGCACACTTTTTGGCAACTATCATTAAGTGACCCAGCAACTGAAAAAGAAATAAAGTATTATTATAGTCCAGAAATAAAGCTTGTAAAGATGTGTGCAGGGTGCCAACACTTACTGCACTATCACTCTCTTCTGCTTTTGAAAGCTGAGCTATTGGCTTCTTTGGGACAACAAGGATGTGGGTGGGAGCCTGGGGAGCGACATCGTTGAAGGCTACACACTGTTAATGAAAAAAACAAAACATCAGTGCTTTATATTATGTTCACTAGATAAGAGAAACAACTCACGACACAGAAAATCATATTCACACACTGTATTGATTGCATCAATAAATTACGACGTCAAACCATAGACTGTATATACGTATCGTGCTGAGCAGGATCATGGATCTATAATAAATATGAGCAGGACACTACCGCAAGACGAGCAGCAATTCAGGGTTAGCCCATGGCGTGTGCTGAAATGCGAAACACAGAGCTGCTCGGTTGTGTATAAATATATACCTGGTCATCTTCATAGAGAAAAGCCACAGGGATCTCTTTCCGTACGATTTTCCCAAATATTGTATCTCCACCTGGCTGGGCAGCCTGCGCTTTTGCTATTTCATCAGCCATGTTGGCGCAGACTGCTGCTCGTGTAGCAGGATTTGCAGCTTTGAAGCTCAAAGACAAACTATTGGTCAGAAACAAACATCAGAGCCGATTGGTCCACTCGACGTCAGCGTGCGTGAGCCGGAAGACGAAGACGCCGCAGAAGTCAACATGGGCGCTCGTGTGAAGGTGAGGACCATAGACTGATGTGCGCTGCTGGTGCTATGATTGTTTTACAAACATGATTATGATTTACATCTGGAGTTAGAGTTTGTTGATGTCCAGAACCTCGTTCTTTGTGATTGCATGAACAATGTGCTCTAACAGCAGCAGCAGTTGTGACATTTTGGCATTCATGTAATGCAGGTTTTGAGAGTATTCAAAGTGCTGCACAGAACAAGTCAAGAAGTATTTAAAGACGACTTTACTGCACTAGCAGGTGAGTTCATGTGTATAAGAAACGTGTCTGTAAAACACAAATAAGGCCAACTTACTGGATTAATAACTACAAATACAGTCCAAACATGTTGCTTCAGTCGTGTCCTGTATGTCATGAACTATTCAATTTGTTTTGCATAGTCCTAATTCACAACAGCAGTCTTCTCTGGGGACTTTACGATATTTTTGATTCGCCAACAACAGATGGATAATCAAACAATTAGAACACAGGAAATGCAATAATAACAAACACAAAGGAGCCAGTGAGATGACCAATGTGTGTAAATGTTCGGAAATCCATCCATCCATCCATTTTCTACCCTTTAATCCATTTCTGGGTCAGGGGGATGGCAATCAGAGATGCCACCCAAGTCTCATAGCACCAGCCCCTCACTGACCCTCTGCAGGTGGTGAGTCCACAGGAGGACGGCTGCTCTCTGAGTGTGAGCATAGCCTTGATCTTTCAGCGGGGGCTTTGGGCAAAGTGGGGTTAAGTGTCTATGTTCGGAAATGTCTTTGATCATTACATCAGAACCAATATTAACAGTCTATGATCAGAACGCATCCTCCTGCTTTGATTATGAGACTCCGGTATAGGTAGAGTAGTCTACAAAACCAGCTGGATTTCAACAAAAAAACGTGCAACCCAAATGAGAGACTAGTGATTCTAATTCTGATAATCGGCTTTGAGAACCAAAAAAATCAAATGTTAGCATAAATAATGTAATAATCATTTCCATTGCTATTGTAATTAAACATTTGAATTCTGATCAGAAAGGACTAAATATGATGTGTCCCCAAGGTTAAAAGACAGAGATGTAATTAAAAACTAAAATCTTCTAATTCTTTCTTTTCAAGCTGCAAGAACTAAAATTAATGAGGAGTTTCGCAAAAACAAATATGAAACTTCTGAGGAGAACGTTCAAAAGGTATCGAGCTGCTTCTAAGCCTCTAAAAAAATAGATATAGAAATATGTAAAGCTCGCTTTCATTTGTTTATTCTTTCTATTAAAAGATGATCAAAATGGGTTCGGATGTGGAGGTTGTTCTGAGAGATGCCGTTATTCAGATGGAACATGTAGCTGATGATCGACTTCGTAAGTTTGAGGCTGTTAATCATGTATTTTACATTAACGTTGATGATGCCCCTTTAATGGTTTTATTTTTTGTAGAGCTTCGACCCAGAGAAAGTCTTTTCTTGGAAAATGTTCCTTATTGTGACCAGCCTCGGAAAAAGTCCTGATGAAATCATAAACATCTGATGAAATTCAAATGTATTTATTATTTTGATTTACTTTATATTACTATTTCAGTTCTTGGGAAGTGTGTGATGTAAATGAGTTTGTATGAATGTACTGTTGTCAATATTTTTCTAAATGAATTTGAATGAGACGCCAAGAAGTATAGTGCTTTAGAAGATCCTGTCAATAAAGAATACTGTATTTGCAAGCCTCCAAACATGATTTAATTTACTTTAATTTGCCAATTTATATTCCGCATCATGTGTGGAATGTTGTGCCATATTGTATAAAAAGTCAATCATTTTAAGAGTCTAATGTGTAAACACACGAACCATCACGAGCCATGATGGTTCGTGGGATCCTGAGGCAGCTGTCCAGTACCGGCAGGCCAAGCGTGCTACAGCCCGGGCTGCCACAGAGACAAAAACCCGGCACTGGGAGGAGTTCGGAGAGTCCATGGAGCATGACTATCGGTCGGCCCCGAAGAGATTCTGGCAAACCATCCGGCGCCTCAGGAGGGGGAAGCAGTTTTTTGCCGTCACCGTGTATGGGGCGGGTGGAGAGCTGCTGACCTCGACTGGGGATATTGTCGGACGGTGGAAGGAATACTTTGAGATTTTCCTCAATCCCCCAGTCACGTCCTCTGTTACAGAGGCAGAGGCTGAGGATGTTGGGGCGGATACTTCTATCTCCCTGGCTGAGGTCACCAAGGTGGTTGGCAGCCTCCTTGGTGGCAAGGCGCCGGGAGTGGATGAGATCCGCCCTGACTATCTAAAGTCTCTGGATGCTGTAGACACCCTCAGTGCAAGAAGGAGCACTATCGCAGGGCCTTCATCCCCACCATGTCAGATTATACAATAAGTCACTTTAATTACCTGCACTAGGACTGAAAAAAGTTGCGCTGCCACTTTTATTACCTGCACTAGGACTGAAAAAAGTTGCGCTGCCACTTTTAATGTTTTATTGTACATAATATAACTTGCACAAAATAAACTATGTTTTACGTTTTTAACTTGTTGCACAACCTGAGTCATGCTATCTATGCCAAATGTGACATGTTTATCCTATCATATCTTATTCCAGACTGTTAAAACTTTTTGACTGATCCTAAAATTAAAAACAAAATAAATCTAAAAATGTAAGCACATTATTGCTCGTTTTTATTTGCATGAATAAATCCCAGAGTAATGTAACTAAGTACCGTTACAATATTGTGTTTACTACATTTCCCATAGACCTTCAATCGTGTAAATCGTCATCAATATGCGCCAACGTTGCTAAGGTAACAGGTTAGCAGCAAGCTAAGCACGTAAACAAAACCACAGCATGCCGAAAATAATGTAATTTTAATGTAACAATTAAGCTGAAATCTCACGTTGAATTTACGAGTCTAGATGTTTACGTCTGGTGTTTTTCAGATCTGAGACTTTGTGGGAGCTTGCTGCCGCTGACGTTCAAAAAAGACAAAGTGAAGTAGAGGATGAGAGCCGCAGTGTGGAGCCGAGCGAAAGGACCGTGTTTCTGATCGGCAGTAAGGCCGGGGTAATGTTTATATTTATTATTACTCAGCGTACTTGATTGTAATTACATGCAGTGTTGTAACCTAAAGCATCCTTATGAATATAGGGTAAGACGTCTATTCTCTACCGCTGCCTTGACAAGTAGGTACTTCATGGCCATACTGAAAATAGGCCTAAAACATAACGCTACTTCATGAAACAAGTTTATGATATTGCTGTAGTTTTACATATTTTGGGGGGTCTCTTACTACGAGGCTAAGTAGTTTTGACCATGGAACTCATTGTTTGTTTTTTCCACAGAGAAGAATTTCCTAAGCCCACTTTGGCTTTGGAGTACAGTTTTGGTCGGCGCACCAGGGGACATAACACGGTTAGGGAAACTTTGTTTTGCTTTTCTTTAAGATTTCATGTCAACTTCATTTGATTCAATGAAAGCTGGGTTAGGGTTTGGATTAAAAAATTGCAACCAAGCTTTAGAACATTACTTATAGACAGATATGCTTTATCATGAAATATAATAATTTTTTACAGCGCTGTATTGGACACCTCAAAAAAGCTCTCCTTTAAAGAGCTGTCAGTCTTTAGATCATCAAAGATAGCTGACAGTCAACTACTGAAATACTAACTGCTTATACCAAGAACAAATGCTCTTTATTATACAGGGCTATGTCCGCATGGAGCAATCTGCCTCCATATATGCCGATTCGAAAAGAAGATATTTTATACTCAATACATGAATAAAGAACTTGTCGTTAAATGTGTGACGAGCTAAAATATATGAATCTTTTAACAAACTTGCTTCTAGCGCAATTTCATTAAAATGCACAGGGGAAAATTGACTTCATTTTTCATAACTACATTTCTGTGATTTTGGTTTTAATAGTTAAAATAAAAAGTCACTCTACGTTGTGTTTTTCTACTAGTGTAAAGATATTGCTCACCTGTGGGAGCTGGGAGGTGGCATTTCACTGTCAGATCTTGTACAGATCCCAATCAGCCCATCAAGCATCAGGTGAGAACTAAATTATTACTCAAATGTAGGTCACTGTCTCTTACACATGTGCTTTTCATTATGCCATAACAGGACTCTTTCCATTATTCTTGTGCTGGATCTTTCAAAACCAAATAGTTTGTGGGAAACAATGGAACGATTATTACACAGTACTCAAGAGCAGGTCAATAAGGCTTTTCAACAGCAACAGCAAGAGCGAGGGAGTGGCAGTAACCAACGGACACGAGTCCTGCCTAAAGACTATCCTGTAAGACTTGTGTGTGTGTATGTGTATGTGTGTGTCTGTGTGTGTGTGTGTGTGTCTGTGTGTACGCTCTATGGCTGGATTTAAATCATGTGATATAATGAGTTGTTATCTTTTTTATAGGACAGAGAGCTCATTAATCCTTTCCCTGTTCCCCTCCTCGTTATTGGCAGTAAATATGACCAATTCCAGGTAAATCTACAACATTAATTTTTGAATGCTGGGTTTTATTGTATAAATATCTTTTTTAGGAGTTTGATTCCAACCAAAAGAAGTTGATTTGTAAGACACTTCGGTTTATTGCTCATTACTACGCTGCCTCTCTAATTGTAAGTTTACATCAAACCGATATTATACATCTGTTCAGTTAAAGCTAATCAAAGCTTTTTTTCCAGTTTACCAGCATCAAGTCTGAGAGCTTGATGTCTAAAACCAAAGTATTCATTTCTCATCTTGCATTTGGCACTGACAAAGGGTGAGGAGAAAACGCACAAAGTCTTTAAAAAACGCAATGAATTGTGAAAAATAAAATGGTCTCATTGTGTCCTCAGAAAAACAATGTCTACTGATTCCACCAAACCACTCATCATTCCTGCTGGTACCGATTCATTCGGCCAAATTGGTGAGCGCACAAAAAACTGGATTCGTTTCACTCAGATGTCACATTATTGAGTAATAATCAGAAAATCATACATGGATTGTTGAGCAGGCACACCCCCTTCTTCTGATGTGACCTCACTACAGGCAAGAAACCCTAAAGACCTTTGGAAGAAAGTGTATGAGTGTACCTTCCCTCAAGAGGTAAAGAGAGGTGCACAACAGCAGTGAAAAAAGCACAAGGATAAAAAAGAAAAGACTGTCATATTTTTTCAGACTGTCAGGGAGAAAAAGGAATTGAAGGATCCAGCCAAGGACCCACAGTACGGGGAGCCACAGATCGATGCCATGAGAGCCCAAAAAGACCAAGTAAAAAAAACTGTTCAATATTATTACTTTGTTATTAATCTTTATTTCAGACTCAAAGTAAATTGGTCCATATTTGAAAGAATAGAATATAAAAAGAGACAATGCAACACAATGTAAAGTCAGTCTAAGCAGATCTATAGATGGAGTTTCTCAGAGCATAGATGTAGCCACATGAGCTCATTTTACAGTTAGTCACAGATACCTCCAGACGCTCCTTGAAACTAAAGCTTAGATGTCGGATCAGTCACTGTTACCTGAATTAATCTTCTTTCTACTCTTCAGTTATTCATTACACCAAGTAAACACACAGTACCTGTAATTAAACCAATATCATGAACTGTAAATGACCACCACACTTTTATTCCTTTGATAGGGACAGTGCACCTTAACGAACACCTGTAAATGCAAAATAAATAAATAAATATACCACATTTATTGTCCCTCGGAAAGAGAGGTACAAACAAAGCAACAACTTTTACAGACACTAAGAGTCGGTGTTAAACGTGTTCACACAGACTTGGTTTTCCTTCACCCCCTGCTTCGTGTGAGCTTTAAATGGATATAGCGTGGGTCATTGTCGTTATCAAAGAAAGAGTGTTCCATTAATGACATACACACAGCATGATTTGTTTTTCTTCTGTACCGAATAGTTTTTGCAGCTCAGTATAAGTTAGTGTAATCTCAGGAGTTTACTGGGACATTTATGAAGACTCATTGCATCAGTTTGTACATAGTGCTTTTATTGGACACTTAGACGCGACACATCATTCTTCATTCACTCCATACACTGTGGTGATGAGCTACTACTGAAGTGTCTTGCCTCAGAACACACCGACAGTTTGGCACTTTACAGTCACAGTCGCCCCAGGTGTTCCTAGAGATCTCCCATCCCAGTTCTAACAAGGTCCTGCCCTGCTTAACTTCACAACTCTTGACAAGATGTCTTCAATATTTTGATGCTGTTTTAAGAATCACTATATTCTTTAACTTGTGCCATGTTCTGATGGGTCTAACAATTACCTGGTTCCTGGAATATGTTAGAAAATTCCATTATCAGTGAGATGTCGAGCTTATATCAGCTTCACAGACGCACTGCGTCCTTTATCCTACTGACCCCGATACCCCTCCAGGTGACCGTGGAACTTGAACTACAGTAACTCAGGCATAATAACACCATATCTCACGCAATATTCTATTATTACACTTTGGCTTTTTCCATCGAGTAAAAAAGTCTTTTTTTATTAGTTTAAAGCTGTACTGTAGTACCTGACTTTGTTTTATTTGTCTCAACAGAAAGATATTATCTAAGTACAAGTTTAATATTTATTGAACAAATCAGACCAAAAAATACTATCTTTGTCTTATTAGTTAGTTATTTTCTAAAAGGTTGATCTATGATGTGTGGGAAGACTAGTGATTGAACTATTTTTATAGCAAGGAAATGGAATGTTTTCATGGTGATTTGTTTGTGTTAAGTACTCCAGCGTTTTCTATTAAAAAATAAACTGAAATCCTCAAAGTAATTCAAATTAAATATTTCAATATTTTGTAAAATATGTATTGATTTGTAATTTTGTGTTTTAATTTTAGGAACTGGAGAAATACAAAAGAGATGTGGCCAAGTCGTGGAAAGGACTAAACTTTGAGTCCTGACAAAACATGGATCACATTATTATCATTATTTTAGTATTTATTGTCTTTTGTTAATAACTAAAGAAAACAATAAAGCCTTTGATACAAACATTACAGCGTGTATATGTGTATGAAGAAACGTTAAACCCTCGCTGGTCTTGTGCTGAATCTAACATTGTTTTTATCAGGTTTGTGCGGTGGTAAGTTAGTGGCGGATAATCCTGTCCCTAATTTTGAAGCTGATCATTCCCAGTAACAACAGAGCAGGGAGGAAAGCGTAGAGGAGGATGAAGTCCAGGGTGAAGCGTGACAGGGCCCCAGGATAGCCCTGCTCTATGATCTGATTGCCCTGATTGACCACACAGGCTCCTGGCAAAAGTTGGGACGCATCTAAAATACAAAAAACAAGCTGCATTTATATTCTGTAATATTTGTATGAAAGCAGTTGTATAAGAACAAAACTTACTGCATGAAAAATTCAGATCATAAAACTCAGTTACTATGAGGAGTTCACAGCTGTATTTCTGGAAAGTTAAGTAACTGAGCCATTGAAAGACTTCTGGCATCTGCTGTGTGCTCCTGTAAAAGCAAACCATAACATGTTGAGTGGGTGTGACACATGTATTTTAAATAAAGTAGTGTTGTATCGATGTGGGTACCTTAGAAAACCAGAGCCCACCAAAATCCCTGCAATATTAAGCAGAGCTACACCAGTGTTGACCATGTTTGGGTCTTGGACAACTCCGAGTAACACAACCGTGAGCAGTTCCCCTGGAAATAATACAAGTTGCCGTCTCTCTCGATAAGAAAAGTAAATGTAGATATGAGGATTCCGAAGTCAGAAATGAATTTACCTACAATATGGGGCACCATGACTACAGCAGTGTAACAGAGAAAACGCAGCGTGTCTGGGTTCATTCCAATGGTCCTGAAAATAAGAACATCTTGTAAAGTTCTTCCTACGACAACTGGACATTATGCTCAAGAATAGATACCAATATATACCAGTATAGGAAGGATGTGAAAATAAAAACACTGAGCACGCTGAAGGGCAGGATGTGGAATACGTAAGCCAAGAACATCTGCCATTTACTGTACAGGCCGTCCTGACTCTCCTGGTCGCCTATGGCTCTGAGCGCAGGAACTGTGGAGAGAACAGCCTCAACACTGGGATTTTCATTGTTAATGTTATTTTAGGTCTACACAAATATGTTCACACTGATGATTGTTGATCTTGTGATTAGAATCTTGTACAATATTATATTGATCTTTCTAACAGAGAATGCTCGAGAATGGAAATCGAGCAGGTGTTGTCCCACTTCCCACTTTAGTTGAAGTTAGTATTTCAACCCTTGTGCTACTCTTAGGTCAAATTGACCTGCCACAGTGATTAGAAAACATTAATTTCAAGCTACATTTGGATGACTTATCATGACTTGACCAGCCCTGGATCATTTAGAGCCTAATTTAGGGTATTTTTCTTCTACTTTTAATAAAAGTAATCATCTGTGGAGGGTAATTTTAGGCCCAAGAGTAGCACAAGTCTGTTACAGCATATTACTTAACAGGTCATTTAGTTTGTAGGCCTATCTCAACCGAATCACTTTTTTCAAGTACATTATCGGAAACCTTATTCTTTTATTGCAGTCAAGGACATCAAGATAATAATAATAATTGAACCCATAGACAGTTGATACCTATTTAAAGCACTTTTTCTCAAGTTGCATTCTTGATCACAGTAAAAAAAGACTAAAATGATATTGTCTTTCTGTACAAAGGTCTCAGGTCTCTTCTCTTGTCGAGGATTTTACGACGTCTTTATCTCAACAAAGTCTTAAGGTTTATGAAGAGTGAGGGTTACTTTGAGTCATGAACTGCTTTAATTATGTCATGACTGAATTGTATGCAATAGATCCATGACTGTATGCTAACACATGCAGATAATATCTATAGGTTACTCCCGTTTAGTGAACCCAAACACACCATCTAACATTCTGTACAGTGCATTATCCCTTTTACATAGTTTAATAGAATGTCACCTTATGATCGGCACTTTATGAAACTCAAAACAGTCTTTTGGACCTAGAAATAATAATTTAAAAAAAAGAAATAATTTACGTGAAAAGCAAAAATGTCATCTGTCAGAAATGCTGTATAAAAAAAAATATATTTAATGATTTATTTTTGAGTAAGTAATGAGAAAGTGTCTGTATTTTCCTTTTAACACTAAGTCTGTGAAAAATGTAAAAAATACAGATAGTTAAGCCCAAAACCCCACTCTACATAAAGATGTCAGGTGCAGCAGTCTCTGCAGATGTACATGATCTCACACCTGCAGCTGGCGGATGGTTGAGGTACACTTGATTGTCTACATAAGGAACATTAGTCCTCTGGATTAGACCCAACCCTTCTCTATCAGGACTCAGGAGCAGAGGTAACTACAGTGTAGCACCTGGGGGCATACTCAGGTTTAGTCCTCAAGATTCAGCATAAAAATTATTTAGGGTTATTTATTTTCTACTTTTAATAACTGTCCAGGAGGTAAATAAATTTATAAAACTGTGGTGGGTTATGAAGGGTTTTTAAGTGGAGCAATGTTCTGTGTCTTTGAGATGTAATGTGACTTATTGCCGTTTCTGTAACTATTCTAATGGATGTTGATTTTGCACGGCTGTGTGTGGTGGCACTTACAGAGAGCTACAGCGTTGAGCATGCCGGTGTAGGGAGATGCACCGATGCTCTGATAGATGATGCCGATGCGGTCCTGGATGGCACCTTTGGACACATCCAGATCCAGACGCATGACGAAGAAGGCCACGAAGAGTCCATAGATCAAGTTCTGGGACAAGCGCATCAGGACGCCCATTCGGTCCCGGGAAAGGTTTCTTACTGTTCGTCTATGCACATCATAAACACTTAAAGATATTTTTTTTTCTTTTACTTGATACATTGTCTGCATGCATCCTGCACAGGCAACACCTGAGCTCATTTTTACTTTGTATTTGATGTGTTTTAACCCTTTAATGTTCACTCCTTGGATAAAGTCATTTTTTCTTTTTCTGATTTTCTAATATGTAGGAACACTAACAACACAATTTTTTTAATGTTTTTTTTTAACCTTTAGTTTTTTTCAAAGTGCCTGACGCCAAGTGATAGAGAGGCCCCAATGAGGTAGATTTCAGTTCCAAGCTTCAAGTAGATATAGTGACTCAAAAAGAGATCCACCAAATGGTTGAGGAACCCATAAAAGGGTTAAACAGCTGTAGATTCATTAGACTTGGTTGTGCAGCCACTGTCGGGTTAGTGCTTACCTCAGCAGAACTTCTAGTTTGGCTGCTCCACTTGGTGACTCTTTGCTTTTGAAGGGAATATCTGGTTTGTCTGATTTCTGCAAACTCTGCTCTATTTGGGCCAACATTCTCCTGTTGATGTCAGACCTCTGATAAGATGAGGCAATTTCATGCATGCGGTTCATTGTAGCAGCTTCTCTCTCGCTGCTGCGAGTGTCCACAGAGGTGAAGTCCACTGTAACGCAACATCATCAAACACTAAATAAGACTGCATTATATTTTTTAAAGTATGTTTCGGGCTGTGACAGGAGTACCGTAAATGTCAAATGGATTGCAGTATTCTGGACATTCATATCCACACTGACTGAAGAAGTTGACCATCTCTTCAGGCTCCCCACAGAACACCAGCTCCCCACGACTCATTATAGCAATCTTGCTGAAAACCTAAGATAGTAGTTACAAAGTAGTGACAAAGTGTGTTCATCATAACTCAATTTCTATGTTCATAGTGTTTACAAACTCTGAAAAGTTCGGAGCGCGGCTGGTGGATGGTGACAACAACGATGCGGTCTCGGCGGGCCAGTTGTGCCAGTAACACCACTATCTGGTTGGCGGTCATGCTGTCCAGGCCTGTGGTGGGCTCGTCCAGAAGGATCACCTCTGTAACAGCACCATAAACTTTATTTCTCACAAATGACTCCTAAGTTTCACCCTGGAAACTTTAAAGGATTGACAGAATCTCAGAGGACCCAACTTGACTTGTGAAGATAAGCTAGTTCTTATTTAAGGTAATTACTCTAATTAGGACAATTAAAAGATTGTCTCTTTGCTTTATGAAGGGGAGTGGAATTAGCAGATGCTTTAATTGCAAGATTAATTCATTTCCTGGTTGATTGGAGAAGCATCAAATAGGAAGTTCTCATTACTCCTTGTGCAACTGCTCTTATGTGTGTATAGAGTGTGTGGCCACAGCCATTTAATCCTGAATGAGGCCTGAGACCCTTCATCCTCCCGGGAGCATTATAGAGCAGATAAACTACACCTGGGATGTGCCGGCGCACACATCCGGGCGGAGGTGGAGCCTGCTTATTTCTCTGCTGTGAGATAACCCAGACTTTCATTACTCTTCTCCATCGCTTCCTCTGTCCTTTACGCTGTTTTTCTTCATTAATCTCCTCCTCTGATCCCTTTGTCTCCCTGCAGTTTGGACTTTTAAAACTCTTTGGGGGAAGTCTGTTTAGCCCAGAACTTTCTTCAAGACTTAAAAACTTTAAGGGGGGAGTTCACTGTCCAAATACATGCAAAAGTGTGTTTTTTCTGATTCATATTTCATTCAATCACTGAGGAATCACTTTCTTCCTGCTTATCCAGAAGGGTCTCATTATATGACCTTGGGTTTACTGCAAAAGGAAACTAAAATACATATTTACTTGGATCTTGTAGTAGCTGGCAGGCAATAGACACTCTCCTTCTCTCGCCACCTGAAATCCCTGCAAATATTCGACCCCCGATCACACTGTGGGCCACATGAGTGAGACTCAGCTCGGCCATCACGGCCGACACCTGCACAAGACACATCATATTAATAACAGGACTTGAAAATAAATGATGACATTTTAGGAATGTATTTGGGTTTGAGTGGACTGTTTACAAACCTTTTTCTTTATTGCTTCATCTGAATGTTTCCTCAATGCAAGCTGTGCTGTGTAAGTCAGTGTCTCTTCTACGGTCAAATAACTTAACAGGTTATCACTCTACAAAAAATCAAATGTACATTTCAGTAGGAAATACACACAGATGCACAATCAGGCATTGGTTTTCAGTCAAATGATTTTGTGGTGTTTGTGGTTGATTTTGGAATATTATGGGATCAGTGTATTGTGCACTCCTGACTGGTAATAAACACATGCTGCCCTACAAACATTCATTTCCTTCGACACTCATCAAAATGACTTTAGTATCAGGTCCCAAATCACCTCCTCATCTGCAGCTTAGCAGGGAAGTTAATAACCAGGCTTAGAAGCACAGGGTGCTATCAGCCCAAGAAGAGGCCAGCTTAAAGCCATACTTTTAATTCAGGCTTTGGCTACACATGAGCACCCCTCATTGAGAGATTAAGAATATGAGAGGCGATCAGGGGTCTTAAGTTAATTTTATACAGCGGCAGAGCAACCGTTTCTCAGGTTAGACAAAATGTGCAGCAATAGCTAAAGAAATATCAGAAACAGCTAAAGATAAATTAGTTTTACCAGTCCAAGCAGCCGTATTCATTATCTACAAACTGTGACTTTATAATCTATGTTTCCTGTTTACTTCTTTATAAATTATATTCCATATAATAATGGGTGGTATACTACCTGGAGAACATAGGAGAAACAGTCCTGATACTCTTCTCTTTTCAGTTTCCTCCCATTTATGAAGACCTCACCCAGCAGCACGCCGCTGCTCCCTATCCTCCCAGAAATTGCATCCAACAGTGTGGTCTTTCCTGAGCCTTTGCACACAAATATCTTTGTCAACATAAACGAATGACCTGTTATTTACAGAATAATATTGCACCTGAATTTCCAAGAATCCCCATGATCTGCCCACTGTCCACGTGGAAGGATACATCATTGAGGATCTGTCGAGTCCATCTCTTTCTGTAGGACGGTATGTCCCACCACGGCCCCAAGCGCTCACTGGATCACATACTGTACATTGTTAGTACACAAGAGAAATGCAGAGTGATCGTATAATTGAGTGTAAAGAGTGTATACCTGACTGTATAGGAGATGTTGTTCACACTGAGGCTGCAGGACGGCTCACACAGTCCCTCTCCACTGTCCCAAACGTCACCTTTCACCCGCTTGAACGACTGTTTGAAGCTTGTTCCCTTCGCCTGCTCCTCAGGCTTCAGTGAGTAAGATCCATCCATGTCTCCAGCCTCTTTAAGAACGGTAGTATCTAGAGAGACATGTGTAAGTTAAATGTTTGTGCGCTACACTATCAGCGTCAGTGTGTCGCTGCAGCTAAACAGAATGGTCCCACTCAGACAATAAACACTAATGCAGCGTTATCTGGAGAACTTTGATCCATGGTTGTATAAAGTGGACCAACGAGAGAGGGGCAAAAAACCTCCCTTGGTGGGGATTTTATGACATGTGGCTCAAGTAGTTTGCTTCACTCACATTTCGAGGAGAAGATGCCAAAGAGCAGCTTCTAACATGTGCTCAGCTGTTCTAGAGCTGGGGTTTGAGCGCTGAGTCTGAGGAAGTACAAGAGCAGCTGGACCAGGACAGTGACCTGCGCCACAGAGCACACAGACATGGACCCCAGTGTGGCCTCTCCACACGGCTCCACATCACAGGTTAGTTCTGCAAGATTTTAAACAGCCAACACATTTCACTGTTAACTAATATAGGAACCACATATACCAGATTTCGACTTGTACCGGAGAAGTACAATTAACAATCAAGAATTCTGTTTTCTCTGATTTAATGGAATGAAAAGAGACTCACTTTTTCTGCTTCTTACGTACAGGAGAAAGACACAGAGTGGTTTTCTTCTGAAGAAGACAGCAGTCTCTACTTCACATACAGCGGAGGGTGCAACGAGCTGGAGGTCAACAACCTACAATATGAGGCAAGTGCAGCTACGTTAATTTCCTACAAGACTGCATGTAATATTACTATTTTAATGAACCGTCTGGTGTAACAAATCTCTCACTCATGCTTCTGTACTTAGGTGGACACAGCTGCACAGATCCCTTGGTATGAAAGGCTGTCAGAGTTTAAATTGCCTTGGGAGATCAAAGGAAACAAACAGATTGCCATCAATAAACTCAACCTTCGAGTGCGCAGTGGACAAATGCTGGCTATCATCGGCAGCTCAGGTAAAGTGCACAGAACTATAAACCACAATTTCAGAATAAAAATGTCTCTCAAAACCCCTATCGCAGGTTGTGGTAAGACCTCTCTGTTAGACATATTAACCTGTCGCGATGAGGGAGGAGTCATGACTTCAGGCCACGTTCTCATCAACGGCAAACCCAACACGCCCCGGGTCGTGAGGAAGACCATCGCTCACGTTCGCCAAGACGACCGGCTCCTGCCACATCTCACCGTGAGAGAGACTTTGGTCTTTGTGGCCAAACTGAGGCTGCCAACCTACTTCAGCAAGGCCCAGAGGGACAAGAGGGTGACTAGAGCAAACGTCTGTGTGTTATAACCAAATGTGCCTTGTCTGACTGACCCATCTCCACATCCCAGGTCGATGATGTCATTGCGGAGCTGAGGCTTCGCCAGTGCGCCAACACCAGAGTGGGCAACGACTATGTGAGGGGCGTCTCAGGGGGAGAGAGGAGGAGAGTGAGCATCGCTGTGCAGCTCCTGTGGAATCCAGGTACATGAAGGGAAACTAGTTCTTTAAGACTGGCATGCTGTTTATTCACTTTCTTCATAGTTAATCTTAGGGCATGTTCAGATTTGTTGGTCTGGTTCACTTTCACTGGACCAATTCTGGTTACCTTGGGGCAAAAACTGAACTTTATTTGTCCACTAGTCTCTCAAAGCTGGAGTAAGCCCAACCAAACTGTTTATTGTTAGTCCCACAGAAATAATACATTGTTGTGAACAAATCAGACCACAATATACTGCCTTTATGTTATTAGAAAACATCTTTTATATAGTGGCCATTTCTTTTTCACTTTTCTGTCTGAAATAGCTGATCTAAAGCTGTGACAGAAGCCAGAAATCCTACACGTGACCACTAGTGATAGAAACAATGAGAGTGATGTTAGTTAAAGATTTTATGACACTGTTCATGTGAAGTACTTTGAGTCGGTTCACATGTTTTGGAACAGAACTGTGAAGCATTTTGGCTCAAGTGAACAAGACTTTCGTCCTTATAATGAAATCCTCAAACCTCTGACTGCGTGTTTAAGGCATTCTGATCCTGGACGAGCCCACTTCAGGGTTGGACAGCTTCACGGCTCACAACCTGGTGATCACTCTGTCGCGGCTGGCCCGAGGAAACCGCCTGGTCCTGCTGTCCGTGCACCAGCCTCGCTCCGACATCTTCCAGCTCTTTGACCTGGTGGTGCTGCTGTCCTCTGGCTCTGCGGCCTACTGTGGCGCGGCACGGGACATGGTGGCCTACTTCACATCCCTGGGATACCCCTGCCCTCGCTACTGCAACCCCTCCGACTTTTACGGTAGGCTATTTTAAACGTATTTAAAAAATATATATATGTTTACTTTATTCTTTACTTTGTTCTTTACTTTATTTATTCATTGTGTCGTCTTCATTAGTTCGCACTTTTTTCATAATACATACAGCATAACGAGACACATTTTAATCCCCCCCACTATGCTCTCTCTGCTTCAAAAAAAGGGTAAAAATATAAATTAAAATAAAATAAATAATAATAATAAACACAAGCAATGAAACAATAAACAATATGAAAGTAAATATATAGAATACTATAAACAATATTCCTATAGCTATAGAGTACAAGTGTTATGTACAAGTACAAGTTTAGGTAAAAAAAAAAAGGCAAGGCAAGTTTATTTGTATTGCACGGGCAACTCAGAGTGCTGAACAGAATAAGAAACAATCACAAAAGGCATTCAAATCATAAATAATCACAGTACATTAAAAAGAGTAAAGATAAAATCCGTCAGTTGTATACGAAGCTAAACAACTGTTTTCAACCTGGATTTGAACATTGTCAGCGAAGAAGCCTGTCTCACATCTTCAGGAAGACTGTTCCAGATTTTAGTAGCTGAAGTAAAGGAATTATTTCAATAATTTGTTTAAAATACTTTTGCAGAGTGAATTTTTGGAATGATTGGGGACAATATATTGTATCCATATGAGACATTTTAAGCGTTCCCTTTAAACCAAAACAACAGGTTTTAGAAATGCTTCCTTCTGACAGAGAAAATGACAATAAACCAAACATTTATCAGAACTTAGAAGCGTGGCTAACCAAACTGTGTTCATGCTTTAAGTTTGTCATCTGCAAAGTGTCGTATTAAAATGTCAGAAAGTAGATATTTGATTTTAAAAGCGAGGAGAGAAAAATGAGTAGTAAAGTACTTAACTTAGTAGTAATGAACTACTAAGTTAAGTACTTGAAGTGACTTGCCACCAACTGCTCACATAATTAAGTAAGTAATCTGTCTATATAAAGTATTTGACTGACTTTGGTGTCTTTATTCCCAGTGGATCTCATCAGCATAGACAGACGCAGCACGGAGCTTGAGGCTGAGTGTTTGCAGAGGGCCCGGGTTTTATCAGAACATTTCAAAGAGAAGGTGAAAGACACAGACGACCACATGTGGAAACCCGACAGAGCCAACCAATCCTCCCAAGGAAACGAGTGAGCGGCTCATAGTGCGTTGTTTTTTTTTTTTTTCACACCTTAACGTTTGCTTTTGCTTTGCAGCCTCACAGAGCTTAGTATTGTCGAAGGAGAGGAGTCGATCACAATTACAAATCAAGGAAGTGAAGTACCAGGCAGATTGCATCAGTTCACTGTACTCATCAGGTAAAACATTACATCATCATCATCAGTGAAGAACACTTTGGGTTAGGGTTCATTTATGTGTTTAGCTACATAAGAGTAAATACCTGCATTCACATTCTGAACACGGGGGACATACCTTCCTTTGCAGACTTTTGTAATGTCAAAACGCCTCACAGGATTAGACAAACATGGGACGAGCAAATACTGTAATTTTTGTTTCTGAATATCAGAAAAGGAGAAAGTAAGAGTCCCTAAAAGTAAATAAGTCTTCTGAATACTTATTCTTGATACATGCATTCTGTTACTCACCAACACTGATCATAATTTCATCAATGAATCGTAAGATGGCTCTAATATGTTATGCATGTGCACACACACACACACACACACACACACACACACACACACACACACACACACACACACTCATAGTACGATGACGCATACACACACACACTCACACATACTCACGCACACACAGGACGAGGGCCCATACACACACACTCACGCACACACAGGACGAGGGCCCATACACACACTCACGCACACACAGGACGAGGGCCCACACACACACACACACACACACTCACGCACACACGATGGCTCATGCAAGCACACACAGTCACACTTACTTATACACACACTCGAGCAAGTTTATTTGTATAGCACAATACATACACAAGGCAACTCAAAGTGCTGAACAAAACAATATAGAAACACAAGGCATTAAAATCATAAACAATCACAGTACATTGCAAATGTACACACACACACAAACACACTGTGTGAAATAAGCTGAATGTTGTTCCAGGCGTCACATGTTCAACGACTACAGAGACCTGGTCACGATCCTGGTCCATGGCTTTGAGGCCCTTCTGATGTCTCTGCTCGTCGGGTTCCTTTACTACGGGGCTGGACCTGAGCCTCTGTCCATTCAAGACACAGTGGCACTTCTCTACATGATCGGAGCCCTCACACCTTTCGCTGTGGTGCTGGACGTCATAGCCAAATGTGAGTCTTGATAATTCTGATTTATGCCGTCGATATCAAAAGATAACACAAGTCCTCCACATTTCTCATGTAATAAACCAGTGCTATTAAAGCAGATGCCCAGTTAGTTTAAGATAGCTCCAACTATCCAATAAGGTCAAGGTTACATTTTTCAGTCTCTTGCAATTGTAATTTGTATTTGAAGGTCACACAGAAAGAGCAATGCTCTACCATGAGCTGGAGGATGGCATGTATGCAGTCTCATCCTACTTCTTTGCTAAGGTAATTGTTCAAATAATGTCCAGTAGGGGTCAGTGCAACACTATGTCTGAACTGCAAACTGAATTTTGAACATTCTTTTTTTACCACCAATAATAGTGATAAGGTTCTGCAGGAATGAATTCATATTCATTCACATCCACAGGTCTTGGGAGAGTTGCCCGAACATTGTGTCTTCACCCTGGTTTATGGTTTGCCCATTTATTGGCTTGCTGGTCTGAACACTGATCCATTTCGCTTTCTGTTGAACTTCCTGCTGGTGTGGCTCATGGTTTACTGCAGCCGGGCCATGGCTCTGTTTGTGGCTGCAGCTCTGCCCACGCTGCAGACCTCCGCTTTCATGGGAAACTCACTGTTCACCATCTTCTACCTGACAGGGGGCTTTGTCATCAGCATGCAAAATATGTGGCTTGGTGAGATATAATGATATATGGGATATTTGAATCCAGACCTAACTCATGTTTGTTTGGCCTCCTGCAGTGGCCTCATGGCTCTCGTACGCCTCCTTCATGCGCTGGGGCTTTGAGGGAATGCTGCAGGTGCAGTTCAAAGGGGTCATGTATGAAGTCACTGTGGGGAATTTCACCATTCCAGTCGACGGCATAAAAGTGAGTTATAAAATAAAACATCCAAAGATCAAACATGAGGGTTCATGTTCGTTTGCAGATGGTGGAGATAATGGGCATGAACAGCTACCCGCTGTACTCCTGTTTCCTGGTGCTGCTGGCCGTCTGTCTGGGATTCATGGTTCTCTACTTCATCTGCCTAAAATATATCAAGCAGAAGTCCAGCCAGGACTGGTGAAAATCACTCCACTTAAACGACGAAAGCAGAACTTTGACTCTTTCGACAGGTTCGATAAAGAGCCATTGTGAAAATATTGTACCAATTTTTTACATTAATTATCTCAGTTTATTAGTGACCCCTGCTCCACAAGAGAAAGGAGTTTATCATTTTGTGCAATGTACTCTGTCGTGCTGTGCATGGCGTTGGTGTAGCACTTTTTTTTTTTTTTTTACTAGGACTAAAATTGATGTTTATGATGAAATGATTGTTTATTATTAAGACACAATCAACATTGTACCTGTAGACTTGTACTTCATACACACACATTCTCAATCTAAACTGTTTTTAAAACTGTAATTTACTTGTCCCTTTGTAAAGCGAGTGTCCAAAAACACACTATATATAAAGTATGATGTATAATTATCACTAATATAGTAAAGTGTATTTGCAGTATTTATTTGAATGGAACAGTATATACAGTACGTTGAATTGAATACAGCTGTAAATACTCCATTAGATGTGGGTATGGGAGGAGGAAGCCTACAGACACTGGGAGAACATCCACAGGCAGGTAGAGGAACTCTTGAACATAGTGCTGCGGCCACAGAGCTGAAGTTGCCTCTCACTGAAAGTTGCAGTGACAGTGTTTGCTCCTGGATGGCAGCAGAGGCCTGCAGCACAGTTTGGTGAGTCTCCAAAGCCTGTGATTAGAGCGTCACATTGGCAGTCATCCATCTGCAGATTCAGCCTGCTCTGTTTTAATCTCCTTATTTCTACAACTCGATCTTTATGTATATATAAAGATATTAAGTCCAACAATGTGTGCCAGTAAAGGAAGCACTAAAGTCTATGAGAGATTTAGGAGACTAGTGTCACAAAAATTGGAATAGTTCAGATTATGTTTATGTAAACTGTTTACTTTTGCACTGGTGCACGAGAACAGCACAAGGTACAATGAATTACACATTAATATTGTGCAGTGGGACTATAATATTGCATGGATGGATGTAGTGCAAGTAGCAAGTTATTACCGCCCATTTTCAAACACTTTTCACACAATGGTCAAATTCAATTTCCAGAGATAAATGTGTGTCTAAGAAGCAGTGGTTCCAAACACGAGACCATTTTTAGTGCCCCCCAAAATGATTTGGTGTAGAATTGGCCTTTCAGTCCATATCTTTCATTAACGTTTGGACTGACCCAAAACCGGACCAAAGTAGTCAATTCATTTGGCTCAGAAAACTACCGGATCCAATGCCAAGTTAAATATAAATAAAAGTCAAACTTCCTTCCTATTGAAAACCTAATCCTCACCCACAGATATAGAACATGAGCTTTTAACAATATTATACTAAGAAAACAATGAAGACCACAGTGTAAAAGCATAAACTAAATAAAAGATACTTTCAGCCAAAACCAAAATAAGTTTGATATTATGAAGGTAATTGAGCAACAGCGACAGATATTGAATTGTAACATTTATTTGCATAAATATTTATGTACAGCCTCAGCATAGCTTTCATATCATCCTCTTTCTGGACAGATAGGACAGGGAACATTCACACACAATACTATACGTTTCAAAAGCGGTTAAAAAAAGACCAAATGAAAAGGAGTTAAATTTATTCTGTCGTCTGGGATTTGGAATGCTTCTCCCTCAACTTGTCCGCATAAAACTTGAACGATTCCTGTGAAAAGGCAAACACAAATGAGGATGTCAAAATAGTGATTACAGAAGGTTTATGGTGCTGTAGTCGTTTGTGCCTGATCTATTTTCCTCCTGGGGCCAGGACTCCCTTGAAAGAGATTCTGAAATATCACCGGAACTTTATCAAAAGGTCAAAACAAGAAAATGCCCAAAATGGTATCCTATGGCTCACATCTTGACTGGCTTTTTCAAATGAATGCAATGACTGATTGTTATAACCAAAGTTTGTATGAATAGTCCACAGTAGACATCTTCAGTCTTCTAATGTAAGTGACTTTGAACCCTTTATTCTGTTGGCATGTCCATTCACCCCGTTATGAAAGTTACACAGATCACCTTTAATAAAACAGAGCTATATAGTGTGGCAAGTTTGAGAACATTCAGAAGTTTGGAGAACAGTGGCCATTTTGACTTTCACCTCCCCGTCATCCTCTGTGCATTTAAAGCTCACTTAACTATCCTGACACTGTGTGAATAATGCAGCAGCCGCTCTACCTCCACCTTGCTCCCTCTCTCCCTCTTCACATTTCTGCAGCCGGTGAGTGCAGCAAAGGTAAGAGGGGGGCTTCTTTATACACCTGCCCTGAGGGGACACCGCTACATCAAAGCGCTGAGGTTTAGAGGGCCAAAAATAAACAGGCACGGACTTACAAAATGTGCCGTGTAGAGCAGTACTCAACTAATGGAAGCTAAAAGAGCAGCGAATGACGCCATCTCACTTACAAACTGTTTTATATCTCATAGTTTCAGGCTACAGAGTCTAGAAAACAGTCAGCGGTGAACAGTAGTTCCCACAGTTAGAAGTTATATAAAATGTAATAAGTAGCTAAAGATAGTGGCTTAAGAATATGCATTCTAACGATAGCATTTCTGACACAAATGAAATAAGCAAACATTTGAGGCACTCACAGGGGGCTCAGAGAAAGGACAAGTTTCTCCAACTTCTCGGTACAGCGATGCCAACCGTTTGAGTGACAGCTCATCCACCTCCACTCCCTCCTGTTGCATCTGCTCGTGCAGAGCTTTTGCTGATTCCAAATCCTTATCCACAACTGCAGAGAGAACACAGTAGAATGACAATCTATGGGAGTCCACTGTCGACTCTGCATAAGGAGGCACGATATACAATACACTTACAAAATATAATACATATACTAAAATGGGACTAACAAAAAGCTTCTTGCCCAATGCCCCAGGCTATACGCCTCAGGTAAGCTTTGGAAACTTAGTAAAGAAGAATATAATGGTTTTGAGTAATTCGTTACATGTTATTGACCATGTTAACATTGTGTGTGACTATCTCTACGATGTAGGACTATTGGACGTAGATGAGTGGTTAAACTTGTTTTTCATCATTTTTGGCATATCTTTATAGCTAAATGCAACTTGTGAGAGACAAAACAGACACAAAAACACAAATATAAGAAGTATATGAAATAATCTAGATGCCATGTGAGTGTAAAATGTGTTGAGTATAAGTGGCTGTGATGCATTTTAAATACATAATTTGTACTGTAACACCAATAGTACATTTTCGTCCCAGTAACTAATATTCTATATTGTCCAAGACTGGAAAAAGGGAGACGTGTACGTTATTGAATTCAGCCTAAAAAGGGAAAAATGTCCCTAGTTGAAAATGAAAGGACTCTGTTGAAGGAGAGAAAAGTTGAATCCCCAGAAAAGTAAGAAGTTAAGTGGAGGTTGGTGTCGCGATTAGTGCGCAAGGCTAACCCGAGTGGCTAACTCATTAGACAACATGTGTTCTGGTAACCCCTGACCGTCCTACACTGCGCCTACACACTTAAGACACAGCCGTGACCTAATGCATTGTTAATGCAACACTAATGCTACAGCAGCAGCAGCAGCCACTGCACAAGAGCGAGCCGTCTGAGGAACACGGAGTCTGTACCATGGATTTTCATCAGGTACGGATACAGCACTTTCTTCTCTGTGAAGTCTGGAATAAGGGTCATCAGAGCCTTGATCTTTCCCAGCTGTGAACAAAAACACAAGCATGTCACGCAATTTACTCACAATATTCTTATTTAGAACATGAAATTAAGAGAAAAATAGGATGAATTCAAATAACAGTAAAATGCTTTTAGTGCAATGATGTTACCTGTCCAGGAGATTGAGCCTTTCTGGAGAGATACGACACCAGGAGGTCCTTCTGTTCAGCCACTGCATTACAGCGCTATAACGAGTATAAATAATACATATTAATTTTTATAACAATAAAACAAGTTCTTTACAAAGAACAACAGAAACCTGCCAAGATGCAATCTAATCTAGAATTAAACTTTCCTCATCTCCAAGACCAGTGAAGCTTTACGATTCCCTTAAAGAGTGATCCTTTAGGCCTTCATCAGAGTGTGAATGTTAAACTGTAGTGAATAAAATAATGTACAATGTTGTTTTATGATTTAAGCAAAGGCCAAAAATGGTGCAGCTCAGAATGCGCTCCAGTCAGATATATGGGGTAATTATTTATCAGCTGGAAAAGGAGTAATGTGTGAGCGATGAGAAACTTTAAGTGACCCGCTGCAACATGGATCTTGCAATTTACCGCTTTTCATTTACACTATCTGGCCTCCATCCCTCTGTCTTCATATTCATATCCCCAGGCTCAATGCAAAGTCACTGAGCTGTAATCCATGAACTGTGTTAAATAAATTAAATAAGTGGTATGAAGCCAATTTGAGCCCAAGACTCATGGGTGAATGTGGCCAAGGGTTTAGGACGTTCATTTCATGATGAGAAGACATAAAGGGATTCATGCATCCAAAGAGGTAGGATAAATAAGTTAGCAACTGCAGAGAGAAAGATAGTTGGCTTTTACTGCCGACCGAGTCATCGGGGAGATGTAATGCTCCGATGGCTGTGGAAAAAAGTTCAAAATATAGGCCAAAGTATGAAGACATTTTTCATATTATTATCATCATCATAATTTCTGATATACGGTAAACTTACTTTAAATAGTCACTATAGTTTACCAGAGTGTTCCAGGGGTCCGACAACTCAAATTTGTAAACTTACCGGATTCAGTCATTAGAATGTGGTATAACATGTGCAAACGCATGCAAATTCTGTGCCACAATCAAAAATAAGTGTTGGTATTGTCAAACTAAGTCAACGACTGAATTCAAGAGGTTGTGGCATTTATAGGAGGTGTAGCCTGCCTATATTGGTGAAGTCTGCTGGATGGCGCACTAAACTTCAGATGGTGGCTGCGGCAGGTGATGATAAATTGTTTTTAATACAGATCATCATCATTATTATTAATTTTTGCTTCTTATTATAGATTATAGGCTGCTTCCTTATTATGCTAAAGCTAGAGATTTTATTCGTTTTAGTAAAGAGTTTAGTATAGAGCTGTGTTCATTTATCTCATCTGTGCTGTGTTTATTTACCTTGTGCTGTGTGCTCATTCCTACCGTTTTGTAACTGGTGATGCAACACTGAAGGATTTCTTTATCTTAATATTGTAATGTACTCTTCTGACAGTTAAGTTTGTGTCCCAGTTGGACGAGGGCACCGGGCGCTACACTATGGCACTTCTGACAGAGGCCCTAGAGACATTGCAAGATGGGTCAAATCCATTTTACTTTAACTTACTATTTCAGATCATTTTGAATATATTTGCAATTTGTCGGCCTTTGAAAGAGAGGAATGAGATAAATAAGCCTGGACAAAAAGACCGTATTAAAACTACAGTCATTTTTTTTGCATTTCTCTCGTTACAACATTGGTTATTGTAGGAAAATAATTTCTCTGTACGCCATGGTCCAACATATGCCATACTTACAGCCAGCATGAACTTGGCGTCCTCTACTTTGTCCATGTCCAGAAGCTGAATAAAAATATCTGAAGCAGGTCTGTAGCAGGCAAAGTGATTGGCCAGCCGCTCAGCCGTGGCACTCACTGCAACGATGGAATTGAACTTTGTTATAAAACCAATGAAATCAAGTGGTCGTTTAAAGAGGAAATGGTCTTACATTTGTCAAAGGCCGCGTCATTGCCATCTTCTAAGACTTTTCTGAAGACAAAAGACATACTGACCGAAGCACTGTCTGGACTTTGGTAAACGGAATCCATAATTTCCGCAGCTGATTCCAGGTCACCGCTGAAAAGATGCTCATACTGAATTATTTGAATTTCATAAAACACACACACACAAACACGTGCAAACTTTTCTAAAATGACCACAAAAAAATCTCACAAAACGCACAGAACCTGGCCTAGGAACACGTGTTTCGGTGTTCCCTCGTTGTCACCAGCTACAATAAATATTTAACGCGCGGCGGCATGTGCATCTGTGTATATGTATATGTGCGGGCCGGTGGGGCAACATATCTGCGCTGATTGTTGCGAATGGGACGGTCTGAATAATTTAGTGAGCGACCCTCTGGATGTGGCGCTGGGTGTGCGGGCTCTTAAGCAGTCAGGGCGACTCACACAGGGGGATGCACGTGTCATAGCGGCTCACAGCGCAGCTCCGGGGGTCAAGGTTCCAGTTGACAGGCCAGCGCTGCACTGACCAATCAGGCGTGAGGCTGCGGCGCAGTTTTTCACTTCCTACGTCTCCCCGAGTTTGTACAACGACAACAGTGCTAATGCGGCAATAAAAGTTTGATGCTCAATGTGTATACATTTGTTCTTTTGTGTTGGAGGCGGCACAAAAGAGCGGTGGAGGATGGGTTTATTACATTAAAAGGTTTCATGAATATTCCCACTCGGCTGTTGGTCTATTCAAACATGACATGCTGCAGGCCTCGAGCGGTTTTACTTCAGTGACTTAGTATTGAACATTTAAACACTTTTAAGTGTTTTATGTATGTTTAAGTCTTCATTGACAAGTGTATAACCTATTTTTTGTGTACAATTCCAGTATTTTTAAAATAAATTATAATCCTCAACATTAAAAACACCAGGAGCCCATATTTTATTGTGAACGTCAGTAAGTAAGTAATCTTTATTTAAATAGTGCAGGGGTGGCCAAGCCGCGGCTCGTGAGCCGCATGCGGCTCTTTGGCTGGTTCCGTGCGGCTCTCGGGCTTTCACTCGACAAGCGTCAAAAACGCCTCGGTGGTGGCGCTGCCTTTCATTCCATATGTAGTTCTGACCAATAGTAAAGGCCGACTTCACTCCACTAGCCAGGCCACCAAAACAATCTGACGTCGGCGAACGTCAATTCTGGTTGGTCAGATGCGCTGTCAATCACTCTGCAGCTGTAGCAAATATCATAACAAACAACACGTTGCCTCGAACCATGACGTCCGTACGGAAAACAATTCCTTGGTCGCTGGATGAGGGCAACACCTTCCTCAGTTTGAGGAGAGGACACCAGCCTGATCTCGCTGGTTCCACCAGAAACCAGAAGGCGTTTGTGGAGCTAGCACTAAGGACGGAGCAGAATGATTCCCACAAACATGACAATGCAGAGAAAAGTTAAAAAGCTTAAAAGTGACAACCGTGAAATGAAAGATCGCAGCAGCAGAAGTAGAGGCAGACCCGAAAAGTCTGGAGGTGGTTTGACCAAATGGATTACATTTACGGACATCGGCTAACACCGGCTAACATGCTAAAACCAGCTAACAACAACTAGCATTACACCAGGAGATAAGCCAACTCTGCCTGGTGAGTGTCTGTCTTCAATCAAATGCAAAAGTATCTGGTCTTATACTGAGCATGTGTCTGTGGTTCTAAATCAGCTAAAGTGGTGTTGGTGTTATGTGTCAAATCTATATCTTTTACTAAAGACAGTTGTGTTTCTGCTGAACACTGGGTTGAAACTTGATTTTTTTTTCTTGGTTAGAGATTGAAAGCATTCATTTCGGAATCATAATTGATGTTCGCTGACGTGAAATTGTTCTGGTATCGACTCGCCCGGTTAGAACCAGGGCCAAACCATTAATAAAAAGTACCGGGGAGCGGCTAAAGCGAGCGGTGGAAGCGCCTGCAAACCAGGGAGAGTCGAGTCCAGCCCTTTAGTGCTGTACGAGTCAATTTCTGTCATTATCATGTTGATGACATTTACAATAAATCTGTCTGAGCAGAGCACACCTCTCTCTGCTCAGACAGGTTGCATGTGTGTGCGCGTGTCTGCTCGTGTGCGTACAGTACGTGCGCGTGTGCGTGCGTGTGTAAGGGTTGGGGTGATGTTTATGTAGTGCACATTTGTATGATGTGGCTCTTTGCTGTAACACAGTAAAAAAAATTGGCTCTTAGTCTCTGACTGGTTGGCCACCCCTGAAATAGTGCATTTCACACTAAACCTTGACCCAGACCAAGGTCAGGGTCTGGTGTACTGCCCTCTCCTAAAAGAAATCTGGACCATTTTCCAAGGCTAAAACTTTTTTCAAATGGAGATAGTTTTTCCACTTGTTGCAGTGAAATGTCTGGTGGTAGAAAATCCATCAATTTATAAAATGCACAGTGTACGAAATCCAAACAATTATGATGGACCTTTAGACATAGAATTGCTACATGAGCACTTGAATCCAAGACATCTTTTTTATACAGCTGGCTTCTCACAAACGTTACAGTAGTTCTCCATCTCTTGTCTGAGTTCTTACTTGTGGATATGTGCCAGTGCACTGTTGTTGATGAACACCATGCTGGACAGGTTCAGGGGGGTATTCAGCCCCTTCATGATGCGCTCCACCTCTTTGATGCCGTCCAACCTGCCCTGGCTGCCAAAGGCCTGCAACAGTCTGGTGACAGCCAGGCTCGATGGCACATAGTCGGCCTGGAGCATGGACTTAAGACTCAGAAGTGCATCTGCAAAGAAAGAGTTCAGTCTCCTTTTGTGTTAACAAAACAAACAACTCCTCGTCTTACCTTCCACTTGTCCTTTCTTGCTTTGAGTAATTATGAGCAGATTTGTTGCGATGTCACTCAATTTAAAAGAATGAATGTGAGACGTCGCACTATTTATGGAAAAGAAAAGTGTTAAAAACAAACGTCTCCAACATAAACCTTGTTACAAGGAGCACTGAGCGATTACACTTTTAAACACACATCTAAGTAGAATATAGAATTGAAAACACATTGATAGAGATCATATAAATAGATAAATAGATGGGATGTGAACATCTTGTCGTCCTAAGATGATTGATCGACACATAAAGGCTTGTGACAAAATCTCTCAAAATGACAATTAAACTTTACAATAATAACAAATTCACTTTATAAATGGCAACATTTTTTTCAAGTTTTTTTCTGGCTTAAAATGTGTATAAAAATTGGCCAACAACGGCAACCCTAAGCGTCCAAAGACTAACAGCCCAATTGATGTCTTAATTATACAAATGAAATATTGTCGAATATTATCAAAAAACAATTATTTTGTTGGTTAGTGGTATCGTTAGCTGCTGATAATGGAAAAGTGTCAGTGCTGGTCCTACTGGACCTTAGTGCTGCATTTGACACAATAGACCACAGCATTCTACTGCAGAGGCTAGAATGTGATATAGGTCTTAGAGGAACAGCCCTTGGCTGGTTCAAATCCTATTTATCAGATCGGTATCACTTCGTCAACGTAAATCAGAACTCGTCGCCTTATTCTGGAGTAGAATTCGGTGTGCCGCAGGGTTCGGTACTCGGACCGATTCTTTTTACTCTCTACATGCTGCCATTGGGAAACATTATTAAAAAGCATGGAATTAATTTCCACTGCTATGCAGATGACACACAGCTTTATCTGTCGATGAAGCCAAATCAGACAGATCAGCTAGAAAAGCTCAGTGCTGCATAAAGGACCTTAAAATGTGGATGACTCTTAACTTCCTACTTCTCAACCCGGAGAAGACAGAAGTGATCCTACTCGGTCCGAAGCGCCTGCGTGACTCCCTCACTAACCAGATAATTACTCTCGATAATGTCAGTATAATACCCAGTAACACTGTGAGGAATCTTGGAGTCATTTTTGACCAAGAACTCTCCTTCAAGGCTTATATAAGCCAAGCAACTAAAACGGCGTACTTCCACTTACGGAACATCGCTAAAATTAGGAATTTCCTTCCTAAAAGTGACGCGGAAAAACTCATTCACGCGTTTGTCACCTCAAGGCTCGACTACTGTAACGCTTTACTGGCAGCGTGCCCTAAAGCCTCTTTGAAGAGCTTCCAGCTCGTTCAGAATACAGCAGCTAGGATCTTAACAGGTACCAAAAGGAGGGAGCACATAACTCCGGTGTTAAAATCACTCCACTGGCTCCCTGTGGAGTACAGAATAAAGTTTAAAATCCTTCTCTTAACATATAAAGCCATAAATGGCTTGGCTCCTTCTTATCTCCAAGACACGTTAGTGTCGTATCAACCAAGTCGAGCGTTGCGCTCACAAAACGCCAGACGTCTGGTGGTCCCTAAGGTCTCAAAGGTCACTGTTGGCGGCAGAGCATTTAGCTACCAAGCTCCTTTACTGTGGAATCAGCTTCCCATTTATGTTAAGGAAGCAGATACGGTCTCCACATTCAAGGCCAGGCTTAAAGCACTTTACTTTAATTTATCATATAATTAGGTAATATATAATATATGGTGTATATATTATATATATATGCTGTATTATGTTATATATTATGTTATATATTATACAATAATGTATTGTGTTATGTTGTATATTATGCTGTATGTTATGTTGTGTATTATTTATGATATATATGGTATGTATGGTATATATGATGTATATGATATATAATATATAATTAGGTTTGCTTGGATCGGTTTGCACACCTGGTGTGCAATCCATGAATCTCTTTATTCAAGGCTAGGTTTAAAACAGTCCTCTTTAGTTTAGCATATGGCTAGGAAGGTAAGACTCTGGGAAGGTTAAACTCCTCAGACTGTCAGTCAAGCTGCATAGGGAGTCAGTTTGCTGGGAGAAGTATGGTAACTTGAGCACTATCCTCTCCTCCTTCCTACTTTATCTGTTTAGCACTTTTAGGATTCTGACTAGTTGTTCATTGCTATTCACCCGTTGTCCCATTGTCTGTTCCATGGTACGATGACGGGATCTCTGAGCCTGGCCTCCTCCATCTACACCTGCGGACTGCCCCGCCCGACCCGCCTGGGAGTGCTTCGGTCCTGCACCGGACCTGTCCACGTTCAGCGGCCACTGGTCCACGTCCTGTAGCTAGCTTAGGTCCTAGATCATTAGCCTGTCCGTCCGGAGGAGCGGATCCCTTTCTCATATGGGTCTCCCTCCCTGTGGGTTTCCCTAGTGCTCCTCCAAGGTTTCTCACTTTTTCCCACTGGGTTTTTTAAGAGTTTTTCCTTGTCGATGCAGGAGGGTCTTGTTGGACAGTTAGTGTCCAACAGAAAGGATTGGTGATGATCAGGACACTTTAGCATTCTACAACATGTATGGACATTTTCTTCTGTGTGTGCTTTATATTCTTCATGTGTTAACTGTTGATTCTCTGACCCGTGTTGGTGATTTCAATGGTTTTGTTAAGTCCTCTGAGATGACTTCTGTTGTGACCTAGGGCTATACAAGAATAAATTGAATTGTATTGTATTGTATTGTTAGTGGTATCGTTGGTTAGTGCTCCTCATTGTGTTGCCTTTAAAACCTTGATCACGGTTGTCCATTTAATATTATAGCTTTGCAGCCAGATTAATCCTTCTGCTCAATTGAGCATCGGCCATGCAATCCTCATCACCGTGGCGACACCAGGCCACAGGAGGTGCCCCGGGACAGGGTCAGGACAGATTGAGCAAGAACAGGGTCGGGGGGGGATTGCACAGAGCCACATCTGTGGGGGTGTGGAGTTCAAATGATTCTTATCACTGAACACAGATCCAGAGGCTCGCCTCTGTCCACCTTTCCTAAACACACACACTTGGCAGCCTCTCTGCTCCTTCTAGGCAGCTTCAGTCACTGAAGCCAGCCTCCACTCATCTGCATCACCACACTTCCAAAATCTGTTTATCTCACCATAAGCGCCTCGCTGCTCAATTTTGTTCAGATTACCCCAAAAACAAACATCAAGCCTCCTGCTTGCTGCAAGAATTAAGTCCTATAGCGTCTTCATTAACCTCATATGTGATTAAATCTCGTCCTCCTCCCCCACTCAACACTGGTTCCTTTTAGAGTTTTATCTTTGTTCCTGTTCATTTCCATCTTGGGCCGACTCTGCGCTCAGCTCATTCCACTTCTCATTTAGCCTGTAGATAAACTAAGCTTTTATCCAGGCCACAAACTAATTCAAACAGAGACAGGAGATGAGTTATCGCTCATATTGCATTGCTCTTGTTGGAACATTGCACCAAAATGGATACAATTACTTCTACTGTGAGGGAATGAGGTGTAAATAGACCGATTGTGTTGGAGATTGGTTTACACGTCTAATGGTACATTGTGTATTTGTGTGTTAGTAGCACAGCAGTATGTTTAAAAGGAAAGAGATAAAATAAATGGAGATGACCCACAAGTAGAAAAGATCTCTGCCCTAGGCTCACATTTTATAATCGGCCTTTGTCCACTGTCCCCCAGTAACAGCCCTATGGTCTGGACATTGGGACGCACGATACATTACAAATTGGAAGGGGATTGTTTAAGCACAAACTCGCACTCTTTCTCAAACACCAAAGTAATCTGCACATGTGATTATGTACTTTATGTCTTAGGGCTTAGTAGGAACAACTGTATTGTTCATATCCTGCAGAGCTGCGTTAAAACACAATCAAGCTATAATCCTGCGGTCTTTTGAGGCGATGTTTCATCATAAAGTAACTTCAGGCCACAGAAAAGTTCCAAACACACACCACACGTGTTAACAAATTTCAAAACTACATATACATTATGAACACAGACAAGTGTATTGTAGAGAGTAAACATACAGGTCTTTCACTTCCATGGCGTCCTTTATTGCTCCCTCAGCCAGCAGTGCGCGAATCAGTTGATCATAAGAAGCAGGACCAAGTGAAAGTCCACTTCTGTTGGCCTCTTTCAGCAGCTCATATGCCTCTGCAGAGAAGCAGTAACACAGAACCATGACTCACTTGATTCAAACTGCAACATAGTCAAGAAGAACAGGAGTTTACCTTTAGTTTTGCCCCTTTTGCACAGAGTGAGCAGTTTCACATTAAGGTTAGAGTTCAAATCAGTTGAATTTGAGACTGTGGCTGTTGGTTTGGTCTTCTGGGTGGCAGAGCTTTCATACCAAGTCTGTAAAACAACAGTTGCTTTACCAACGCACATATTTCTTCAGACAAGTTGCTGGAACGAGTGTGCATGTTTGTGTATGACGATTCCTACTGCTGGGCATGCAGGCCATGGCCTCCTAAAGCCCACTCACCCATACACCACTGAGGGGAGGGGTTAAGCTGTATTGGCTGGGGGCAAATTAGGTCTGGCACCCCGGGGGCCAAAGAAAAGCGCGTGTGTGTTTGGAGAATGTGTGCCAAGAGGAGCAGTGTCAACTCAAGGAGCCCCAAGGGTCACATAGTTCAACGCTCGAGGCTACAGCAATCACTTCTCGTCTTGTCATGCTCCAGGTTACAGGATGCGCACAGTAGGAAAGAAGAAAACACTGACTATACGCACAATTATTAAAGAAGTCTCCACTCACATAATCATCTTCATTTCATCTGTAAATACCCCAAAACACTGCCACGTCACATGTCCAGATGCAACCATATGGTGGCATTTAGTTACTGACTAAATTGGTCTAGCATGACAGATTTACACAGATCGGCATTAATGTCTTTCATCAGTGGGAGCTCAGACTGCTCTTCACATCCTGTCCCTGTGCGAGTGCAGACGGGTGAGAGCAGGAGGCGATATGGTTTTAGATGCTTTTCTGATGTTACATAATTTGATAAAGCTCAGTTGGTATAAAATAATTTAGCACAAGTACATTGCTACAAATAATAACATTGTGTTAAGTAAAAAACAAAAAGTGGTGCGGTATTGTTTTGACAGTGCCATCTCTGTACAGCGCGCTTGCACATTACTGCTGCATGACTGTCGGTCTGACCTGAGGCATATTTAAACACTCTCCAATGCTCTTGGGGTCCTCCTCCATTTGGCTTCATTATCCCCTACCCAAACCTCTGTGGCAATTATGTCTTTGAATAATGGGGCAACCAAATGAATCCTGTAAAGATGTAGAGATGTGGAGCTGTGGTCTACCTGGGGCACCTCAAAAGGGACCTCCTGGCCATTAGTCTTCAAGATGTCCGCTAACAAATGCAAGGTCCTTTCTCTTGGAATCACATTTTCTTCCTGCATCTTTGTCCAGATGGATTCTGCTTTCTGCCAGTCATTTGTGTCCTCTGAAAAACACAATGTGAGAAAATCAGAGCTGTAATATGACCAAACCCGTGAATCACAGATAAATATTGGTCATACATCACTCAGTCTGCAGCAGTGGCTAATTTCAGATAAAGCCCTCCATGCTGGAAGAGGGCAATCAAAGTACTAATCTGATCAACTGGCCGACCCTTAACTACAGTGTAATTGGGGAGACACACAATCTATTGTTGTGTGCAAGTGCCATTGGTCGTGTGTGTTCAGAAAAGGAGAGGCTAATGGACGGACAATCAGCTTCAACACTTCAATCACAACTGGTACATGCTTTTGCTCTCCACAACAGCAATCACACCCTGCCTTCTGACTACTAGTCCCCACCCCTGTGAAGCCATGCAGGTGCACAGGACATGGAGCAAGATGGCATCCAGCCTGCCATGAGTGGAGCAAGAAACAAATGTGAACTTACTGCAGAGTCGAAGGACGTAGTTGTACATTTCATCTCGGTCACACTCAAACAGCTTTGATGTAATTTCTACCATTTGCTCCAAGGCTTCAATCTATATAAAACATATATACAGAGGGTCATGATTTGTTCACACCATATTACAGATAGACATAATTATTATTCAAAATAAGTGTTACCTGGTTTGAAGAAATGCATTTCTCAGCATACCACTGCAGACGTCCAGATTTCGCTCTCAAGCCAGGAGTCTACATACAAACACAATGCAAACAGACAAGTGAGATTAATAAATAACAACTAAAACCAAGCTGCTTGAGCTGCAGACACGAGCTGTCATGTATACAGAGATGGCATGACATTAAGAAAATCAGAAGTCAGAAGGTCACATTAAATATTTAGGCACAGATTCACTACACATGAAGGTGGAAATAATGCACTGAACTGAGACAGTGCATTATTGACTTTATAATATATCTACTTCAAGAAAGTGAATTGGTTACATTTTATTGTAAAGATCTGAATCCACATGACTTGTATTGGAAATGACAGAATGAAAATGTTCAGGCAGTTCAGCAATCCAAACCAAGAATACATTGGTCCCTTCAGGCTTTACTCTGAAGTAGAACAATTTAATATCAGTTAAACACTTGACTGACTCAAAAAGTTAGGGGCAGATTTTTTTTAAAGATTCAGTGAAAAAAACACATTATTACATTTCAGATCCAATACAAATCATTGTCTGAATCCAGCGCTTTTTGAGTTCCAATATTTGCTTTATTCATAACAGAATGGCGAATAAAACAAAGTGTCCCTAGACATGTCTTTTTTGTTAAATCAGTGAAAACACAGTTTTAGTTGACAGATGCTTGTTCAGAGTGTGGGCTTACCAGTCCAATAAGAGCTGACATAGATTGATGTTGGGCCTTTGTATCTCAGATTTAGCTCGATATGCGACTGACTAGATGATTACTATCATGGACAGCAGTGATCAGAATTTCATCTGTCTCATGGGGCTTTGATACAATCTGAATAAGACCAGGATTGAGAAATCTCCCATCCCTTCCTTTCTGGTAATCTGTCTAAGGGGGAAAAAAAAAAAACGCCTGGGAGGTTAATCTGAGCGAGGATCAGCTGCTCTCAATCCGCGCTGGCCTCTTTGAGGAAGCTCATCGTACCTCGAGCAGCGAAAGTCCAGTAAAGACGGGCCTCATTTTTTTCTTTGACTAACCCTTGGCTGCCGTCATTATACATCTCCAGCTCTCCCCGTTCTCAATCCACCACCTTCCCCTCAAATCTCAGCAGCCCCTCTCCTCTGCCTTTCCATCCATCCCTCTATCGGTCCCTGGCAGAGGAATTATGTTATTACCTAACCAGCCAAAAGGGACAAATTAAAATGTGTTGCAGCCCTCACTCTCTCTCTCTCGGTCTAATCTTCTTACAGGGACTAAGGCCTAGATTCTATTTACTTGCTAAAGTCTTGCTGGCTCCTGCAGGGACAGTTTTGAAAATGCACACCGTGTTCCATCTTTGCGATTCAGCGCAAATCTCCCTAATCTGGAGAAAACCAAATCCAACTGATACAAGAAGTGCCATGAATCAAAAAAATGCAACAAGAAAGACTGTCGTTTCTATCCATACAATACTTTTTAACAATTTACTTGTTTGAAAACTGGACTGTACACTATTCCACTAAATGCTCTTCATCTCAATTCCAATGTTGTAATTCCACTAATCATTGAGCCACTTAAGCGCACACACACACACACACACACACACACACACACACATTCAGATAGATGCAGGAAAACCCTCTCTCGGGCAGTAAAAAAAAAATACACATAATGACTCTCCACTCTACCGCAATACTACCTAACCTTGACCATCACAACACAGACTATAATAGGCCCGACCACCTGACAATCCTCTACCTAACGGCAACCTTTCTCCATCATTACATTTAATTAGCTGTGATTAATCAGCTGCCAATTATACCAAACACAGCCTAAAGCGAGACTCCACTCTGGACTACCACTTGACACCCTCTAAAGAAAAGTATGTGTGGCTGTGTGGCTATTTGTGTGAGAAGAGGGGACCGGCTAAATTGATACAAACAGTATATTCTGTACAGGAGTGCAGGCTTAACTTTAACCATATTTTTACTCATTTGAAGAGTTCAAGACGCATTCAAGAGCATTGAGGAGGAGTCAATTGTACGAGTCTATATCACATAATGAGTATGAGAACTAAAAGGTATGTGGTTTGTTTCTTAGACATAGGAGACATAATGGGAGCTTGACAATTTACCAATTGAGCTATTTCTTGTACATTGACTAACCAACCATGACCAACTTTATAAGAGAGAAAGGACAACAAAAATCAATGACAAAAAGAAAAGAAAAATATGTCAGAAATATATAGGGATGTGTTTGTGGGAAGTCAGATTGCTGGCTAGAAAGAGTTGCAATTATTATTAAATTGAAGCAAGGAAAACAGGTTTATCGGCTAGATTTCAATAGATATCTTTTTTTTTTGACCCAAGCAACCTTAGTAACATTTACAAAGACTATACACTGTACTACTACTATACTCTCCAAATCTCAACTAATTCCACAGTGTTGATTTATACTTACTTGTTCAAATTTAAAACTGTAATAATAAGAATGTAAATTTTTTAGTGTGTTCATATGCGAGTGCTATGGAGCACTATGAGGCCTAAAATAAAATATCTATGGCTATTCTTTTGACCCGACAATAGATCTACTCTACAATGCTTTTGCACCGCAGCCCTGTCAGTCTAAGTGGTGCCATGTAAAATAGTCCATCAGGATTTAAGAAGGATAAGGGACGAGTAAAAACCATGAGCGGTGGCATTCAATAACATGCCGTTAATATCTCAGAGGGTTTTCCAAATCCTTCTGTTACAGTCTACATCAGGACATGATCAGTAGGAAGGGACAGCGAGGGGCGTATTTTGACCTTGGTTTTGTTCTTATCCTAATCTGACATGAAGGCCTTGTTTTGACTGTTCTGATGTCAGGCTCAATCTCACAAAACGTGTAGTCAATCTACTTTAGGGGGAGAGAACAACAACTCTGCTTTCTTTTCCTTTCAAAATTAATCTGCACTTAAGGACTTGATACAACCAGGAGACAAATACAAAGTCTATGGGACCAGGGCCAATCAAAACATGCAGAGATTGAATGAAGCTCAATAACAAAGCCCAAACAGGAATAGCACCAGCCAAACGGGCTGCTTGAAGTCGCTTAAAGTAAATGAAAACAAACCTGTGGCATCAAGTTGGCTCTGAGGGGCAACTGGATGAGATTGGATATGCGATACATGTCAATGTCAAGAAAGTGTAAGTCGTACCTCAATGATTTTACGAGCCTCACGGTAGCGTCCAGTTTGCAAAAAGGCAAAGAAAAGATCATACAGCATGGTCATCTCTCCACGCTCCTGGCTCACAAAGTCCATCGCTAAAGCAGAGAAAGAATAACAGATATTGCAGGATTAAATCACTTTTTTTCTTTAAACACACTATCAAACATACTGAGCTTGTTAGTTAACAATTGAAAGTGCATTTAAACGAGTAACAAGTGATCTCTATTCTGTAACTTTGAGAAAGCCTGGGCCTTGTTCTCCCCATGACTGCAATGTCTCCTCCAGGTGCATGTCGCCTCTCCCTGGGGCCCAGACTCCCCTGAGAAAGAGATTCTAAATTTGGGTGATATAAAGGACAATAGATAATGACAAATCTACTGTCGTAATGTGATAGATTTACACATTGTGTATAATATTTGATACAAAGCAGTGGAGCCCTGAATCTATGCCTTTTTTAGAGAACTAAAATAAGGCCTATGAATAAAAAAGAAAACCTTTGGGAAACCTTGGTGTCAGAGAATTAGAGCTGCAATTCTGCTACTTTGGCACCCAATGGGTTAATGACAATCTCCAACTGCAATTTCAGTAACTACTCAAAAGGGTTTATATAAATGCAGGTGCCAAACTATGGGTGAAAACTAAAATAGCACAAGCAATTGTAGTAGGCGTGTTACACATCATTTACTTACTGGAAGTCATGAGTATTAGTTCTGTGCTAAACTGCAAAGGCAAGTCTGCCGCAGATGCATGTTCCCAACTCTGCTCTGGTAATAAACATTCATTAGGTCGCATCAGAACCAAATCGGGCTCAACCTGACACTTTTGAGTCAAGGACCAAGACCTGGGGCCTCATTTACCAAGCAGTGCAGGAAACCAATAGAGTGCGTATGGCTTTGGATCACACGCAAGTTTTTATAAATCAGATTTCACAAAACCGCTTATTATCTGAGCACAGCGCAAGCTTTTCACTCAGTAACAGCAACGAAGATGAAACATGGCTGGGTCTTCAAGCATGACAAAGATCCCAAACACCCAGGCAAAGAGGGCGTGGCTTAATAGGACATGTTTCAAGGTCCTGGAGTGGCCTGGCCAGTCTCCAGACATCAATCAACCCAATAGAAAATCTGGAGGAAGTTAAAAGCCTGTTGCCTCACGACAGCCCCAAAAACATGACAACTCTAGAGAAGATCAACATGGAAGAATGGGCCAAAATACCATCCACAATATATGAAAATCTGGTAAAGACCTACGGGGCACATTTCACACACTATTAGACCATACATTTCCCAAACCTTTACCAAGTGGCTATACAATTGTATTTGGAAAGAATGTGTCCATAACAGTGCAGCAGAAGTAGTGCTAGTGAAAAGTCAAATGTGTCCTTTAAACGTTACCTTTCTGCAGCAGTTCAGTGTCACCCTGCTGCACCAGGCCCACAATAATGTCATGAATTCGAGGAAGATGTTTGTAGCGCTGCTGGCACTCCATCGCCACGTCCAGGGCCCCGGAGAGGTCATTACTATTAGACACACAGAGAAAAGAAGTTAGACGTCAGCTCCATCCAATCAGCCGCGTAGAGAAGAGTGTCAGAGGAGAGTATCGTGAGGGCGTTCACCTTATGACCTTGTATTCAAGCACCGTGACCAGCCTCAACAATAGAGGCCTTTGAACTGATGACAGGACAAGTGCGGCTGATGAAGCTTTTTGCCCCTCATACATCACCTTGTACAAGAACGCAGCCCGTACACCTGTATATGCCATTCTGGACAGGCTTTCACAGAGGAACATTAGCACCGACAAAAGAATAGATATGATCTTTAACCTTTCAGAAAACATTCTATTTGATGACCACCTTATTGTGATTTCGTCCTCCCTCATTGTCAATTCCTCTATGAACGTACAGTTTTGTCAAGAGTTTCTTTTCCAACTGTCCTTTTGAACACTGTCAAGACCTCAGCCCCCAACTGAGCAAATTTCCAGAATATGGCAACAGCATAAGCAGCCCCCTTCCTTTCATCGTTTTGAGCGATCATGTCAACCGATGCCTCCAAACCACCAAACAGTCCGTTCATCCCATGTGAACCAACCTAATGTGTGCACTGACTGATACGGTGGTAACCCAACATATAAACTCAAAGACACGGAAGAAATAAAGGGAGGAAAATGGGAGAGTGCGCGGGAGACCACTCACTGCCTTCCATTGTGACAGCGTTGCCATCAAATTGTTGATTGGGTTCTTAACATGCCAATCACTTGGAGGTCAAAGCAGATAGGGCACCGAGAGGGAAGGTGGTGAGCCGACAAAACATGAGAGACAGACAGAATGCAAGGGTGTTATTTCTGAAGTCTATTTTCTCCTTTTATCAATTAGACCACAAAAAAAAATACAATGAAAAGAGCAACCTTGACTTCGTAGAAATGATTAGTACCGGGAGGTAAAGACGACTAGAGCTTGACTGATGTTGGTTGACGGAAAAGACTATTGATCCTAAATTTCTCCCAATCCGCACAGTACAACACCACCACAGACGTCATACCATTTTAAAGATAATTTATATCAACATTGATCCCAGTGCTCTTCAATTTCTATAGCACCTTTTATTAACAATATAAAACAAAACAAATATTAAAACCATAGTAATGGAAATCTTATCAATTGTCTAAGGAATCTATCCCAAGAAAATATCTAAATAAAATAAATAAAAACTATACTATACAAAACCATTGTATCTTCTTTATTCTGCTTCAAAACCAAAAACTAAAAAGAAATCTACCAAAAAGAATATCAAAACCCACATTCAATAACTACTAACTTTACTCCATAATCTCAATGTCCAGAGATGCAAAAGCTGAGCAGTATTTCATTTGTGGAAGCTTTTATTTGTTTATTGGACATCTTTGTGCTGACTTCTTTTTTTCCTTCTCTTCCCTGATTAAATGCTTCATCAAAATCCATAAAGTTAACATGTGGTTACTTCTAAGAAAGCCTTAAAAGTGCATTAGAACCCACCTTCTGTTGTGTGCAGAATAGAAACCACCTGGCACGCCATTATACAAAAGTATTAAAACCGGTCATTTAAATCAGTTAATAGCTGGCTGCAGAAAAGCCACATTGGTCCATTTTTTAAAACAATCGAAATTAAATATTACCAAATCATTTAGAAGGTCCATTGAATTCCATGCAAGCGGAAGTACAAAATGATGAATGATTATTATAAGTATTGGAATAAGTTTTACATGCTCCGGGTTTTCTTGCTGTTACTAATTGCCTGTTATAGAGGCTGTTCGTGACAAGACTTATAATAATGAAGATGCAGATTACTAAAGACATTCTTCTGTGCAAATATTCCTGAGCCTGTCCACCTTAACATGATCATCCACACCTACCTATAATCCCCTCTTTCTGATGAGACATCTTCAAAAACCATCCTGTCATTCTTGGCCTGGCGTTGCAATTACACCCACCCCGCTGCCATCTTTCTACTTGAAGATCCTCCCAAAAAAACTAAGCATGTCGAAAGATGGATAATTTCTCGTAGGTACAATTTAACTGTCATTTCACATTGCCATTTACTGCTCGACGCAGAGCCCTGTGTCAGCCACTTTCCAGCCAATTAGGTTTGGAAAAAAATGAGTGCTTTCCTGAAGAAACCTGAAGGATTAGACAAGGAAGCTCATTTAGCCACGTCTCGCTCCCCCTCTGTCCCAGTCTTTGTTCTGAACACATTGGCAAGCCTGTTATCAAGCCACTGTCCTCAGCAAAAGGGGAGGACCAAATCAGTGTTTTGAAACGCAAATGAGACTTATGATACCGTAAGCCCGCTTTTATATGTGGTGGAAATAGTAAGTACCAATATTCTTGCCAGTATAGCTACGGGTGATGAAGCACAAGTTGAACAAGGCGAATTCTCTCAAGTGTATAAACTTTACATGTACCTTAACATCCACAAGTGGACTTAAATCAGTTTTACACTTGAATTTTAAATCTGGTCCTGGGTGTACACACTCTATACAAAAAGCAGAAATGAGTGGGAGTGAAGGAGCCAATCATCTCTTGTCAGCTCTCCACTCTTTATTTTATTTGCAATCATCTTCCTGTCTGATCTTCTGCTTGCTCTTCATTTCAGTGGCCCCATTAGCATTTTGTGTCACTAATCACCACAAGTATGAGGCAAGACAAGTTAGCCAGCTACCACACACAATGCTGATCGGACGCTATGAGCGCTAGTAGGGCGGCGTGTATGATGGGCTGTCAAGGGCTAATCTGTCGTAGAAGTGTTCATTAAGTCATTAGCGCTGACGCAGCAATGAGCTGGGAGCGGGCGGACTGATGCCTGCTTTGTCCTATTTCATTGCTTTTCTTTGTCCCTCCTCCCAACTGTCTGCCTGTCCGCTGACTGACGGAATGAAGGCCCAAGGGAATAAAAATCAGGACTGAGGCAGCTGAAGCCAGCATACCACAGGTATGGAGACTTGCAGGACGCAATGCCACAAAAGATAAATGTGTTTACAGACAAACTAGTCTTGATTTAACAAACTAGCCCCATGTGCTGATATTTACATTCACGATTATTTTGATAATCAATTAGTTGACAAATTATTATTCTTTCGATTGATCGAAAGTTGTTTTGATCCCAAAGAAGATGTACTTTATTGATCTCACAATGGAGAAATTTGGTTTGATGAATAGTCATACACATCACATTTTTTATGGCAGAGACCCAGAGGAATACCAGGGACACCCTGGAGGGACAAACGCCTTGAGATTCACTCGGATGAGCCGTGTGCATAGACAGAGAAGTCAGAGAGAACATCTTTGTTTTTATTATGAAAACTAGATAATGCACATACATGTTAGATGAGAAAACATTTCAATTGACAGCATAACAATCAAGAGCAGATATGTCTATATCTGCTTTTGCAGTCCATAACTGCTCTTTTGGCAAGCAGGCGATACATTCACAGATGCTGTTAACCACAGTATCGCTTGGAAAGTGTACAACTGGCAGTGGATTTGTGATCATGGCGGTGAATAGCCTCATGCATGCATGTGTCTGTGTGTTTTGGCTGCTGTTGATGACCCACCACTAAATTAGCCAGCTAATCTCATCAAAAGCAGTGATTATTAAGTGAACCTAGAAATCTCATTTTGGGCCAAGTTTTAACAAAACAGCATTTAGGGAACCCCAGTGCCTGTTGGTATGTGACACAAAGCTGTCCATACGTGCGGGTAAACAAAGTGTGCACCAGAGCTTCAGTTCTATATGACCCAAACATTGCACTCTGCCAATGTGCTGAATCCTACAATTAGTGATCTGTGCAAATCACATGCTAATGAGCAGATCCAAGTGAAGCTGCATAAAAGACATAGTGGAAAGGTGAACCTGGAATGTTGACCTCAAAGGAGGTGTTTGCCAATATTGTATCTACATATATGATCACTGCCATTATGGTAGAAGGCTTTTCTCAGAGAGTAAGTGGGTGTGTCAGCAGACAAGGGCAGGGGCTCATGGGATAGATGGCAGCTGGTGAATTGTCACACAAACAAAGCCCGGCTGGTGAGTGTGATCATACACTGACACACAACATGAGCAACATCCACATGCTCTGTATCTAAATCACTGACCCAGAATACAGCAACAGCTATGATCAGAGTGGAGCGTGAGCAACCCATTTAGACACACGTACTCACACACTCCTGGCAACTACATTTGGCATTCAAAGGGACAAATCTGTAAACAACGTTAGCTTGGAGGCTGCCAATTGTCAGGCCCCTGCCACGAAAATGAGTGGAAAATATGGAAGTACCGAGTATTATTTGAACCATTTTAATGTAACCGTTGTAACACGTTGTAATGGTGTCGTCCATGCAGTGTGCCACATTTACCTGTCCAGGTAGGCTGTAACAAGTGGAGAGCACAAGTTGGCTGTGGGCTTGGCCAGTCCCAGCGTGAAGATCGTGTCTTGGAGGCGTCGAATGGCATCTACACCGCCTTTGGCTGCTACAGAGTTCAGTGTGTGGAAGAGCATGGTGAGGTGACTGTCGCCCAACAAAACATCTTTCTCCTTCATTTCCTTTAGGATGTCTACTGCCTCTGTAATTTAGAACAGATGTGTTATCAAAAGGTTTGCAATTATTTATTCCCAAATACAAAGAAGAACAAGGTTATAAGTGTGGAAAGGCAGCCTTGTGTCCAAGAAGACTAGGGTGTGTCACATGGTCTCTTTAGCTAATTCTATGTGGGGAAAACAAACCCATATTAGAACAGAATTTTGCACGCAGCAGGGATGCAAATGCAACCCTGTATAATGCCAACTCTCTGCTAATTGCTACTTGCGGATTTCTAAACGAGACTACAATTATTGAACACCTACAATGGAGGCCAGCTTTTTGCTGTGGCCATGTGCAAAGTACTTGGGGGGCTAAATTATAGGTATGTGGCGACAAGGGGCTGCCGTGCCTCAGCGAGACCCTGTAAGCGGGCTGAGGGTGGATTGGTTTGGTCAAGTCCAGTCGTTAATGGAGGGCTTTTTACAAGGCCACGCGCCCATCTGGCCAACACATACACGATGTGTGGGGGTAAGGTAATTAAGACACATTTACTGTCTATTTAGACAGCTGCTAATGGGCTGACAGCGATACAGACGCTCTCTAGCACAGATACTAATCCACACAGCAGATTGAAACAGAGACAGACTGCATATGAATAACTTAATTCATTTTCAAGAGCACAATTCTCATACTGATAACACTATGTTTAATATAAAACAAACTGCTTTTTGGCAGAGCATTTTTTTCAGAGAGTTTATTTTTATTTCCGTTTTTGCTTTCTACAGCTGGTACCTGTTCTTACATCCAGTGTCCAATGTAATGCAATCTAATGGTGGTATCATCGTTTAACAGGCGACTCGACCTGTTGATTGGTGAGAAGTGGTCATGAAAGCAGATGGACCTCACCCACTGCGTGTGCATCACTGTTGGCCTCCCTCTTTTCATAGCTCTCTCCATCACCCTCTGACAGACCCGCTAATCACCGTGTCCACTGGCTCGAACATAATCTGCCCAAATGGAGCCTCACTAGCCAACACAGGCCCGTCCAGTATTCAACCCCCACATCTCCTTTCATCTGTCCGTTTAGCCAGTATGCATATCCATCAGCTCAGCAGAGCATCATGCCAGCTAAGCGAGCCAGGCCTCACACATGCACACACCCAGAAACAGAGACAGACAGGCCAGGTAAACAAACATCACACAGCCCACTGGTTCCTCTAATGCTCCATGAGTCCAATTGCTGTGCTTTCCTCCATCTCACTGATAGTGAAAGAAATGGGGCTGCCATGGGAGTGTGTACTAGGACAGGTCAAAAAGGCCTGAGGTAAAAGAGTTAACAGGGTATATTGGCATGAACCTTCAGGTTATGAAGATAAATTGGAAGGATATTTAGCTTTTATAAGTGTAAAGTAAATTGTAGTTTGTAAATGTTAATATATAAATATGATTCTGGAGTGAGTCATAGCCTTTTATCCTATACTCTGATTAATAACAGCATTACATTGGATTAAGTTTATTTATGGTAGACCAAATGTAGATCACAAAAAACATTGGCTCATTCTGGACATGAGAGAACACAATTAGCATCAATCATGGCCCTTTTTGTGTGTTCAAAGACATTATGTACAGATTTCCGTTTGTTGGAGAAAAGAATGAAAGGTAACTTTCAGACAAAGTTTTAGCACAAAGTAGTGTTCTGAAAGTAAGGTGGGAGTGTTTGCTTTGAACCATGGGCATAAACAACAGAGCCATTAGGAGAATGATAAATAAACCGAGATGCCAGGAGACATGATCTTCAGCTGGGCCTGGTTCGCACTAGGAGCCCACAGGACCAGCGTCTGGGCGGGACAGGCTAACGTCAAGGTTAGCCATGTGTGCTAATGTGGGTGACAAGCGTCCCTTCCGTATGCACACTCTGGCTAATGGCAAACGCGTTAGCACTGCGCATACACCCCAGCGTCATCTCGACCAAATGCCTTTTGCTTGAATTCACATGCAAATTTGTGTGTCCATCTGTGGGTCTGTGAAATGTTCAAGCACTTTGGTTGGACATGATATGCCATTAGCATCAAGGCAGATTTCAATAATTCCACCAAAATACACAGAGTCCTGTAATTTTGGGCCTCTCTCATTTCTCCCTGACGTGGATGTGTGTGAGGGGGGCCGAATGAGAGAATGACATGCTCTGAGACAGAGAGGGTCAGAGAGAGAGACATGTAGGAAGATGGGAAGAGAGCGCAAAGGGGAGGAGAGGACAGACAAGGGAAACATTTTGCCTGTCATTGTGTGCAAAAAGCAGAGCCGCCAAACTGATGGTAATTGGGTCTTCGATAGGCTGAAGGAAACCCACCGTAGCATTCAGAAAATGGACGGCTAATGTGGTTGAGGAAAGTATAGAGGGGAGTTTGACAGATTTGGGGACACACATTCAACACTGAGGTATTTTAGACTTAATGTCTAATAGCATTTGCAACAAAGCAACTCCTTAAACTGTAGTTAGTTATACAAAAACTTACCTTCCACTTTGCCATTCTTGGAGAGTGTCTTTACCAGTGCGATGTATTTATTTGCATCAAGAGCCACAGATGAGTCCATACGGCTCCTTCACACAAAAACATAATGGATTCACTATACACTTTTATTAATGCATTGGGTAATGTATGCAACGCATCTGAGGCATTTTAAGAGTTGCCTACTTATAAAAACAGGCAGATAACAAATGGCAAACATAAAAGGCGTGATGGAGTTTCCAATGTTTTAAAGTGGTTGCACCTTGCATTAACGTCTACCCTAATACCAGTCAAGTTAAACTTTAATGTGGTGCTAGTGGTCAAAGTGCTGCCTGTGTGAGTCCATTATTTCTGCATATGTCTGAAAACACGCACATTTCCCTCTTCAGGCCAAGCGCTTCCTCTACATTGTCGTGTCGGCAGCACAGGTTGATGAGAATGGCGTATGCTGCAATGTTCATGTCCTGCTCGTGTTGCTGCTTTAGTTCAAGAGCACGCTGGAGATTCTAGTCACACAAAAAAAACGCCTCATGAAACACATATTGTATTAATCATATATTTTCATGTTATTGAAAAGACTCATTACCTCTTCCACTGAGAGAGCCTGCAAGATCTGCTTCAATACAGAACCCAAAGGTTTGTTCTCAGACTTCAGTTCTTCTAGTTTCTTCTCCAACATCAACAGCTTATTCTCACCTTCCTGCTAGAATGTGAATGATAATAAATGTGAATGATAATAAATGTGAATGATAATAAATCCTACTAATAAAGGATCTGACATGCACTGGCAAATGTGGATGTTAAAACTATTCTTACAGCGACACGGGGAACAGCTTGTCCAATGGACACCCTTTCTTTCGGCTCTACCAAGGAAACCACATCCTAAACAAAAGAGAAGTGTTAAAAAAAAAAAAAAAACATGAAGCAGACTTCATTGGCTCAAGTCAAAACGGAGAGTCCTGAGGGAAACCCACCCCAGACATGGGAGAAACAATCCAAATACAATGTTTAATATCTTAACTTTTAAACTTTTGAACATTTAAATGCATTTTGGGTGACATTGGTCTATAAAATGTGCTGTTTAAATAAACATTACAAAACATCACTTACAACCCTTCATGCTGTGAAGCAACTTCAGAGTCGGTACCGTACTCTGGGGGGCCCGTTCCATGTACAATAACAGCACGACAATAGCAACAATGTTACCCGTAATAAAATACTGTCAACTTGTTTAGCGACCCCTGCTGAATTGCGCTGGTGCCAGGGCTCTTTGACGCTTCACAGACATATGCAGTCAGAGATGCTGTGGCCTTAAGTCTTATTTTGGCAGAGAGATGCCCTAATTTACAGCATATCCCCAAGGGTTAAAGATGTAGGTAAAGGTGAAATTTATTAATCCCCGTAGGGTAATTCATCTTCTGCATTTGACCAATCCTGATGCCGCTAAGGCTTATGTCAGGAGCAGTGGTCGCCATAGTACAGCGCCCATCTCCAGGAGTTGATGCTGGTGATGGGTTGTCTCCAGGTACACAGGCCTCAAAGGCAGATCTGGAAAACTAGTCTAAATTGAAGCGTGCAAGTTTCATAACATGAAGCTTTGTCAGCGTTATGTGCTGCTACATGTGTACAAGTATCTTCCAAGCAAAATTCAACATACAAAGAGTGAAATGTCTTTACTTTGATAAGTTCTGGAACATGCCGAGCTTCTAGTAGATTCCTGATGCCTCTGTAGATATTTGCTGTAATTGTAATATTCTGTAAAAAAATAAATAAAATTTGTCAATTACAACTCAGACAGGAGTCGTGTGCCCCCTTTTCCACTTTCAACACTTAGAACTTTTGTCGTAGGTTTAACAACTGATTGTGCATGTATAGACGTTAGTGAACTGACTGCCCAGAGAGGACCCTTAACCCCAAAGTGTAGAACATGGATTAATCTTCCATGACATGCCTCACTGTCGGAATCAGACTTTTACTCTCATAAGTAGCACACAGGAGGCGGTGGTCCTGTGGCGAATAATCTGTGTCAACACTGTAAATAATCCCAGCTCACAGTTGGTAAGCGGTTTTGATGCGAGACGCGTATAAATGGTCTGGAGCTTGTACCTGTTCACGGAGCCGACTGAAGTATTTCCTCAGTTTGTCTTCTTGTGCCTGCACCTCCTTCTCTGGCATGTTTTCAATCAGGTTATACAAAAAGAAGCCGCCCACTTCTAGATGAGGGGAGAGACAGAAAAAGGGGGAATTTCTCTCTGGAATACATTTCATTTGGCACAGTGTCAGTCACTTGCCGAATTTGTGCGTTTATACAATTTTTCTCCCTGTGACCTCCACAGATGTGCTGACGGAGGCTGCTATCAGACCGTTTGAGAGTGTGAGTGAATGTGTGATAGCTGGCAGTGACAGCCTCCCCCTACTTCAGCACACAGAGCCAGGCACAGAGCCGCTAACTGGATGTGACATGGATAACAGTCTCCATCTCCTCTACCAGCGAACACACACAAACACTATGGCTCTACCAGTGGGACTAACTCAACCACACAGTAAGTAGTGAGTTTTAAGTCATTTTGCTCAAAAGCCCAACAATCTATTAGCTGTTGTAATCATTCATTTTTCCGGTTAGGTTTTCTTATAATGTTACACATCGTTGCCTATATGTCCCCAGAAATGGACTTTTCAATTAACAATTCAAACTTCTACCGAGGTGCAAGTGAGGGCATCAGGGGATCAAAACATATTGTCTTCAAAGAGTTGGGACTAGTGAAATAGTGCAGTGCTCTTCAAAAGACGAGGCCATGGAGCATAGAAAGAGATAAGAGCGAATTGCAGGTGAGCCTAGATGTCAAGAAGGGATAGGCTTCCCTCGTCCATGTTTCAATAAAGGACTTTTATTTCACATGGTAATGAGTACCTCGGGCCTCATACTCAACTTTTTAAATGTGTGTGATATTGGGGTCTAGTGAAAAATATATATTTTTTTGTCAGCCCTGTCACACTTCCATAGAACAAAGGTTTAACTACTCATCACTTGGTCAGCAGTCTGGCTCTACTTCCGAGACAACATCTAGATGTAAAACACCCGCTCCATAACGCAATGTGGTGGAGTCAGCAGTCTACTGGGAATGTTGAGATTAAAAAACACCACCACTTCTGATGCAGTGTTTTTCTGTCATGTGGATTATAGCTACAAAAGGTGACCGTGGATGCACTTGTCATGCTCAGAGTTAGATCTGTGTTAGATGATACATAAGGAGACACACACTCACCCACTTCCCTTTCTACCAACACAAACTTGCTTACAAGGACACTGTCAGTTTAGAAGTTGTCAGAGTCTAAATGAAAGTGTTTACCGGCAGACTTGACATTTTCCCCAGAGAGGCTCTCGCTTCGGAACAACAACTCTGTAATCTGTAACAAAAAGAAGAGACACACAACAGACAAACAAATTTAATCCAAATGCACAGATTAGTCAAAGTTATGAGGACAAAGAAATGCATATAGGTCTTTGCAGATTACATCTTCCCAGCCCATCTTTAAAAGCCTTTGTGCCACATGCGGATTTATATTGAAAACAAAATACTTGTTAGAATAGTTTTGGCATTTTTAGTGCAGGATTAGTAAAACTAACAAAAATACCCAGACATTCATATTTTATAATCATATTACTTTTAATATTTTGTGTAACATCTGATTTTTCTAGACGGAATCAAATTTGAAAAATTGAAAATTGGATTTGAATATTACAACAAAAATGTACATATTTATGGTCCAAAAACATGTTTGAATTCTTACCTTGACCATGCTTTCTACATCAGATGACCTGTAGGGGGCAGTAAAGGGCAAGGTATGAGCACAGTTGTAATCAGATGAGGAATTTGCAGGCTCTGAAAAACTAAATTTGGACTGATCTAAAAGATATGGCCCACTTTCTCCACAACTGTATAAGAAATATGGTGTGGTGTGTACAAGGCAGTGGAAACAAACCATGTCAAATGTTGTGAAAGGACGTGAGAGTTCATGTAAGTATGAGCGTTATGTCATGTAACCGTCATGTTCTTTCAGAGGGACAGAGCAGCACAGATATATTAAGACGAGACCGTTACTTTCCAGTCCCACAGTGTAAGTGTATACGGCAGGACAAAAGCCAGGGAGCCCACAACAGCACACGAAGGCTAACACAAGACTGTGACATTTGTGGTGCTCACTGGTAGTTGAAAGGAGGGAGTCCTGGAAAAGGAGAGTGTATGAAAAGAATAAAAGAGGTATTTAATGATTAAATTATCTCCTGACCTTGTCTTTGACAGGGCACATCCCCCGTCACAATGACACACACCCCAATACACACTTATCCAGTGACAAGCCCAATTATGACCCTGTCAGGAAACCTAACAGTCAGGAGCACGTGTGCAGAGCCCCAACAACAAGGGCAGAAAGGCAAAGGAACTGCAATTCAGTTAAGGCTACTGTATGTCAAGTTAAATCACTTGATTATAATTCAAGACCTCTTCGTTAAACTTGGTTTCAGTACAGTGCAATGTAATTAATTATATACACACACACATTTTTTTATATATATATATATATATATATACATATATATACACACACACACACACATACACACATACACACACGCAACACATTTTAGATGTATTTTCCATTTTTATTTTGTTTGTTGATAAAAAAATACAGAACATAATTTTTATAATTTATAGTTTCATAATTAAATATAGTTATTCAACTTTGAACTTGTGAAACTTTGGTACAACCATGCAGGGACTTTTTAAATATTAAAAAAAATAAAAAATAAACTTGAGTCCCATTGGAGAAGTCAGCACTTTTCACTCGCCTCCAGCATTGCTTTGGGCCCCGGCTGTTTTTGAGTGGGTGTGTAGTATTGTAAATATTCATAAACAGCCCTTGACAAAAGCCCACTGGTCAAAAGCTGACTTGGCTCAGGTTAACTGTATTTATAAGGGAGGGAGTAAAACAACATATGAGGAGTTTGGAGACAGGGGGCAATGTTGGTGGGCATCTGTTAATTTACATATCTCCCACGGTGCTTTGGGGCTGCGGCCAAGGGACGACTGCCTCCATATGCATGAGGCCTCCATGTATGTGAGTGCAAGGTTTTCCCTGCAGCTGGCCACGCGCTCACACAAACGCTCAGGATGATGTGATAGGCTGCACATGTTATATTCATAGCATATGCTGCTGCTGTGACCTCTATAGTGCTACAGGCTTCCCTAAACGGCTCAGTCCACACAAGGCAAAATTTGGCTTGATAGAATAAGAAAACTTAATGGAGGAAATACTCACTTTCTGAATCCCATGATAAAGCTGCCGCGAAATGATATCAGTTCAGGTGTGGGAAAGGAGACCTCCGTTACTACGGGGACAAAGTAAGGTTCAAAACCATGAACAATATTAAGGGTGGTGTACCCAACTGCTCTATAAAGCTGCCAAAAATTGAATAACTTAAGTTTGAATTACAATTTAATTTCTTCTTCTTCCCATTTTCACATAATATTCAATGTTCAAAAATCTACAACAGTAATGAAATATTTATCCAGGAAAGCAATGTTTAATATATAAAGAGCAGAGTTTAAATGGGGGCATATATGGCCAAGTCCGAAATGACAAAAAACAGAAGGCGATATTCATAATTGAACAACTATCTATCTGGTCCCTCTGTCAGTGGAGGCGCAGTTCCTTCTCTGCTCTTTACGTATTCACACAGCTAATCTCTTAAAAGGCTTGATGAGCACACAGGACAAAATGGGCAAATGCAGTGTGTTAATGCAGGACCAATTAGCCCTCAGGCAACGCACCGGTTTTGTAAGATGACGGCTTCTTGTGTTAGAGATGTGAAATGTGAAAAGCGTGTAGAATAGACTTACACAAATTGTACAAGCTGGCAAGGTCTTTGATGGCCAGAGAGCGAACTTCTGAAGACAAAAATCCCTCAGACTCCAGTGAAATGCCGGCATCCTAATAAGAATGTATTAAATTACAATAGATTTCAGACAAATTTTCAATAAAAAAAAGGTACAAATTCAGTAAATCAAAGCTACCATAAGCGCCTGTCGGGCTTCCTGTGAGCTTGGGAAGGCAGGAAGAACATAGGTGGAAAGTGTGTCTACATCTGGGGCCACACCGAGATCTTGCATGGCCTTCACAATCTCCACAATAGCTGCATAGAATGAACAGATATACATTTAACCAAGTTATGCTATTACTACATAAAACAAAACTGTTTGACAAATGAGCGTTAAAAGTTTGGGGATTTTATAGATTTTTCCCCACACTCTGTTTTTATGATGTGCTTACAGTTGCACCTTTTTATTGCGGTTGAGGAAACCAACGAACAGAATGGAATTGGAACCTTCTTAAAAGCACTTGCGTTTCCTTGTGTATGAATTGCATTATACAAATTAACATTTCTTATCCTGAAAAATTGTAATGGTGCAAGTGTGTGCTTGTTTGCCATCTCTCCACTCAGAGGAAACCGCTTCAGTTGAGAGCAAAGTATTTTAAGTCAGACAAATTCGATGTGTACACAAACACACACTTAGCATGAAGTAGGCTCTTCACCAGCACTGCTCTTTCAGAGCCTTTGGGTCTCACCCTGCGGAAGTAGGCCAGAAAGGACATGCATATGGAACAGCCACTCAAAAAGCCCTTAGGTATGTGCACATACATACGAACAAGTAGCTTTGTGCAATAAATAACAATTTAAAAAAATATGTATATTAATTTCCTCAATCAAATTGAAAAGATGTGACTGAACAACATCAGATGAGAGAGTGTATCGCTGCTCGCTTCAGAACAAAAATAGTACTGGACCAATGCGACCTCTGAGAGTACCAATACACCTTGTTCTCATGAGGACCTTTGCAAACTAGCCAAAGTGCTTCTTGAGTTGACACATGCCGTTAACCACATACACATTTATAGCAGCCCTCTGTAGCTGGGCCTCGTGGGACACATGTGTTCACCTGGCAGTCTCTCACTGAAGCTAAATAAAGGATGAGATTTGGGCTTTTATGTGCCATTAAAACCTGCATTAACCTAGGTATACAGCTACCTGAGGCACTCTGTCCATCTAGCCATCCATTCAGCTTTCCCGCCATATCACTCATTCATCCGGCCCTCTCACTATCAGGCCAGGCAGCTCTCAAGAAGTAAACAAGCGATCTTGGGCGCTCTTCTCAATGGGAAGATCCATCCATTCTGTTGCCTTGGTGTCCATTCCGACCCCTAATCGCTTTCATCCTGGATTTTTTTATGAACGGGAGAAGGATGTACCTACCTTCCTTTTGAATAATCCATTATCAATTTCACGGTGAACAGAACAGCATAGGAAAAAAATGAATGAGAGTCGAAAAACACAAGGCCATTCTCCCTGCCTTTTGGACTTTAATGGTCATCAGCACTTATAGCTACCTACAGTTGCACTTTCTTAACTTTTAAGGGCACTAAAGGACATGAGCATAAGGAAATATGCCTCAAATAGAAAAAAAGTCAAAAGCATTAGATCTCTCAGAATATCATTTGCAGGCCTGTCCCTCAAGGTCACTTTCCAGTCTTTGTATGTGAGGAAGTCCCCTTGCTCTGTGTCCTGTCTGAACCATTTAAATAAAACATTGGGCACATACATGGACCTGTGAAGACCTCTGCAGGTTGGTCAGCACGTAGTCTGACATACCATCAAACCAGGCACGTATCTTACTGGGTTAAGCATGGCACTGGTCACAAGATATCAGCATCAGATTTATGTCTGCAGGTTAACTGTCACAGAAGAGGAGCACAGAGGAGAGGAAAAAGGATCCGGTCGTTGTCATCGCAGCCGTCCTCCGACATGAGTACCTGTCACTTCCCCTTTCCCCACTGCTGCACTATCTGTCTCTACAGCTTTACTCCCCTTCTGCAAAGGTAGTACTCAGTAACTCAGAGGTGATGTCAAAAACTTTAGACAAGAGGGGGAATGTGCAAGGATCTATTTTTGGGGGACTGGTAAGACTGCGTTCACAAACCTGCCTGGAAAAGATTAGGCTTGATAAAAGTATGGTTATTAGAACAGAAAGAATGGGTTGCATAGTAGTACTACCAAAACCTAAGCACACTGGGTTGGAAGGTTTCAAGGGCTACATTAAGGGGTCCATCATAATGTCATGGAAATAGGGCTGGGCGATATGGCAAAAAAGTAAAATTTCGATTGTATTTCCTGCTTTGGACAATTTCGATTTTAAATTGATTTTCATTAAAGTCACTGAAGACAGACAAAAATGTTTTTTGATCTTTCCGCTCAATATTCAAGTTTCAAAACTATTTTTAATTTGTTTCCTCAATACGTTTAATAAAAGTCTTGTACAGACTGTGCTGATATTGCAAGTATACTGTAATTAATGTGCTGCTGGAACTCTCACAATATCCTTCATTCGATTCCACAATTTTCACAAATTTGATTTTTTCAAAAGCCGATTAACTGCCTTAATTTGATTTATTGCACAGCCCTACATGGAAACATAAGACGGCAGAGGGTAATAGTACAACTTAGATTGCTTTTCTCTCTACTAAGAACTATTGGATCCAAACTGTTTTTAATTCTTATTTTTCAAAAAAATAAAAATAAATTCTGTTCTCTCTCTGGTGTCAGAAGCAATAAGACCACATGTCGCAGAGACTGACGAGCAATAAGTAGCTAGCGGCAGGTGGAATGTACAGCCTAGCATATGCTCCCACTACACCCGCCAAAACCACACCTCATCAAAATGCACCACAATCCCCTCCCCTTTACTCTTTCCACTGCTACCCTTCATTTCCGTGGCCGGATTTGCCCGCTAGTGACACCTGTGGACAAAAACTGACACTGAGCTTAATATTTCATGGGACGTGCACAGTGGGGCGCGTAATCCAAAGTGAATTCCCTCAGAGCGCTTGCATTTACATGAAATCAAGTCACTGTGCATCAGTCACATCACCTGCACTGGCCGCCCTAAGTCCCTCGCACATGTGGACACACACCTCCTCAGCTCCAAAGGATGGAGGTGAGAGAAGGAAGGAAAACCGCATCATTCACAAGGATTTTGGCATCAGCAGAAGCAAATGTGTGAGACCCGGGCTGTGACTTACAACGTTTTGTTCCAATATCTGATGCAGAAGTTCACTGCATTTCAGGGCAAGATGAATGGATGATTTAAAAATTCATTATCTAATTTCCTTTATCCTTCAAAACAAGCAACTGTATTTAAACTCAACCCTTAAGTTGAAATACAGTTACTTGTGGATCTAAAAAGTTGTTTATCCAGTTTCTCTTGTCTGCCAGCTCAAATAATGTCAATTATCTGACCGGAGGAGAAGACATGACTTATTAATAGCACTAAAAACCCCAAAGAGAGAGCCAGAGCTCAGCATAAATAAAGAAGTTAAAAGCAAAGTCTGCTAAACACATTTGACAGTGTTTGTGTGATGAGATGTGAATTTCAACAAAAAAAAACCTGCTGACCTCTCCAGACACTTAAACATTACCAAATGAGCAATGACAATGAGTTCAAGTGCAAAAAATTTGGTTTGATATTAGAATCAATTTAAGATTTCTGTAAGTGTCTTCTAATTTCTCCTTTATTTTCGATCCAATAAAACGGCATTGATTCTAATTAATAACTAATGTAAGATTATAGTGTTCCCCACAAAAAAACCATCAGCTATGACCTATGGGAAAATAAAGCCATGTGCTTAACGCCCCACAATGTTACTTTCCAGCCATAAAAAGGACTTGATTCAAAGCAACTCTTTCATTGTACATGTATGCTTCTCAAACCTGAGGACTGTCCCGTTTCCTAAGAAATGTTCTTTCAGATGTAATCTTTGTATTCATTGTACAGCGTTTTTAAACAGTTTCCCTTTCAATCTTCCAGAAAACTCATCTACCTCCATTGAAAATGTTGAGAGCTGATATTTGGCTTTAAAATAATGCTTCAAATGTACGACATTTAAAAAGTTACACCATCTTATGAAAAGACATTTCATTTGACTCCTTAAAACATCCATGCATCCTGGAAGCAGGGTATATATTGTATAAATGAGAGAAATAAAATATTAAAAACCTTTACAAGAGAGGGCTAGAGCCAAAAGTCAAGGGTTGCTTTAGACTACTCTGGAGGTCACGGTTGAACCTGAAAACTTCGTGATCTATTCCTAGAGCTCTCCAGAGAGTGTACTTGTCTATGTGTATAAACCCAGCCGATTGCATCTTCCAACCCTTTCGCTCTGTCGTGCAAGGATCAAGCCTCTTTGCCCTTGACTGCCCTCATACAGTGAAACCTGTGCCAGTGTGACCACTAAGAGCAGCATTAATATTTGAGAGAAACACTCCTTTAAAAGCCCTTACTGAAGAGGAAGTGGGGAGTCGTCGTACACCGACTGAACACAACACAACATTTTCATTAGACAAGTGTATTGTTTCTACAGCAGAGATGCTAAAATGTGTGTCTTAATCTGCTCCATTAATGAGAAAACCAGAACATCAGCATCACACAAGCAGGGTTTGGGGTGAGTTCTCAGAGCACTGAGGCTTAAGGCTACCTAAACACACAAGACACTTCACCCACGTTGCTTCTGTTAGTGTGCCCCAGGGCAGCTGTGGCTACAATAGTGGTTTATTACCACTGTGTATGGAGTCAAAGAATAATTATGAGAATTTTTGAGTGTCCAAGAAATTACCATTTAAAACCAAAAATACTTTTACACATTATCCTAACCTCAATTTCATCAAATAGGTCTGGCATGCGCCTCCTGTTCTTGCGACCCCGCTCCCATCTCTGTGTGGAGTGAGAGGACAAGTGCCAAAAAATAACAATTGTAAACCGCTTTGTAGTCACAAAGCGGTTTACAATTGTTATTTTTTTTCTCGCTCTGGTCTGTGAAAGGCGGTATATAAATAAAGATTACTTACTTACTTAATGGTTAAAATTTTAAAACCGCATTATACAAGTTTGTGTCATTAACACCTTTACTTTAGAACATTTAAAAGATCAACCAGAACAAAATTAATTTCTCAACAGGTCCCAAGACAGTACCTCTGTAGCTAGCGCTAGCGTTGGCTGCCACTCGCTCAGGAGACTTACCAGTTGTGTTTCTGTCTGCGACATGTGCAGTGAGGAGCGGCCAGAAGAAGTGAGGTCTAACTGGCATTTTTTGGTCGATCAACATCTTCATCAGCTCAATAGACATGACTAAAATGTGAGAATAACCAGAATTTGTAAATCACAATTGATCACACATCAAGTCTAAATAGCGTTTACCTGTTTTCTTGGCTTCCAGAGCACAAGATAAAGCAAATACAAGAGGTGACGTGTGTAGGTTTGCCTCCTGGAGTCCTTTGCAGTACTGCCCAATCTTTTCTATAGACTATAAACATAAGGACAGACGCAGATTATTTTGCGTGGAGATACACATTTTGGTAAACATATCTCATATCTCCCATGTCTGGTTTCTATTACCGTTTCCATAGCGACACAATGTCTAATGAAGAAGTTGCCAAGGTTTACAGAGTCTGGGCTAACATTGTCAATTTGCAATGTGGGGAAGCTTTTCAGGATGTGAAAGGAAATGTCTTCATAGCCATGAGTAATAAGACTCAAACACAAATTCATAGCATCTGAAATAAAAGCATTTTTTTTAAATAAAAAAAACAAAACACACATTGTACTTTTATTTAACTTAAGAACTGTGAGATACCTGGGATGTAGCCTCTTTCGTGTCTCATGCGCTCTACCATTTCCGGGGTGTGTTCATGGTGTCCAGCTTTTGCTAATGTGAAGATAACTTGCATGAGGTCTCTGTCCATCAAACTGCAATCTGCATTTTCTGCAGCCTCCAATGTCTGAGATAAAAAACAAAACAAAGGTATGAATTAAGGCTCGGAAAATGGTTGCATTCACTTACCTGTATACATTATTCTCTTTCATCTTATCAAACTAGATTAACACTTAGATTAAGCATGAGTAGAACTTCCCTCTCTGGCGCCTGACGAGTTAAAATAAACTGTACAATTTGTACGCAATAAATTGTTAGTTAAGCCGTTAACCACAGAATCTTGTGTTTTAATCTTCTGGTTTTGTAAAATACATAAAATAAAAATAATAATGACCTGACACATTCTCTTAAATTGAGAGAGGTTTGTCCACCTGTCACACACAATTTAATAGTAAATAATCTAATGACAAGTATTTTCAAAAGTAATGAGTTACACTACTTAGTTACTGTAATCAAATATTTTATTTTATTTATTTTTTAAAAGGTAAACTGTGTAGTTTTTACTCCCTTCTAGCATTGAGATCATATATTGCAGTACAGGGCACTACAGAAACCTTTGTTGGACAATATGTCGTCTTTGACAGGTGTCTCCAACTCTCATTCACCAGACTGCCAAGGAAAGAATACTTTAGTTTGATAAATGACCGGATCGCTCCAAACGTCTCAACAGTGGCGTGGAGGCGACATGTAAACAAGACAGCGTTCGGAAGCAGCACCCGCTGCACAGAGGCTCTGAGTTTTACCATGGATCTATTATAATACAGTAAATAGTTTTACAAACACGGTGTGAAGAGAAGAAACGCATGGAGGATTAACGTCTGCAGGACCTTAAAACCACAATGAGAAGCAGGGCATATACACAGCCGCGGCAGAACTGTGGCTAAAAGCTCATGTTAGCTTTAGCGTTATTAACGGCACAGCATCTGCATCACGGTAAGAAAACAGAACATTCAAATTCACACTGCTGATGAACGTATTGTAGCGATTGTTTTGTGGGGATTCTGTGTGTTTTATTTGAGGCTTGTCCATGAATAAGTTTAATTGAAACTTGTGGCATAGTAGTTGGACTCGGAGTGGGTCAGAACATCCTGCGACCAGTGACGCAGATTCTGCCTCGTTCTCATTACTGTCGGTGTGAAGAAAGTTACGTATTGTTCACGTGTGAGTCTTGTGTAAATTTTTTAAGTTCATTTCAATTAATTCCATTTACTGAAATGGCCCCCTTATTTTGTGTCTTATTCATCTACAGTGCCTTGCGAAAGTATTCGGCACCCTTGAACCTTTCAACATTTCGCCACATTTCAGGCTTCAAACATAAAGATATAAAAAATTAATTTTTTGTCAAGAATCAACAAGTGGGACACAATCGTGAAGTGGAACGAAATTTATTGGATAATTTAAACTTTAACAAATAAAAAACTGAAAAGTGGGACGTGCAATATTATTCGGCCCCCTTGCGCTAATACTTTGTAGCGCCACCTTTTGCTGCAATTACAGCTGCAAGTCGCTTGGGGTATGTCACTATCAGTTTTGCACATCGAGAGACTGGAATTCTTGCCCATTCTTCCTTGCAAAACAGCTCCAGCTCAGTGAGGTTGGATGGAGAGCGTTTGTGAACAGCAGTCTTCAGCTCTTTTCACAGATTCTCGATTGGATTCAGGTCTGGACTTTGACTTGGCCATTCTAACACCTGGATACGTCTATTTGTGAACCATTCCATTGTAGATTTGGCTTTATGTTTTGGATCATTGTCCTGTTGGAAGATAAATCTCCGTCCCAGTCTCAGGTCTTTTGCTGACTCCAACAGGTTTTCTTCCAGAATGGTCCTGTATTTGACACCATCCATCTTCCCATCAATTCTAGCCATCTTCCCTGTCCCTGCTGAAGAAAAGCAGGCCCAAAGCATGATGCTGCCACCACCATGTTTGACAGTGGGGATGGTGTGTTCAGGGTGATGAGCTGTGTTGCTTTTACGCCAAACATATCGTTTTGCATTGTGGCCAAAAAGTTTGATTTTGGTTTCATCTGACCAGAGCACCTTCTTCCACATGTTTGGTGTGTCTCCCAGGTGGCTTCTGGCAAACTTTAAGAAACTTTTATTGGATATCTTTGAGAAATGGCCACTCTTCCATAAAGCCCAGATTTGTGCAGTGCACGACTGATTGTTGTCCTATGGACAAACTCTCCCACCTCAGCTGTAGTTATCTGCAGTTCATCCAGAGTGATCATGGGCCTCTTGGCTGCATCTTTGATCAGTCTGCTCCTTGTTTGAGATGAAAGTTTGGAGGTACGGCCGGGTCTTGGTAGATTTGCAGTGGTCTGATACTCCTTCCATATCAATATAATTGCTTGCACAGTGCTCCTTGAGATGTTTAAAGCTTGGGAAATCTTTTTGTATCCAAATCCGGCTTTAAACTTCTCCACAACAGTATCTCGGACCTGCCTGGTGTGTTCCTTTGTCTTCATGGTTCTCTCTGCGCTTTAAACAGTACCCTGAGACTATCAAAGAGCAGGTGCATTTATACGGAGACTTGATTACACACAGGTGCATTCTATTTATCATCATCAGTCATTTAGGACAACATTGGATCATTCAAAGATCCTCACTGAACTTCTGGAGTGAGTTTGCTGCACTGAAAGTTTTTTATTTGTTAAAAAAGTTTAAATTATCCAATAAATTGTGTTCCACTTGTTGATTCATGAGAAAAAATTAAAATGTTATATCTTTATGTTTGAAGCCTGAAATGTGGCGAAATGTTGAAAGGTTCAAGGGGGCCGAATACTTTCACAAGGCACTGTATTTCTAATGCATTAGCGTAGATATTTCTATGATTGATCATTATTTATTAGCTATACCGTTGAAATTGATTACTTTCACATGACGAAACACAGCATGTTGCTGTTGTTATGATTTTAGATAAGTGTAAGGATAAGTGTAATTTATGTTGAATATCTGGTTTTTCTGTTTTCCATCCATCCATCCATTCTCTTCCCCTTAATCCATTTCTGGGTCAGGGGGGTGGCAGTCAGAGCTGCACCCAGTACACTTAGCACCTCTCACTGATCCTCCTGCAGGTGGTGAGTCCACAGGAGCCTTAATCTTTCAGTGGGGGTTCGAACCCACAATCTTCAGGCCCAAAGGCCAATGCTCTACCAACTGTTATTTAATTCCGCCTTTCGGTGCGTGTGGTTTGACAGTTTGCTCTTATGACGTTGGTTTCTAGTTATTTATTTTTCTAAAAAGATTGTTGTTCGGGTGGATACATACAGTAACTGTGGTTCTCCATGATCCCTTTTTCAAACTTGTCAGGGCACGGTGCAACAATATTAGAAGCACTTGTGAAACTTGTGAATCAACCAATGTATTTCAAGAGGGCGCATTGATCTGGAGAGCAGTCCAGCTCTAAAGTACATTTATAATTCAAATTCTAAGACAACAAGCAATAGTCGAAATTACACAGTGTACATTAAAGTAACTAATTAGTCGCAACAGAGTTCCACCGAACACTGGTCATTGATAAGTCCTCACAAACATTTGAGGTCAGATGAATAACACAAATGAAGATCACAAACCGCTTTCACATTCTCCATGTCTCCACTTTCGGCATAAGCATTCAGCAGAGAAACGTAGGTATCAGGGCTTGGTTCAATTCCAGCATTTCGCATAACTGCTAGGATGTTTTTGGCACTCTCAATGTCACTGCACAAAGGAGGAAAACAACAATTATTTTCAGAAGTTTAGCATATTCCTTTTCATGTGCAGTGAAGAAAATAGAGAAAAGCAGCCTTACCCTGCACGGGCATGGCCTGTGACTAGAGAATTAAAGACTGCCTCTGTTATGGGCAGGTCTTTGTTCTTCATGAATCCCAATATTGTGCTACACAATAAAAGGAAATAATACAAAGTAGGAATGCTCAAAAGGCTCATCTGTATTCTCCTGCATCAAAAATGTATTACCTTGCTCCTTCAATATCACCATTTTGACAATATGCAGCAATAAGTCTCTGGTAGGTAACCTGCAAAAGACATAATCAGTAGTATAAAAAAACCTCAACGTCCTTCCAATGTAGGTAAAACATGAGCAACTGACTCGATTTGGAAGAATCTTTTCTGCTTCCATCTTGGCAAGAAAGTCCATTGGAGAAAATGAAAACTCATTCTGCAAGTAAACCTTCAGCAAGGCATTGTAATGACTGACATCATACTGAGCGCCTGAGAAATAGTGAACCAAAATGTTACAATACGAAAATGCCGCACAAACATCAGTTGTATATGGTTCCTCACCCAGCTCCTGTATCTTCTCCCAGATGCGGTGAGCCAGTTCAGTACGATCAGCTGGTGGAACCTCTGGCAACAGTGATCCACAGCTCCGAAGTAACAACAACGCTTGATTGCCGCTGGGATATCCTGATCATTACAACAAAATCAGAAATACAGTATTTATAATATTAATTAATAATAATAGATTCCTGTCGTGCTCTTTATCTACAACCAGATCCATAAAGTTTATACCGATTTATATTTACATACACATGTATTTGAGTGCGTTTGTTTTACTATTTTACAATGTTGGTACATGCAAAACATTTGGGCAGCTGGTGTTGTAACTATGATATATAAATAAAACACAGACACTGACTTAATTATTGGAACATTAACCAAATTCCTGCTAGTCCATGTCCATGGGGTAGTTTCCCCTTCTGTTTTGCCTTCAGCAAATGAAATGCATGCTTTATTAGTCTGGAGAAGAAGTTATGATAATTAGCAGAATGATAAACACATACACATCTGCATTAAATCATATGTCATAAACGTAAGCAGAAGTGAAAAAGGTTAGGCTCAGTTATAATAAAAGATACATTTCATATTTCATGCTGAAATATTGATATACATAATTAATTCCAACCATTTAAAAGAGTTTTTAATATATTTAATGAATCCATAACTCTGAGCACAGGCAATATTTACATTAATTGGAGCAAAAAGTAAAAACATCATGGCTAATTAGCATAACATCGCATTAATGCAGTCTCTGCTGTTGGACCAAAGATTTAGTAGAACATTTTATGTGTCTGTTACCACTGAGGGCAACCACTGAGGGTAAGCTATTGTTCATGTTAGACCTGTTGTGTTTAATACAGAGACATTTCAATTTGAAAGATTTAAATATTCCATATAAATTGGCATCAATGAGGGTGCAGGCTTTTTGTAATACGTAAGTTGTAGTTTGTTCTTGAGCAGCTGCCGTTCTGACACTGGTTAGCGGGATCTGGACTTGTTTAAAAGCAGCTCCCTTTTATCTACTTTTTCTACTGTTTATTTGGATGGGAGAGAGTGCGTTTATGAACAGCAGAAGCAGTAAATACATCACACTGTAGCTGTGGGAAAATTTCTATCTGTTGTCCCACACACACTCATTCACCCAGAAATATTCTAGCTGTTCTTAGTGGTAGGGGAATCCGGAGCACCCGGAGGAAACCTATGTAGACACAGGAAGAACATGCAAACTCCACACAGAAAGGACCTGTCAGTTCTGTTTCCTTCTCATACTCTTCCCATCACTCTGGTGCCAGTTAATATGTGTAACATTTGTCCATAGGATGTTGATCCAGAATCTATCAAAAAGTTAGAATGGATGGATGGATTTTTCTGTGAAAAATGTTGAATAATCATCTACCAGTATTAGTACTAAGCTGTGAATGGCCACACTTTTATTTTAGATCGTAATAACATTATGTGGATGTAAATTAGATTAAGTTATTAGAGGACAGATAAAGATCATATATCACCGTTTCTGCAGATGTCATGGAAGATACGGAGGAGCAATGTTTTAGTGATGCGACCAGTTCTTCTCACAGAGCTGTCCAACTTGCCCAAAGCCCAGTCAAATTGTTGGGCCTGCTTCGATCGCACAGCTGCACTTGCCTCCTCTTGACGCTCTGTGGCAACTGCATAACTACGCACCAACCCGGTTGTAAAGGGCAACAAATGCCTGAAATGCAAAAAGAATAACTTGATATTGTAGCATCACAGGAGTGTCATCAGGTCAGAAAAGTCTATCATCCAATGGCATTTATACATCGGTTCTACACAAAAAATCCTCATCACCAGATTGTAACGATAGCATACGAGTCACCCCTCAAATATTGATGGTTGAGGAGGGAAGTATAGCACTAGATAAAATAACTTAAGGCACATGTTCGTGTTACTCTGGCTTAGATAATACAACTCAGGAAAAGGAAATCTGTTACGCATCGGTGAGCGATCTTAAAATACAAACATATAACAGGTAAATCATGCATTTGATGTGTAGACTGCGATGTGGTGAGGTATAAACTATATGTTAGATTATGTCATTGACCCTCAATGACATTACAGCATCACGCGTGGATAGCCACTGAGCTAACAGAGTTGCTAGCTGGATACCTCGGAACATTTTCCAACGTTGGAAAGATCTGTCGCGGACAGACTCTGCCTCCAATAACTCCACTGTACAATCGACTTGCACAAATCACGTTGCGTTGGGTGCCGGAGATCTGAATCAAGCACGACGGCTTGTACTTAAGTAACCGGGCTGATCTTAAGAGCGCTGCCATGTTTTCTGATGCAGCAGGAACAAACTTCCGTACCACGTGATCAAATGTAAACCAAACGTCACCTTCAGAGCCCAGTGCATTCATAAAACGTATGTACTGTACAAATCTTTTATTTTTTTCTTCTCTGTACAATGGTTTCCATAACACAAAATAATATGCAATGGTTTTCACACACGTTTATTTGGAAACAAATTAACTTTCAGATTTTACATTTTACACAAGTCTAAATTTCTTCAATCAATTGACCATTACCTCTTCGCCTTCCTTTCTTCCAGCTTCGCTCAATATCAGCCTTGGCTTGATTCATTGCAGAAAATGCATTTTTTCGCTTACTGTGTTCATTCCATAACTCATTAGCAAGAATGTTTATGTTTTCTTCATTTTCCGCCACCCAAGCTTGGAGAAATTCACACTTTTTTCTGGCCATAAAGTACTTTCGTTTCTTATTAACCCCATCCTCTTCTTGAGGTAAGGCTGCTCTGGCTTGTCGCAACAGTAACTGAAGTTGACTTAAAGCAGACATACAATATCCAATCGAATCTGCCCCGTTTCTGCCTGTAAAAATGTGAGCTACGGCTTCTACTGCTCTGTCAGACGCAGTTGGGTCATCTTTTCTGAGGTAGCCTCCACAAGTAATTGAGGTTTCCCCAGAAAGCAATGCCTCCTGGACAGAACTGAATATTTTGTTTGAATTTAGCGTCTCAGACAGAGCTAAGATCATGTCACACAGTTCAAACATGAGCGAGTCAGTGTCTCCATTAAAGAAAAAAAGAGTGAATGAGTAACTGAAAATAGCATTAACCAAAGAGAAGCCAACCAAAGGGGAAGGATTTGAACATAGAACACTCAACTTTGGGATTTTTTCAGAAACTGAAGGAATACCTGTTTGAGACAACCCTTGATTGTGGACTTGGCCCCTTTTTGCCTTAACAGGTTTAGAAATTGTATTAATTTCATTTTGCTTTGTAACTTCTTGTAATGAGGGACTGCAATTGTCGTTTTGAACTTCATTTAACCCCTGTTGTAGCACTTCTATCAGCACCTGTTCATTTTCCTCATGATCCTCCCACCATGGCTTCCACAAAGTTACAAATCCATTGAACGCACCATGTTCAATTAAACCTACAAATTGTTTCTTTTCCTTTTTGTTCAAAAGGCCCCACAACTGTTCCTCTGAGAGACAATCTATATCCAAACGTTGCAGACTCTCTTCTAAATCAGTCCCTTCATCTTCTTCATCAGGGGCATCATCATCCTCAAAGTCAACATTGTTCCCTGTTCCAATTTTCTGAAGTTCTCTCAAAATATTCTCGATCTCCTCTGCATTTTCCTCATCAGCCTCCTGTAATTCTGCAAGCCTTGACAACAGTTCAATAGTCGCTACATTAATCTTGGAGTCTTCGTGCTCGGATTCCCCTGACAATACCCCTTCTTTCAACAGACTCTCCATGCCACCGTCTGCATTTTGAGACTTCTTTCGAAGTCCTAAAAGAATGTCTTGCATTTTCTTTTTCCCCTCTGCTTCAGTTTTTCCCATTTCTTTCAGCTCCTGCAGAACAGCTTCTTTATAAAAATCCTCTGAACAAACAGAGTGCTCACTGCTCTTGTAACAGGACAGACTGCAGTAAGGCACATTACACCGTGGACAAGTGTAGAGGGAGGGTCGACAGTTGCAGAGCATGCACACAGCTCTTCCCATGCTTTTGTCTTTGGTCTCTACGGTGGTGTGATCGTGGTATGGAGGTGCCGCAGTTGCTCCCCTGGGCGGTAGAATAATCCCATCCCTGATAGACGGCTCCAATTCCAAGTCAGTGCTTTCTTCTTTTGGGCTAATGTCCGTCAGCATTCTCCTCAAAGACCAAGGCAGTCTTCGCTTGGCAATTGGATTCATGATGGCAGCAAACAAATAACTGACCGCTAAAATTACAGGAACCCTAAACAAACAAATACAATAAATCAGATTATGTACAAGTGCAATCAATGAGAAAGGTTGTGAGCCACCGCATAGCATTACAAGCATATTAACAAGTAACGACACAAGTACGAATGATAGTTGACGTGTTGGGTCTATTAGAGAAATAAATGGTTAGAATGCCATTAACAACAAACTGTAACATGACATATAAACTTGTAATGCGTGTAATTGTGGACGGTTCTTACTTTTGATGGATAAATTAAAGCATCTAGTGAGCCAAATCTGGCCGCGTTGGTGAAAAGTTGTCCACTTTTGATGATGTCACGCGTCAATAAAAGCTGGCGCTCTTAAAGGAACAGTACAATATGAAACGCTTGATAACACAAGTTGACAACCAAAAAATGGTCAGGGGTTTCTCAACTGATTTAGACTAATTTTGGTGTTCTGAGTCCGAATATCACATGCATTTTGCTCTATCAGGTCAACTTTTTGAGATACAGCCATAGTGTTACAGATTACGTACGTCTACGTTATTATGAATTCTGCTTATCAAATTTGATGGGGTAAATAAAAACGGAATGACTTTGGATACGTTGACTTTTATTTCTTGAGGAAAACGAAAAAAACGTCAAGGGTTTCTCAGCTGATGATCCGCAGAAATTTGTTTTTTACGCAAAATCGATAAAAAAAAATATTTCTGTAGCAAAAAATCCTGACCTGATTGAGTAAAACCAAGGTCATTTTCGGACTCAGAGCATCAAAATTAGTCTAATTCAGCTGAAAAACCCTGGACTATTTTCAAAAAATATTTTTTTGTTACCCAGTGTAATCAAACTATGCACATTCTCTGTATGGAATATACATATATACTGTGGAAGATTATAAGCAGAGGCAAATCACATAAAATACTGCAGAGAAGATAGAATGCATTTTTCCAGGACCAATACAAGTCATTTGTGTGGAGATGCAAGACAGCATCATGACACTTATTTATTACTATAAAGATTGTAAATGTGTTATATACGTAAGTAAGTAATGTGTATATAGCTCCTTTCACAGAAAGACAAAGAGACTAATTTTTTTTTTCTTTGTAAATCCAGATATGAGCCATATAAGGATTGAGCAATCAGCTTTCCTTTGGAACCACCTTAGCAACCAGACTGTAAATTGCAACACATCCGGCTTGAAGCTAAGAGACTAAAACAAAAATAGCACATTATTGGGGCCATACCTGCCTGTGAAAACCAGATCCTGTCAGCACTCTGAAGCTAAGCAGGACAGGGCTTGGTTAGTGATGTGATGGGAGACCTCTGGAAATACCAGGTACTACAGTTGGGCGGCCGTAGCTCTTCAAAACCACAGTCTATGGAGTGAAAGAATAAAGTGAAGCATCTCTGAGTGTCCTTAAAAGCGCTATATAAAACTGATATAATATTATTATATTAGGAAAAGATTCCAGCTAGCTTATGCTCAAATCGGTTTGTTTTGTGCATTTAGAAAATATAATCAGTGACATCAGGATTTGGTCAGTCCCCTTCTATACTGTGTATGGAACCAACATCTCAAAACATCAGTGAGGGAGTTGAAGATATAGGATAAGACGCAGATTGGTGAAAAGGATATTTGTTAAGGTTAGGGGTTGGTTTACACATGTTGCACTACTACACAAAAACCATACATGACTTAACTCTGCAAAGGTATTATTTCTTTCTTGTTTTTTATTAAAAAAAAATTATTTGCTTTATCCTTGTCTGCCCACATATATCTGGGCCACTCAGAAGTGTGCTGCGCATGGACAACTCCCATGGGGCTGTTTGCTATGAGGCAATTGTCTCCTGTGGGGGGTCAAGCATAGTAAAGGTCATGCAGGTGGGAGATGCCAGGTGGCTGCCTACCCCTGACCAAGCTCCCGTGCCTCCTGTCAGCCCATAGGGAAAGCACATAGTAAAGGGAACATCTCAGGCTGACATGGGCATGCTGCTTTAGCCCCATTCCCATTTATGCCACACTAGCGTTTCAGCGTTGCACCCCCTTTTACACCCGTCCATTTCTCCGTTTTTAATGGAAATCAGGCTTTGGCCCCATGCAGTATGGTGTTTTGGCTACTAGTGCCACATTTTATTCCAACGTGTGTTAAACTTGCTGTCTGGTTTCATATACACTAGACATGAATGATTGCATTGAATTGCAAAAGTTGCGTGCAAGAAGCCTGCTCTCCCACTGTTTATGAGTCAATCTGATGTAGGCTCCTACAACTGAAAATGATCATGGAGAAATACCACGTGCCACAGTTGGGCACCTGTGGTAGAGGAAAACTGTGGTAATGTCCTCAGGCAAGCCACTTCATCCATATTGCTGCTCATGAGTCTGCCTTATAGTAGCCTTGCTTCTGCCTTTCTCTGGGCCAACTACAAACACTGTGTAAAAAATGTACACTAACAACAACCCTTTGCTGATGAAGGACCTCCGCCATATGTATCTATATGCTTAAACAATTTTTGAACTGTAGTTATTCTGTTGTCTTTATGGACCAATGACTATTCTACTTTTATATATATTTTTGGCCAATACAGAAACAAAAGTAATGCAATAATATTGGTATAATGCAATGCAGGATATGGTTTTGGTGCTTAAATCTCGGGAGAAATATTGCGGAACCTATTCAAGAAGGAATTCAAATTTGTAATCAAGCACGGTATCTAAATATGTTTACTTATTAAAGAGTGGACTTTTATCAACAAACATTTACATGGTTTAGCTAGTTTGTTTACCAAAAATTATAAGACTCCCACTCTTGCTCACACAAATGCTTTTGACTACACTAGTGACACACACATGGAACTAGTGCAGCATAACAGCTTTATTTTTCATGAATGAACCGAAACATGCATCCTCAACCCCCTAGCAGGAATGCCTCAATGGACTTACTCAATAATTCAGCTGAAGTATTATTTATTATTTACCTAATATTTTGCACATCCTTCCATTGACCCTGTATCTCCACCGTTTCCTGTCCATTCATCAATTTTAATGCTTTGCTGGGTCAGCTTCCTATAGGTTGCATTGTGTACTTTGAACATGACTATGTGTTGAGTGCAGTGCGGCATATGTTGTGCTAAAATACAAGTAGATGGACCAGTGACCTTCAGTGACAGATGAAGCAGATTAAGTGGTTTTGAAGTCCACCTGTATCCAAGTAATGGGATAATAACAACACTATTTTCTCTAGGTGTAACATGAATGATATTATGATTTGAAATTTCCTGGACCCTACTTTCAGCATTTATATTATATAATTTAATATTATTATAATATAATATAATATAATTATATAACCCTAATCCTAACCCTTTTTGTTGAATATTTTTTGCATGAGAATGTTCAACTATACAACATAATTTCTTAACTGCAGTATTCCCGCCTGAGACTGCTTCATCAGAGTATCACCAGCCTCAGTGACCTCACCTTCTTGAGCCCCACGAGAGAGAGCACTGGAATATAAAGCAGGGACGTCTGGAAGGACAGTGAGGTAGGGTGAAGGGGAGAAGTGTTTCCATGTCCCAGAGGACCACTGTCTGTCTACATCAAGAAGTGAGAATGTGATGGTTGTAGAGACAGGCAGAGGCATTCCTTCAGCACCCGCATGTTTGCAAGGACCTTGTTGAGCTGAGGTGTCATATGTGAAGACGGCAGTTTGACCAGAGATGATGCTCTAAATCACTGAAAGGCCAAGTACTAGAAAGCTGTGATAGGCTGTGAGTGAATGTTTGTAGAGGTTTTGTGTCCTATGAGGCCCTCACTGCATACCTTTTTGACAAAATGTATTGTTGTTTGTTTTTATTCAGATCCACATTAGCTACTGCAATATACAGTAGCTATTTTTCTTTGGGTCTATACAGATTCTGTATAATTATGTATAGGAAATTGTTCACTCTCTAGTTATAATTGTTTATCTCTAGTTACAATTGTTTGTATAGTTAAATTGGGACAATACTACAGTTTGCATTTAATTACCAAATAAAATTGTTATGGGCTTCTAATTGACACAAAGTGATTATCAATTGAACACAGCTTTGGAATATCTTGTTATTGTGACTGAAATGTGTCTTTGTAGATAGTCAAACTATTTAGCTGCATTTTCTGTCCAGAGTCTCTCAATAAAGTGACTGGAAGAATAACGCGTGTTATTAATCTGATTGTGGAAGTGGTAGTGGATTATGACAGATCATTCCATCATCAATCGATATTAAGTTTTGGGGGTAATTGTTGGAATAAATATTTAAGACCCAAACGGTTGGATTGATGTAACTGTGATAAGGCCAAGAACTACATAGTTGTAGTTTGGATCTAACCTTGATTGGTTAACCAGCAAAAGCAGAACTATATTTAATTGCTGAACTTGAATATGATTCATTTTGTATAAGCTGAAATTGTATGCACAATCTATGTGAAAGTCATGATATCCGAACTAATATAATGATGAAGAAAGTCATGTAAAGCAAAGTTGATTTAGGACATACTGTATTTGTCTCCATCCTTTTCAAAACAACACTCTCACAACAACCTTGTTTATGACTTTCTGTTGTCCATCTTCATGTTTGAGCTGTGAGTCACACAGCAGATAGGAGTAGGTTGGCCGCAGAAGGGCAGAACACACACTTTGTTATTATATTGCCTTTATAGACACATCATTATATCCATATTAAGCAGGGGAACCCTTCACGCTCCAACACCTAAATGCCGTCTCTGCGTTCTATCTAACCAATTTGATGCTGTTTCGCAGTCTTGTCATTGTGTGCATGTTTGTCATATGTATGCTGGGACAAATCATGCATGGCACACATACACACATACGCCATGCCACATACAGTACAATAATGGCATGTGCTATGTATCACTACGAGTCCCAGGATAGATTTGAGAAGTCTTAT